TAGAACGGCTCTGATAAAGGAGTTTCCTGATACTATAAATTCCAAACAAATGCATGAAATGATGAGTAATCGGAAAAAGCAGGCTAATGAAACGGTTTATCAACACATGCTTGTCATGAAAGAATTGGGAAAAAGGGCTAAGTTTGCAGACTACGTCACCATACAGTATATAGTCGATGGCATAAACGACTACGAATCAAACAAATTATTATTCTATGGTGTTACATCCTATTCAGTGCTCAAGGAGAAAATAGCATTGTATGAAAGTTACAAACAGAAAACCAAGATAAGCAAAAGAGAAGTAACAGTAATGAAGCCGATGGCACAACGGGAAACTGGAGGACAGACATTCCAACGTTGTTACAAGTGCGGTGAGAAAGGGCATCTGTCGAGTTCCTGTCAAAGAGGTGTAAAATGTTTTAGGTGTAATGAGTTCGGTCACATAGGCGCAGAATGTAAGAAAACGGAACCTGTTATAACACAAATGCATGCAAAGCGGGATCGACGATCGATGTTCATTCAATATCCCACGCTGACATCAGAGGGCGCTAGTTCCGCTAACGTGGACGTGAATGAAGAAGGTGAACGTGAATGAAATGTAATGAGTTGCGATCCGAAGGAAAGAGCGAGTGCCTGCATATCAAATGTTTGTGACAGTAAGGGGATTCAGTGTCAACTTCAAAAACGTAAGTCTGTATTTAATGTAGATAAAGGTGATGCGATAGTTAATAGAAGCATAAAAAATGTAAAAATAGGTAATTTCGTGACGAACTGTTTAATTGATACGGGTAGTGATTTAAACTTAATAACTTTAAATTTCTTTTCTAAATTAAATATTGAATATACACCTGTCAGAATGTTGCTTACCGGGTTGGGTTGTTCACAAGTATTTTCAATCGGTAAATTCGACACGGAATTAATTATCGCATCACCATTACAATATTAATTTTTATATTGTACCAACTAATGTAATGCCACATGATGTAATATTAGGTCAACCATTCTTAGTAAATACTGTTACGGTTATAGACAAAGGTGCCGTTGAAATTAGGCCTCCATGTTACGATAGTTTATATCAAAATGCTATATGTCTTTTTTCCAGTAATGATGACCAATGTAGTGCGGTAAAAGATAATATAAATGATTACGTACCTTTGAAGACCAAAGATGCACCCATTAGGCTGAAAATTGTTCTAAAAGATGATATTCCAGTTACACAACGGCCTAGAAGATTAGCTTTAACCGAAGAACTATTAGTGAAGCAGCAAGTTGATGATTGGTTGAAGATGGGCATCATTCGTCCTAGTTATTCTGAGTATGCAAGTCCCTTAGTACACAAAGAAAAAAGATGGCAGTGTACGAGTTTGCGTAGATTATCGAAAGATAAATCAGAAAATGGTGAAAGACGAACATCCATTACCTGTAATCGACGACCTTATTGACAAATTGAGTAGAATGAATGTGTATAGCACACTCGATTTAAAAAATGGCTTTTCCACTTACCAGTTGAAGAAGAGTCGGTGAAGTATACATCATTTGTAACGAGTAACCCTGAAGGCCAGTATGAATTTTTAAGAGCACCGTTTGGTCTTTCTATCTGTCCTAAATACTTTACAAGATACATTAACATCATATTTGCGGATTTTATAAGAACGGGAGTGGTTTTGATATTTATTGACGATATAATTATACTTTCAAAAGATGAAAAAGAGGGAATTGAATGACTTAAAGCTTTGCTGAAGGTGGCAGCGGAGTATGGGCTCGAAATAAATTGGCAGAAGTCACAAATACTACAAAGATCTGTTGAATTCTTAGGCTACCATATTTCCAAAGGAACGATAAGACCATCTAGTGAGAAAACAAAGGCTGTTATGACCTTTCCAGTGCTTAAAAATTTGAAAGAACTGCACAGCTTCATAGGATTAACTTCGTACTTCAGGAAGTTTATTCAAAATTATGCTTTAATAGCGAAGCCATTAAGTGATTTATTGAAAAAAGGTGAGTTTAAGTTTGAGGATGTTCAAAGACAAGCTTTTGACGAATTAAAGTCAAAATTATGTTGTGAACCAGTGTTGAAAATATTTGATGTTCATTTGGAAACTGAATTACATACAGATGCTTCTATGCATGGATATGCAGCTATTTCAATGCAACGAGACCCTAATGATGGTTGTCAATATCCTGTTCACTACATGAGCAGAAAGACTACAGAAGTTCAACAAAAGTGTTGCAGTTACGAGTTAGAAGCTTTAGCTGTTATTGAAGCCGTGAAGAAATTCAGAAGATATCTTATAGGAATACCCTTTAAAATTGTCACTGATTGTGAAGCCTTTCAAAAAACCTTGAACAAAAAGGATGCATCTGCAAAAGTAGCACGATGGATACTATACTTACAGGATTTTCAGTATTCTATAGAACATAGAACAGGAGACAAGATGCAACATGTTGACGCATTGAGCAGAAACATTTGTTTTGTTGATGTTGACTTACATGCGAGAATAAAGAAGGCACAAGAAGAAGATGAAGGATTAAAGATTATCAGAAAACTATTAGAAAAGAATGGATATGAAGATTATTTTTTAGAGAATGATGTTATCTATAAAGGACCGGAGAAGAAATTGGTATTACCTGATATGATGGATATGGAATTGATTAAAAAAGCCCATGGAATTGGACATTTCGGGAAGAAGAAGATTAAGGATATAATAGAAAAAGATTATTACATTATAAAACTAGACAGTAAAATCGATAAGATTGTTTCTACCTGTGTACCCTGTTTATTAGCGAGTAGAAAGTCTGGTAAGAAAGAAGGCTTTTTAAATCCAATTGATAAAGGAGAATTACCACTGGATACTTTACATTGTGATCATTTAGGGCCATTAGATGCAACTAAGAAAATGTATAACTACATACTTACTGTAATTGATGGATATACAAAGTTCGTCTGGATTTATCCTGTTAAGACTGTGGCAGCAAAGGAAACCGTAGAAAAGTTAAAGTTGCACCAGAAAGATTATGGTAACCCACGGAGAATCATTACTGACCGAGGAGTAGCGTTTACAGGGAATGAATTTCAAGAGTACTGTCAAGAGGAAGGCATTAAACATATCACTATTGCCACTGGAATACCACGCCGAAATGGTCAAGTTGAAAGGGTGAACAGAGTTATTATTTCTACTTTAACAAAGATGTGTATAGAAGAACCAGGCCATTGGTATAAGCATGTGAGTAAGCTTCAAAGAGTCATTAATAGCACATATCAACGATCAATTAACACAACACCTTTTGAATTGTTAACGGGAGTGAAACTTAAACTGAAGGAAGATTTATCTATTATGGAATACTTAGAAAAGGAAAGCAGAATCGAATTTATGAGTAGAAGAGATGAAACAAGAAGAGAGGCTAAGGCACAAATATTAAAGATCCAAGAAGAGAATAGAAAGACATATAACAAAAGACGTAAAGAAGGAGAGAAGTACAAGCAAGGTGATCTAGTTGCTATACAACGTGTACAGTTTGGAACTGCGTTAAAATTAAAACCAAAATTCTACGGACCATATCGAATTACAAAGGAGTTGGGAAGGGGTAGGTATGAGGTAGAGAAAATAGACAGAGGTAAAGAAGGGCCGATAAGAACTACATCAGCTTCAGATTATATGAAGAGATGGCCTTGATACAAATTGTTTTTTTTTGACTGATTAAGTAATTGTTTTTGTAATTTTGTATTTTTTAAACATCTACTAAAACTGCCTAAACTACCTGTGGTTGTAAAGGAATAAGCTAATTAGTGTTGTTATTTTTTTGTTGTATGTTTAAACACTTATGTCTATGAAGAAGGAAATAAAGATTTTATTTATCCTACGCCTACATATATATATGCTTCGTTGAGGAAGAGCTCGTGTTGAGTCCTCATTGGCGTTTGGATAATATATGCTCAGTGAATCGGTTCATTTGATGGATGCAAGGGTGTTTGGTTCTGAAACCGAATTCGTTTCGCGAGGCCGCTATGCGTGTTTTCGCCTCACGCAATAATTTACGCCTGCAATTCTTGTCGGTAGGATATCTTTCATAGGCACGAGTGGCCGCACTCTTGCATCTCCATAAGTCGCGCACATCATCAGGCAGAGCCCAGCGATGGTCATGGAATGTCTCGTATATTGCTTGAAAACGTTGTGGACGTGACTTTGTTCCAATTGCGGACTCCGTATCCTATTTAGTGTAAATCTCATCAGTAACTAATTCTAAGTGGGATGCTTCGATTGAATGATTAGCTTCGTTAACCTTAGACATTACTTTGTGCCAACTGATTACTGTTTTAGTCTGCAGAGGGGCTATTGATGAGCCCTTAAATTTTTGTCGATGGCAACATCAAGCAAATCCGGTCACTCCCTACATCCCTCTATATAGGAAAAAAACGTGTGGCCTGCAGGAGAAACGATGTCGAAATCGAGCCTGTTGAATAACCAATTGAGTGTAGTTCCTCGACTGTTGATACGGGTTGAGTTCCGTTGCGTGTGGTTGCTATTGAAATCGCCCGTGAGAATGGTAGCGCCACGCCGCCATATAATTATTTAGGACCTAAAACCCAACGGCAACCCTAGTGCCGTCTCACAATGCTTTACGATATAATATTACGACGCAATATGCAAGTACCTCAAAAATTTCCGAGTTGGCGGTCGATCTATTTGTAATGAAAAAATATTTTTATACTTATGTTAAATTTTAAAACGGTTTTCACGAAAAAATTAAGTGTTCTGTGATTCTGACTGATTGAAATTTGACAAACGACATTGCCATTTGACAATTGATTGAGAATTGAGATTGGCCTAGATGGCTTATAATAATATAGGTATATTAATATCTAAATCTATCTATTATCTTCTTATATTAGTCAGAGTGAGAGCCAACATTTACTGAGATTAAAGTATTTATTAATTTCAAATTCATAGATAGACATATTTATATAAATGAATGAAGAAATACGTAGCAGTATTAACGAAATGAGGGAATCATATTCCATGTACCACCAAGAGTATATCATAATGGCAGAATAGTAAGAACACTTTCATGTATTCTATATTCGAAGATCACTACATAATATTTACATTTGTTGTAAATTTTTATATTATTGGAAAAAGGGTTTTGTTAATTTGTGTTACATTCGCTGAATTCATCACGGAATTTACAATGTCATTACTTATAAATATTTCTTATTATAAGAAAGTTACATTCATGTGGATAGAAAGCACATGAAGGCAATTCCTCCATAGGAATATTTTCCACCTGCATGAGCAACCATATCCATAAAAATAACTGTAAAAGATACTGTTTTGTCCCAAGTAAAAGTAGGTTTTATACCTAAACTTGAACTTCCTGAGGCATCAGATATGGTTTCACAGAACAATCCTAGTTTTAATTTAATGGTTATAGAAGCAGAGGTTTTTGGTTTTTTGTACACATGAAAAGTATAAAGACTGTTAAAGAAAATTTATAAAAATTGAGTGTTTGAATGGGTAGTTAGTTTTTCTTAATATTTACCTTTTTAATTACTTTTGTTTATATATGTGTGTACCTAGGACTTTAGTTTTCAAACTAATTCATTACTTATCAGTGAATAGACATATTGATGTAAAGTAATGAGGATTCTTAGGATATCAAAAAGTAGTAAGCCATAATTTTCATCTACTCCTATGGGTGAAGTGTTTGTTTCAATATATAAATATAAATCAGTCAACTTCTCAATTCTGTACATCTCGGAAGGAAACAGCGTTTTTTGTTACTAATATTAACATATTTTCAGCCGTATGTTACAAACAGAAAATTTACAAGGGATATATGTGATACCTTCATATGCTAATTCATTATGTAAGTATATAAGGCTCATTAACTAAGCTATTGATGAAGGTCATCATTATAAAACAATGACTAACATTTTCTTCTTTATATTTTGTAGTATGGTTTGGTGTAATATTTGTCAGATCTGGCGTATATGAGGGTGGAGCTTTTAGATTTACCTTAACTTTACCAGAAAAATTTCCTGATGATAATGTTCCTGTAAGTATAACCTATTAACAAAAAACCTAGTTCGAATTTGAAAAAGTATGGTTAGTGCATTTTAACTAATTCAATTTTAAAAAAATGTGTCGAACTTGTATGCCGAGGGTTTCATACCTACCCATTATATTGCTATAATAAAATTGGTAAATAATCACCACCAATTTTGCCCATATCTTTTTATTGTGTTAACTTAGGATCTTGACACCTAATAGAGACTATAGACCTCAGTATCTGGTATAAATTTCAACTTGCTAGGTCCACCCGCTCCTGAGAAAATCAGTAGTGACACATGGACAGACAGAGTGATCTTATAAGGGTTCCTTTTTTGTCTTTTAATGTATGGAACCCTTAAAAAGTAATATTAAGTGTATTTTTAATTTAGAACAAATATTTAATTATACTATATATATATAATTGTAAAAGTATTCAAGCATTGTAAAGAAAAACAGTTTTAAACCAAAATATTTATTGCAGTTACTGGGTAAATAAATATATTTGTTACATTACATTCATTTAATCTTTTTGCAATTGTCTATTCCTTAAAGGAATATTACATTAACTTGCAAAATAAAATTTCAGTATTATCCCAAACTATTTTATTTAAGCTTATTAGTACTTTATCTCTGGTACTACAAAATTTTAATTTCCATATTAAATTTCGTGATTTTATCATTAGTTACATTAACAAATTGCTACTACAGAGTTCTTGACTTCACTTCAAGAGTTACTTCTGAAAATCATGGCATATATATATATATATATATATATATATATATATATACTCAAGGATAAAATAGGTATTACTTTTTTTAACAAGGGCTAAAAATAAACCTACATAATTTTTAAGGTTGTTACATTTACATCACAATTGTATCACCCAGCTGTTAATGCGACTTCTGGAGAGCTAATCTTAAATGAAGTATTTCCTCAATGGGATAAAAAACAGAATCATATATGGCAAATACTTAAATACTTACATTGGATTTTCAACAATTTACACTTAAAATCACCAGCTAATATTGAAGCTTCTGATGCGTGAGTAATTGATTTTGAAATATATTACATCATATATAAAAATACTGCACAAAATTATTAAGTGAAATTTCGTTTCTCAACTATTAGTCTAAGAGCTAGCAACATTTTCGAGAGAGAATTTCAGGAAGGCCAGTTTTTAGATATACTATCTCTTACTCTCCCCAACGTCATACTGGCTATCTGGCTGGCAGTAAAGGTTGCATTCATCAGTGCGCATCATACATTTTACTCTTCCAACCCAATTGTTGCATGCCCAATCATTTTTCACTTTTAGATCTGTCTGGCTGGCAAGGTTAATAATTGAATTGTTGGTTGGCAAATTAATTTTAGGTTTTTAGATACTTAAATAACATCATATTAAAGTCCAACTATACATATTTTATCTATATATAAATAAATTTTTCTTTAATTCAAAATTAGTGTTTGGCACAGTTTAAACAACAATAAAAATATTTATGCAATAATAGATTCATGTTGTAAAAAGTTCAATTAAAATATTTACAAAAAGGAACCTTGAAATTATTTGAAAAATTGACATTTTACATGTACAGATATGATGCGCACTGATGAACGCAACCTCTACTGCCAGCCAGATAGCCCATATGACGTCCAGGAGAGTGAGAGAGACAGCATATCTAAAAACTGGCTTACATGAAATTCTTGTTTTCCTGACGTTGCTAGCTCTCATAAAATAACAGACAATTTGGATACTTATAAGAATGTATTCATGTAATTGTTTTTATGTGAAAATTTGTCAAGAGGGCGAGTTATTCACCTTTTGTTTAGAGAGAAGCGGCAGATACAAGGTCCCATTTACCTGGTGAGCGCACCAGACGAAATGCAAAAGTGTATACCATAACACTTTTCCTTCATGGTGCTCTTTAGTGAGGCAGTGTAACTTCCCTGAGCACAAGTATGCCTATACTTGCAAGCCAGTATATTATCCTATAAAAAGTTTTTAATAAATATTTTTTTTTTTAGGTTTAAAACCAATCGGAAAGTGTTTATGGAAAAAGTTAAAGAATGTATAATGTCCAGCATAGATCACATTTATGATGATCCACCTACTGAAGATAAACATTATATAACTTTTAAGCCCTATGATCCTGAAATTCATGATAATGCAAAAAATGTAATGCTAAAATCATCAAAAACAAATGAAAGTTCACATGGTATATCATGGGTGCAGCCAGGTTCCTTTCAATCATTTTCTAAAGAAGATACTACATGACATATTTGACTTGCTCTTCTTACATTAACTACAAAAATCCACAGGACATTAGCCATAGTAATATCTGTGATAATATATGACAAAATTTATAACAACAAAAATAGACAACATAGACTATTTACTTTGAACCCAGTAAAAATGGGGTTGCCTAAATTTGTTTACAAACTTTACGTTCTTGGTTATAATATTGACCTAGTAACAATTTAAACATTAACTAGATCAATTTAGTAATAAAAATCTATTCAAGTATGGTTCGCAATTTTATTTTATGCTTTCTAAGATTTTCTTCTAACCAATGCTGATTTAATTTATAACTTTTATTTTGCCAAGTAAAATGTGTTGGTGGATTTGATTCTCCATTTTGAAATTCAAAATATTTACTTAGCTCAATAGCAAGCTTTGACCTCACAAGACCAACACCACCAAACATATCATCAGCTGGATGATAAACTCTGCCTGTTTCTGGAAGCATGAATATTTTTTCAGGCTTAAACATTACCTTCAATTTGTCACCTACATAACCATAAATAAGAAAATGTTCTCCATGACTATCTGAAATAATATGCGTGTAGACTACAGGAACATCATCACATCTTATGTAATTTCTTTCTCTGCCACATAAAGATAAAAATGGAAACTCATCTTCATATCTACCAGTTCTGTTTAACCTTATTCTCTTGAAAAAGAATTCTAAAAATTTTTTTTCCTTAAAACAGGATGTAAAATTCTTCATTCTAGCATCATCCAGAAATAGCTGAAAGAAATTTTAATTATTTAGACATTTTTATACTTAGATAAAAATGTTAAATATTCATCTTTCTTACCATTCCTTGGTGGTCAATGTAGTAAAAGTATTCTCTGATATTTGGTTCGAATTCTTGACCTTGAATATATGAAATACTCCGTCGTTTTACGACTATAGGCCTTAGATAGACTTGTAACATTGAAAGAAATCGACTGTACGCCATTGTTAGTATTTGCTATATAAAAGTGACGGAGCTAGTACATGAAACCAACACAAAATAATTCATAATATTTTAGTATTAGTACCAGTCATTCATTACAAGAAGGTATACAACGATTTTAAGACGATCAAAGGCCAAAAGTCAAGGCCTTATTAACACCAACTCGGGCAAGACAAACATTTTATATTAATTAATATTTTTCCTTGTTAGCTTTATTATTATCATTTTTTTATTTGTGGAAACAACGCTCGGTTTCTTAAACATTGATCATCGTAGAAATTAACTAATCAGCTGTCAAGTGTTGTGTAAAATAAAACTAAACGTAGTCTAAGTGGTTAATAACTGGAACTGGTTAGGTACATAGATTCTCTTTATGGTTTATGGTGTGTCAAATGTCATTTCAGTTGCCGAAAGGATGGTTAAACTCTCTGAAAGTCTGAATCGAGCAGAATGATCTTCTTAATGATCAGAATTAAATGATTAATTCAAATTTTAATTCAAAGAGTTTAACTCAAATGACATTTTTAAAGCCATAAGCCAGAGCCACGGTCTTTTCAGTCCACAGATTTGATATTTGTATGAAATAAGGAGCTTGCTCATTCCGTTTAGTTCCATCCGTCAAAAACAGATAGCATTGTTTTAAATGCAAAACCATTTTAACTATGGTACTATTAAATTAAAAACAAAATTTTATTTTAAGTTAAAATAAATTTATAAAAAAAAATTATGTATGGTTCTTACTTTTGAGAAAATAATATTTTATTAAACAAATATTATTAATTTGAAAAAAAGCAACTAAACAAAATTCTGGAAGTAATTTTAAACTTAAACAGTGTAACGGATCGTTACCGACGTAACTGCGGCCGGTTATTATTAATTTATTTTATTCGGATAACTTTCATTATTCATCATTTTATTTTGTTTTATGTTACGGCAAAACATTAGCATTGTATTTGAAGGTAAAGACTGCAACGCAATTTGTATTCTTTTCCTCATCCTAAAAATAATGGTGACAGATTTAAAACATGGATTCAATCGATTTACTGATTTTCGATAGATATACAGCGTGTCGCTACAACCGCGACAATAAATGAACACATGTCTAAGGTTACTTGCCAATAATCATAAAAAAACATAAAACGTTAAAAAAAATCCATAATTAAAAAAATATATTTTTCAAACAAACTAATTAATGGTTACAGTTTTATCAGTTTTGAAAGGCTTTTTTAAAAATGTTTATTTTGTAAAAAAAAAAAGTAATGTGTGCGTGTAGTAGCGTACACTCGTAAGAAGTGAAACTTTTTTATGACGTTATTTTTCAAAAAATAATTTACTATATGCAACTTTACAGAAATTGGTTAAATAAAGTTAAATTAGATAAAGTTTAATAAAAGGCTTTTATTATCATAGACATAAATACAAATTCTACAACTATTTCATTTTAGCTTTGTATAATATTTAGTTTCTTATTTGTAATACATAGGTGGCGTTAGTAATAAATTAAAACACACTATGGTTTGACCGTTGTAATTAGTATGAGGGTCCGCAAAAATTGTTGATTAAAAACTTGCAACGTGAACCTTGTTTATTTCAATTATCCTCACGGACCCAAAATACAACTGCTTTGAATTTGTACATGGTCCTTCGTTGCCGAATAGTCAGCCAGTGAGTAGAAGGCAGACATTCGACTCGCGCGCGAGTGTTGTGAGTGAAGTTTTTTTGGAAAACCGAACTTGTGGACGTTGGATCAACGTCGCAACCGCAAGTTCCAGGAGCCGATCGAGGTTTCGAAGAGCATCATCGCTCAGCTTCAGATTGTGTCTTCGGTGGAAGGCGCAGTCAGGTCACGGTGGGCGGTGCCTGCCTTTGGAGAAGAGGAAGTCGACACAGTGTCGTGCTCTGAAGTATTAGAGCTAGCACTGTCATTACTACAAAGATTATTATTGAATTTCATTAATTGTAATAGAATTATTACTATCATATGTCGTTATTATATATTTGTGTTATTAATGCCTTATGGTAACTGAAATACGAAATATATTGTTTACATTTTAGAATTAGAATTAAAATAAACCCTTTGATTTTGCTGATCACTTTAATATAACATATATATATATATATATATATTGCTATGAACACACAAAGGAACTAACGCCATCTAGCGTCAACTATTAAAACCACTAAAGAATAAAGACATAAAACCCCCTATTCAACACTAGATGGCGTTAGAGGAACATTTTAAGATAAAAAAGATGGCGCGTAACGGAAAAATGTTACACTAAATTTTTTTCCAACCCCGATAAAGAAGTTTCACTTCAATTAACTCGGTAAATATTGATGTTTAAAAGAATGTAAATGCTTAATACAATTTAATAAAGTTATCCTCTTTATGTGTGTTCATTTATTGTGGCGGTTGGAACGACACGCTGTATACTGAACCATTAAATAATGGCCATAAGCATGAATTAAGAAAAGCTTGTGGGGTGTTAATGAGCAATTTGTGTGGAGTAGGAACTGTTATTTAAGTTTTTCTTAACAGGGACAGTCTGTTATCTCGAGATACCTGTTATGTTACGATAAATACTCCGCAATCCTAATTTCTCCTACCTATTACGGCAGAACAACATTATGTTATCTTAAGAATCTTAACTTACAGAGTGGCAGTATATCAATTTTTTGTATTAAATGGGCAATTATGGCATAAAACACTTAATTTTTTTAAGAAAAAAAGGTCATTAACTATTCTCTGACGTTTAGGCTGTAAGATTGAGTTCAACTATGTCCACCATTACGAATTATATAAAAAAAAGCAAATTGACAGTAGAAGTACACACAAAGCACTATTAAAATAAAATAGATAAAATATTTCTCTTTTAAATGTTAATGTGTCCAACTATTAAAAACTTATACAAATTTCTGATTTAGCAATTTTAAAATTGTACCTACATATTTTTAAACAGCACATGCATTCCATGTTCTAACAACTTGTTTTATTTTAGTAACCCGTCTTTCAATACAGCATTCTGTATATGGAATGTTTTACAAGAATGGAAACCATTCGAAGATCATGGAAACTTCGTATGTAAAATTTAATAGTTTTTATTATGTTGTACGATTGAAATTGTACCTTGAATTTGATTTACATGAAATTATACCTTGAACATTCCTTACAGAAGAGTTCGTCGCACACAAGGCAAATGTCAACTGTTTAGCAATGGGACATAAATCAAACCAAGTTTTAGCTACTGGAGGTGATGATAAAAAAGTTAATCTCTGGGCTATAGGAAGACAAAGTTGTTTAATGGTCTGAAGATAATTTTACATTTTTTTATTGAAAGTCTTTGTTTGCACTTAAACTTTTACCATACAATATCAGTCTATTGCCGTCCACTGCTGTCTCCGCCAAAGTCCGCCATCTATCCTGGTCCTGGGCAGTCCGCATCCATCTACTGCCCGCCACCTTTCTTAAGTCATCAGTCCATCGTGCTGTAGGCAGTCCCACACGTTTTCCTAACTATGGTGTCCACTCTAACACATGTTGGCTCCAGCAACCATCAGTCTGTCTGGAGACCTATTAACTTTTACCATATTTTTGTATATTGATAAGATTTCTAGGCTTTTCAGTTATCGTTTCATAACATAACTTCATTTATAAAACAAGTGGACATTATTGAAAATTAATGTCTACCTCATGAAATATGTAGGGATTATAAGGATATTGTTTGAATATAATTTTTATTATAAAGTAGAATATTTTAGTATTTTTCTTTATAAATGTATACTAAGTTAGCAAATAATTATTATTTAATTAATGGTATGTGTGTTAATAAGGTTCAATTGTAGTCAGTAATGTTTGCTCTATCTTATAGTAATGAAATGGTCTATATATTATGTCCCTAGTAAACATCTCTGTATAGAAAGAAGGTTTAAGGCTCGACAACCAAGAGATAAGGTATAAGGTGGATCCACTAAGCAATCTCACCATAGATTAGGAGAATTCACATATCTTTTAAATATCTTTGAGTGTATTGAATTAAAAGTGAGTACCTGAAATTTATCACACCTTATTTAAGTTAAACAAAAAAATGTTACTGGTCAATGAATATACAAGAAAAACAGGGAATGTCCATTGGTTACCATTAAAGTATAGGAAACACCATTGTGTTTCCTACACTTTAATGTCACCAATACATTTATTAAAAATGTCTATTGCGATTTTTATTCGATTTAACCATAATTTTTCAGAGTTTAAGTGGCCACACTACTCCAGTAGAATGTGTTTGCTTTGGGCATTCAGAAGATTTGGTTTGTGCCGGTTCTCAAACAGGGGCTTTAAAGATATGGGATTTGGAAGCAGCAAAACTTCTTAGAACATTCACTGGTCATAAAGGTGCAATCAAATGCATGGACTTTCATCCATATGGTGATTACCTGACAACGGGATCTTGTGATAGCAACATTAAATTGTGGGACACCAGGAAGAGAGGATGCATTGTGACTTACTCCAGCCATCGCCTTGCAGTTAACAGTCTTCAGTTTAGCCCAGATGGACAGTGGATTGCTTCTGCATGTGAAGATGGTGAGTTTCACTATAAAATGTAATAAGAATAATATTAACCATTCACTGCATAAACACAAGCTTTAAGTAATATCGAATGGAAATTGTAAATGTATAGAAGTTTAATTACATCCTTTTTATTTATGATTAGAAAAAATGAATTGTAATTATTTTTATTTGACAAACTAATTTAAAAAAATATATGAGTTTTACTTATCAGGTTTTGTGAAAGTATGGGATGTGCGAGTTGGAAAAGTTTTGCAAGAATTTATTGAACACACATCAGCTGTTACTTGTGTTAAGTTCCATCCTCATGAATTCTTACTGGCTAGTTGTGGCAGTGATAAGACTGTTAACTTTTGGGATATGGAAAAATTTCAATTAGTTTCCAAATTTGAAAAAGATAATACTTCTATAAGGTGGTATTTATTTTTATGATTTGTTTTAATTCAAGTTTCAGTGTTTGTCTTAAATTTATTCTAGCCTTAATATTTACAGACATATGACATTTAGTGATGATGGCACTACTTTGCTAGGTTGTGGGAATGATGGGTTACATGTTGTTGGTTGGGAACCAGCAAGAGTATTAGATACAGTATCAGGTCATTGGGGTCAAATTCATGACATGACTGTTGCTCAAACACAACTTGTAAGTTTACCAAACCAAACTTATGTAAAATGCTAAATAAGCTTACCTAATATACTGAATAATTTTAATATTTATCACTTAATTACATTCCTAAATATTCATCTTTCCAGATTGCAGGATCTTTTCATTCAACTTATGTTGTTTTATCAGTTGTTGATTTAAGTAAAGTACATCCATTTGGAGGACCACCTCCTAATGTTCCAACTATAGTAAGAGATTTATCACCGTTTCAAAAAGGCCATTCTGTCCGCAAAAGTTTCTCAAAAGAAAAACCACCAAAAGAAGGTAAAATCACAATGGTCCATAAAAAATGTTGTATAAAAAAATTGTGCTCATTTTATTTGATAAGTCCTTATAAACAAAATACCAATTTCAGTGATGCACAGGCCAACTCTTCTTGATGAGAAAACAGCTGAAGAATCTGCATCAGGGACTGAAGCTGATGAAGATTCAGGTGCTGTTATTTCAAATATTAATGATTATACAGAAATTTTTCGACCATCCAGGGCATGTGAGTAGATATGTTTTGCTGCAATTTTAACTAACAAATCCAAATAATTATTTATGTCAATTTTTGGAGTGTGTCTGTCTGTTGGAAGGATATTTTCCCAATAAAGAATATAATTAACCAAACAATATTGTAATAGTCTTATTATGGTATGAATTTACCAAATTATGAGACAGTTTTATTTTGTTGTCTGTTGCTAGAAATTTGTGGTTGAATGAATATTTTTGGAAGCTGTTTTGTATTTATTTCTATTTTAATAATTAAAATAATTTGTTCATGAAAATTCTATTTTCAGTAAACCGCACACCACCTCCAGCAACTAGTTTGTCATCTGAGGATTATGCTGAGCCAGGTATAATAATGTTAAATATATATATCTATGCATGTTAAGTAATCATATGCGTTTTCGCAAAGATTTAATAAAAAAAACTCGATTCTACACATTTATCTGGTTTAAAGTTTTCTCTAGCATTTCGGAACTACTCTACAAATTATTTCATGTATAACCAACACAATATTGTAATAGAACATGTTTTTAAATTTCCTATTTTGTTTAAGAGCAATTGAAAAATAGCATGATATAAAAGACGTATATTGAATATACCCAATGATATTCATTGTCAAAGAGAATGTAATTTGATTTGATTTGATTGAGACGGGACTTCCATACTAGCCAAAAATATCAGTTTACGCGGCACTACAATACCAACCATACCACAAAAATACCATAAAGATGTCAAACAACAGGAGTACCAACGTAACGAGACAAATAGTGCTTAACCACGCTAGCTTAGCTTCTTATCGAAATCGATAAAATATATTAGGTAGAAATCGAGGTCCACTTAATATTTTTTTTATTAATTTTAGGTAAGTATCGAGTCCGTATTTATGTCCAATGTTGATGAGGAGCTATTTGGTACTTATACAAGATTGGACTTAAATTCGGACCCGAAATAAGATAAAAAACGGTTTCTGATAATTCGAATAAAATTTTATTACTGAAATGAAATTTATTTCTTGTCTCTTGATTCTTCAGTCAGCTGTTGTCCTGCTGTACATGAATCTGGAAATAATTGAAACATAGAATCAAAAAGAAATATGTTTCAAAATCCTGCAAATTTCATCTATTCCGATCCTTGCTCATTTATGTAGGCACACCATTCAAATATGTAAAACTTTGTGCCCCTACTCTTTCACGCAACATTTTATTTCTTATTTTTTTTTTCAATAATAAACATTAACGTAGTTATCGATATGTGGATATTACAGTTGCAGTACATCACTAGCACACAATTTAAATGAGATAAATTTGTTAATTTTATTTGTTCTTAGCCTGCTCTACTTACATATGGCTGCAAAATATCATATTTAAGTGCTTACATTTTCATCTAAGGGAAATCTCGCCATAAACATCCTTTTTTCAAGATTTGAATGACTTGCCGTCTTTATATATACTAAACCGTCTTTTTGGTTTAATTAAAAGTACAACTCTGATCACTTGTCACTAGTTTTCGTGAGAAAGTTTACTCTAAACAATTTAAATTTACAATAAAATAAGCATTTACATTCAAAATACGCGGTGCAAAATTAAGTTTTGACAAACAACATGGCACTTCTTCTATTGCAAGAAAGAGAAACCGCATTGAGGGAGAGTGATAGCAATGTCCGCCATTATTTACCGCGTAAAGTCCATAGAAAATTTTTTTGTTCCTAGTTTCGCCAGACTGTTCATTGTATCCAATGAATATGAATAATCTTATGACACTTATTGTCATACTTGTCACATTTCAGACTGATTTAATCAAATTGTATCAGGTGCTTCATTGGAAAATTATTGAAAAAATATTCCCATCCTATAGGAAACCTATGCCTCATTTGTGCATGAAAAATATTTTTTGTGGAAAATTACTGTTTGAGATCATTGTAATTGTTTAAAATATCGAGAGCTCAGAATACAGAAATAACCAGAAGCCGCGAAGTCTTAATTGCATGCCGCGGGCTGCAAAAACGAAATAAGCATCCCGTACAGTTCAGACATTATTACCTATTTTGGGGGTACCAAGTTGAGAACATTGAAGTTATATAATACAATATCAAAATTGTCCATTAATAAAAAGTATTTAATACTAAGGTGACCAACTATTTTTTGTTCAAAAAGGGTATACTTATCAAGTATTAAATAGGTGAAAAAAAAATCGATAGAAACTTATACGCGCCTTCACTAGATAAATAAAATAAAGTTTTATTTTATTTTCTACATCTCAAATCTTGTTAACTTGAACAAAAAGTACGAAATTGTTGGTTTTCTCTAACCTCAAATTAATTAAACAGAAAGAGAATTCCCATAAAACTTTGCCGTACATACTGCCAAATCTGAACACTGTCAAGGATGCCATACATACTGTACACATCATAAAAAGACCATTTCAATATTTAATTAATAAAATTGAAATAAAATAATCGAAAAAATGTTTTATAAATACAAATGAGTATAAAATTATACGAATGAGTACTTTCAGAATACAGGATTGGAAAAGAGTACGGTTTGCGAAAAAAGAATACGAATCTCAGTAAATGAGTATAGTTGGTCACTTTATTAATACTTTATATCTAGCTACCTTGGATACAAAACATTTAATTTCTGTATAAGCTTTTTAAATAAATATCATAAAATTTGAAGATATAGACAAAGTTTTATATTTTGATAAATAACGTCTAAAACCGTCATAAAATCTTTAGATGGTTTTCGCATAATAGGATTTGATAAGTTAAATTCCAACTGTTATTAAAGTTGCAAATACTGAGTCTAATACACTTACACCCCCATAAACACACCAAATTGGTACTTGAAGAAATCCTAATACATTAAGATAATATTTTTACTTGTTATTATGACTGTTTTTAGTTAGTTCAAAATAAAATTATAAATATCGGCTTTGAAGTTGTATTAAATAATATTTATTTAAAACAACTTCAAAGTCTTAGTCAAAATTTCTCATACTGAACGTAAAAAAAATTTGCCCGACAGAGCTTGACGGTCAAGAAACTCTGCGGTCTTGTTCAAATTGTTTTAATCAAAGGTAGGGAAAATCAAAGTCCTGTTTTGGCAGCACCGATAAAATGGATTCATCAGTTTCTATGACATTACAAATTGAACATTTATAAAACAATATTCCGAATCATATTGGAAGGATTGCTGCTCCGTTAACCGTTTAAACCGCATAAATTTGTCACTTTGCTGGCATCTACGTTAAACAAAACTTGTTATTTTAGTGATTGCGTTTTTTAAATTTTACAGTGGCAGAGTCGTCGCGTAAATTAGAGGGAACAGTCAATACCTCCCTACGTAATCTGATGCTGGAAGAGTCCCGCCCAGCAGTCGTCTCACTCGCACGTCCGCCGCCGCAGCCCTCCCCGCCGCAACGCCACCGCGCAGAACAATTCTCACGCATACCAACCTCAAAGGAACATTATGCAGTCCTTGAGAAAAAGACCGAAGTGTTTTCAAGTAATTTTATTTTACTTCCTTACACAATTCATTATTAATTGTGTTATATTACATTATATTGCCATGAGGCCTTTTCACTATTCATGTTTCATCCATTATAATATGATTTTTTTATATATGTTTGTTACGGGAAATGGAGTAATTATTGTGTTGTCTTTGTTCATTCTTTGTGGAATAATTTGAGTGACGATGACCAGTTATTTGGAGCCAGACCTGAAATGGCATGTCCACAAACTATATGTAGTTTTATACATTTTAAGGAATCTTAATATCTATATTTTAAATATTTTTTTTACGTTCAGTTAAATTATCCGAATTTTACTTTCAAACTGATTGTATTTCTTAAGAAATTTTTATATTATTCTAGCTATGTTATTGATATCGATGTTTTGGAATTTGTCATGAACGTGGGGCGCAATAAAAAGTTTCGAAACGAATAAGAAAAAAAAACTATTAAAGGTCACAAATGAATTTATTGTTTTTCAAAATATTCTCCCTTTAAGTAAAAGAACTTTTTCATATGACTTAACTAATTTTGAAATATTAGTGCCACTCCTTAGTGGTGACCTCATAAACGTGTTTTTCTTGTAATAAAAATCGCTGTCCACCTAATTGGATCTTAATTTTTGGTAACAGAAAAAAGTCATAAGGTGCCATGCTGAATGGCTCATAAGTTCTTCGTTTTCACGTTCCTAAATTCGTTTCTCTGTCTGGCCGTGTGGGAACTAGCATTGTCACTGAGATTGACACGCCCGCGCTTGACTTCCGCAAACCAGTTGTATAAATAGTCGTCTGCCATCGTGCTTCATCGCCAAAAGCAGATTGAAGCGAGGCTCTACTGAACTGCCAAATTATACTAAAAATCGTAGAAAATATTACTACGAAAATTTTCGCTAGTTAAAACCATAATGTAGACACGTAATTTTTAAAACGGGGCCACAATGTAAAAACAATTGACAGCAAACATTTTACACAGACCAAGGGTTCCATTTTCGTATGTTGTTACTTTTCAAATATTGTTTACCTGTAAGTAGCCAGTTCTGGAAACTTTTAGTGTGACCTACGTACCAACATATACCTCCATTACTACCAATAAATGTTAGCAGTTTGCTCTCGCGACGGTCTGTGTTTTCCATCGCTTCATCATTCATTTGATATGTACAGAATGATGGTGAATATGACACTTACGGTGGTAGGGCCACGCAGCAGCCTCGACTGTTGCACGAATGGGCAGGCTCGTCCTGGTAAGTACCACGGCCCCACAGAAGACGGGCGTAAAGTGGAAGTATATATAATACTTTCGCGTTTCGTCTGGTGAGTGAGGTGGCCGGAGCCCAATTTTCTAAAGATTGTCAACGCATCTGCAACCCTCGGGTGTAGCAGATGTCCATGGGCGGCGGTATTCACTTAACTTCAGCTGAACCGTCTGTTCGCTTGGCAACTTTTCAAATAAAAAAAACACTTCTATTATAAATCTTCAAAATATATTTCTTTTATTTAAGTCGTAAATTGCAGCTGTAAAAAGTTTAACACTGCCAAAATTCATTTGCCGATTATTAAAAAGACTAATTAAAAATATGAATTATATGGACATAGAAATTAGAGCAGAAATGATCGTCGTCGTTTAGGTAATCTTAATCTTAATTGAAGAAAAATCAGTTTGTTTTAGTTATTCACATTACTTGTTTGTTCGACAGGGGTGATGGATAACAGTAAAGATGACAACTCGTATACATCAACGAAAGCAGTTAACGATTTTGCTGCCAATTCCCTAACACCGTGTTCACTAAACCGTCATAATTCATACAAAGAATCGAAGACAACTTCTGAGATGTGTAAGTTAAGAATTACCAGTTTTGAATGAATAGCTGTAATGAGACCTTAAAAAATTCACTAACTATTTTAATCGGAATCTTAAGTTTTTGTTTATATTTTACAATTCCTTAATATTCTATTTATGTTATTTATTTATTTATCCTAAATATTTATCTTGAAAACTTGCACTGTTGGTGGTCTCTGTTTTGGATCTGAATTTATTAGTCACAGGATCTCAAGCTGATAGAAGAAACCAACTATTTTATATTGATGTCGGGATGTTTCGTCGTGTCGATAGCCACGCGAATTATCATTGACATGATTTCGAGTTGTATAACATGATGTACAGTTTCCCTGTTTACTAATACTAAACAAAACTAGTTCAGAGGATTTATTGCGATTATTTTTAATTTTAATTTCCGGCGTTTCTAATGCTTTTCATAGTTCATGGTCACGGGGTAGGCTTAAGTCGATTATGTTATTGCTAATCCGAGCTACACCAAGTTTTTAAAATTATTAATTTATTTGTTTGAGTTGTTTGATCCACGCCAAAGGTGCTAATTCTAAGTGTAATCCCACAGTAGTGTTTCCTTAAGGCCTAAATTTAATTTTATTAAAGAAAAGATGACATACATTTTGTCTTTTATAAAGTTTATTACCCACACCATTGTTATGCTTGGGCGGAATCCGTGTTCTTCTGCAAGGTCTATGAAACCAAATAGAGCGATTCAAAATGCTTATTTCCTAGTATTACAATTGAAATTCAATTCAAATCATAGTTTGCTGAGAGTGGTCCAAAAATATTGTGTATTCGTAAATCTAATTTTCATTTATCTGAAAGTATTATTAGCATTGCGGAGATTTAGAACGTCCACGAAAGCCAAAGTTCCACCGTGAGGATTAAGGCACCCACTCCCGTCTACCACTCCCTATTTGCGTCTAATACCATAGTAAAAAAGTTTTAAAAATACATTTACATACCTATTCGAAATGATGTGATGAAGTCCGTAAAAGATTTTTATGGGAATGTTTAATTTCTGCGTTAACAGATAAACTATCAAGATTTTCATACTATATAACACATTATGCATCTTTTCCAGGTGGAAGTAATTTACGTCAAAGCAACAGCGAGGTTTCGTTAGGACCACCGTCCTTGGGTCCAAGGTCGCTATCATTCAGCCGAAATCAGAATCAAAATACGCGGTACATATTTTGTCTTGTCATTTTATGTATTTTATTATAATCTTAGGATGTTTTATATGATGGATTATTAAGAGCATTTGAAAATCATATTATCTCTGTGTCTCTAGACGAAGGGTTGACAGCGTCGGTCGAGAAAACGTCCCAATAAATCGGAACGTCGATGACGCGGAAAGAGAGCCGGAGCCAGAATTTATACCCTACGCCACCGACAGACCGGTCGGACTGGATCTAGAGGAGTTTTTGCCCGTGAGTAAAGTATACTTACTTTGACACAAACATTCACTCATGCCACCAAACAAAAGGCACACAAATATCACGAACTAGAATAATACCACGGGATAATATTATCGTACAGTAAGGGCAGCATTCCTTTTTGTTTAACAAGTCTAATAAAAATGTAAACAAGTGCGAGTCGGACTTGCGCACGAAGGGTTCCGTAACGCGGCAAAAAATCATGTCTGTTGTATGGGAACACTTAAATATTTTTTTGTTCTGTTTTTAGTATTTGTTGTTATAGCGGAAACAGAAATACTAACTATCACGGTTCAGGAGATACATCCTGGTGAAAGGCGGACAGACAGACAGCGGAGTCTTGTAATAGGGTACCGTTTTACCCTTCGGGTATGCAACCATAAAAAAAAACGTAGATGACGAGATTTTCGCGCCGTGGGGAAGTCGACCTTGGCTCAGTTGTCTAGAGCGTTAACCAGAAGACGCCGGTTCGTATCCTCGCTGGAAGCGTCGAAAGTTTTTCGACGACTTATTTATTAAGGTCGCACGCATTGCACGGCGCACCAAAGTGTGAACATTGACCGTCGCAGCGCGGGCTGATCGGGAGCTACGGGCGCGCGGGCGCTCGCGGCGGCGGCGCGGAGCCCAGCGAGCAGGAGGTGCTCGGCGTGATGATGCGCGGCCACGACTCCATGATGGCCGTCCTGACCGCGCGCCAGCGCGCCCTGCAGGTGCCTTTTGTGTCATTAACTTTAGGTATTTTTCATGTGATAAACTAACAAACGAGCTGACGGTTCACCCGATCCAAAGTGATAGCCACTGCCCATGGACATTTGCAACACCCGCAGGGTTGAAAATGCGTTGCCACTTTTAAATAAAGTAGTCTCCAGCCAGCTCACTCACCACACGAAACGCAGAGATGTATCTCTACTTTACATCGGTCTTGGTACTAATCCGGTCGGACCTACCCATTCGTGCAACAGTGAACACTGTTGCGTGGCCATACCACCGCATAAAACACAATGTGCAGGTTTTATTATGGCCACATGCGTGACTCCGCTTACGTAGGGCGTCGATTTGTGCCCTTACGCTTTATGTTGTCTATGTACTGAGAGAGCAAACGCCTATAACGACAAAGACAAGCACAAAAAATTGAGTATCTAATAATAAGTTTGCCTAACCTCTAATAACTAGGTGGAAAATAATAAGTAGTAATAAGCAAAAAGCGTCAAGAGTGCGATGTAATTGGCTTTGGCTCGGTATGTCGTAAAGACGAATAATGTCTGGTAATCTGTATCTTTTACTGCTGAAACAGACGCCCGGCCTAAACGCGATCTTCATCCAAACAATACTGGCAACTTTTTGTACGATCTGAAGATATAATAGAGAATATGTAACAACCTGATTCTTAGATGTACATGTATGTGGGATTTTAGGGGGCGGCAAATTTGCCTCAAAAATTGTTATCCTATAGAAATAAATAAAAATCTTTATATACATAGAGAAAACAAATCTTGATTCATTTTATTGTTACCCGGATTGTATTTTATTGAATTTAAAGACATTTTTTTAAGTCAGAAACATACCCAAAAACTTCTTTTCGTTTATTCTTCACTAAATCGTAGGTTGTAAAAATAATCTATAAACTGACACAACGAAACTGGTTCAAAATTACGCTAATAACGCGATATAAATTGATGTTATGAAGACAAATCTCAAAAGAGAGCACAAATCATAAAATTGCAATTTTTTGACAGAATAAATGTACTTAATATGATTGCGGACTCGGCGTATCGACATATTTATCTCAAAACTATACTGTATGCAGTTTTTTTTTGCTTCGGCAGACATGTTTTATCTATACACAATACATGTATATTTTTTTGCAGATATTTCATTCCGTACGGGTGAATAAGAGTCTGAAAACTGCACTAGAATCTGTGATTGCTCTTGAAGACACGTCTGTAATTCTAGACATACTAAACGTAATGGCGCATAAACCGTAAGGACGTCTAATTTTAAGTTTGAATTAAAAGTGTTTCCTTAATGCTCATTATTATCATTAATTTACGTGTTTAATCTGTTTCTGCAGGTCCCTGTGGAATTTGGACATATGTTTACTAATGCTGCCCAAAATATATGATTTGTTACAAAGCAAATACGAATCGTAAGTATTATTGTATATTTATTTATTGTACTTTGTCTTTGTATTGGCATGTGCTGAATATTTAAAAAGAATTAAAATAACATTAATTATTTGATGTTTTAGCTTCATCATTCTCTTTGGTCATGTGACTCGTCCGTATCGTCCTTAGTTCTAAGTAATTATGAAAAGAATGAAAACGGATATACTATTTAGGAGCAGGCAATAATATAATTCATACTTACACTTACCTTCCTTTTTATACGTTTACGTCGATATGTTATTTATTATCTGTATCATCGGAAGGTTGATTTCACTAGTTTCACCTCATATCCTTGCCTGAATCACCAGGATTAAAAGAAAATAATTTTTATGTATGATTTTCAGTCGATAACTATTATTAATATATTAAAATATGTAGAAATCAATCTTAAGTGCAAAGATTAGCACTATAAACAATTTAAATTTTTATTATTAATATAGCTAAAAATATTAATAAATAAGAGTTAAACTTGAAAACACGCTATAATTACATTTCGACCTAAAAAGTAGAAAATAAAAATAGTTTGTTATATAAGAGTCCACCAGTTGACGAATGTTAAGGAATTTAGTAATTATAATATAAAAATTAATTCCGGATAGGTTTTGTGATAGTTTCTTATAAATTTCGAGCAAAAATATGGTAAAAGAAAACTATTTCTGTCGTGTCTTGTAAGGAGGTTTTACAAGCATGAAACGTACGCGGACAAAAACCCAGATGTGAAACAACTTTCTGTGGGTCAAACAAACAGTTGTCCTGTGTGGGAATCGAACCCACGACCCCACAGCCGAAGCCAATAACTTCACGGAGCGAGCAATGTTCAGTATCGTTTGTTTTTTCTTTCAGTTACATGCAGTGCGGGTGCAACGCTTTAAGGTTGATAGTACGTAACTTCTCGTCGGTGGTTCGGGCCAACGTGAGCGCTCCCGTGCGAACTCTGGGCGTTGACATACCGAGGGAGGAGCGATACACTAAATGTGTGCAGATCCATAGACTATTGCTCGAAGTACGGGCCTTCCTACTCAAAAGACAAACGCTCCAGGGCCGTCTCGGAGCCGCATTCCGAGATCTCCACACTCTGATGCAACAGGGTCTTGACTGATAATGCAAAGTGCAATTGTATGCGATAATCTGACGATCTGTTTTGATATTAAAAAAAAAACTAAAAAGTATTCCAATAGTCACTTTTTCAGTTCTTTGAGTGAACTGTGCGAGTTGACAATCCTTCATAAGTACAAAAGGGATAAAATTAACATTTTAAATAACTGGACCATTACACTGTAATAAATTTTTAACATCGTGCTTAAATGGACATTTGTTATTTAACAGTATACTTTGATTTAAGCTCGGAATAACAATCTTCTAACAGCAAATTCACAACATAGTAAAAAGGTAATAAGAGGTATAGCTAAGAATATATCCAGTGATTGAAAATTCGATTACTAAATAGTTATACTCAATATTAATTGACCTTTACTAATAATTCAGATATTTTTTCCATTAAAATACTGAATACTTTAAGAGGTATATGTGGGATACTCGGAAAGTGTTTAGAAACTAAAAAACTAACTGTATGGATAAAATATATTCATTAAATCTTTTCAAAGAACTCTCCTACCGGCTTATACAGGGAGGCTCTTAAGTGTATCCATTTTATTAAATTAAATTATAGACAAATAATGAACTATAAAAAATGATAGATATTTAAAGTCACTCGTAAGTAATTACTTACATTCATTTGAACTTACTTATCTCAAAAAGTGCGTGATTTATACGCAACTCGTTTATTTTACGCGCGATCATTCATAACTAACACGCACCCAAGTTCGTTTCAAAAGTATACGACGCAACAATGTCGACAGCTATCTTTCTGCATTGTGACACGCAACACAACTAAAGTTTGTTACTACACGCGTATTATAGTGCAAGTATGTTTATGATTCCAATTTTCCTTCATACTTAGAAAGGGCATAGGACCGTCATAATAAAGGGTCGTCATAATACTAAAATACACCGGTGTAGTAAATTGTCCAAAATCTAATAACCTTTGGTTGGCTGCCAGAATCGTCCTTCGATTAGGTACACTTGAGTTCATTGCCTGTCTTTTTAAATGCGGTAAAGAATCACTTTCATAAAGTCTTTGCGCACCACGTAAACTTTCACCACAAAATGTAGCACCGTACCATCTCGAAATACTCGCGGTTCTAATAACTGCGTTGTTGTTTCGACATCGTTAGAGATAAGCAAATCTAAAAATAGCACGCGCGACCATAATTAGGTCACGGTCAAATTGAAACTAACGAAGAGCAGCGGCTGCATAGAGCGGTCACCGCGAGCGGGTCGAGGGGAACTGAACGAAGTTTTATGACGAAACGCTTTGAACGCCGCCGCTGTGCCGGTACGGGTCGTCTTCGATTTATCGCGAGCGCTTAGTTTTGTTTGCGTGCGTGCACAGTAAAATTTAGATGTTTGTGAATGATATTGTCAACAAGTTCTGTTTTTTAGGGAATAGAATGGCAATTTTTTTAAAATAAAAGTTTTGTTTTTATTTCAATAAACGTTTATACTACCGAGTCTGAACCTCCTGTGAAAATTTGGGCATTTTGCAAAAAGACTCCCTGTTTACAAAGTTTTCAAGTCTGCTGCAGACACATCCTTCTCAAACGCTGTTAGCGCGTTTTCCAGCGTTGAAAGCTGTATTCCTTTCATTATATTTTATTTTAGGGAATAAATAGAAATCATATGGTTCCAGATAAGCAATGTAAGGAGGGTGAACCAAGACTTCGATCAGTGTGGTGTTCAGGAAGTCGTTGGTTTTTATTGCTGGTTGCGCGGGCGCGTTGTCACGACGAAAGTTGAAGTACCCCACGGGGCCCGGTGTTTGGTTGCTTGTTGCTCATTCTGGCTTAAATATTTCATGCAAGCATTTTGTAGTATATCATTCGTTGTTAATGCAGCTTTGACTTAGTAATAGAATTCATACAAGATACACAGTAAGAAACTAGCGATCAAAATGTTCCCTGTGCTTCTCGATCGCTTCGCTTTTGTAAACATTGGATCGTTGAAACAGCCTAAGTGTCAACTAATGCTTTGTTTCTGAATCGTATTGATAAATCCAGGATTCGTCACCTATCACAATGTCGTAAACGCACCGAGACGAGCCTGCTTCACACTCGCACATTACACAATTTACAATACAAATCATATTAATGGCACCATTCCAAATGCGTCTGATTCTCAGTTTCGGTAAGGTTCTGTGGCTCTCAGAGCGAAACTATCCTCCTCACGCGAAGATGGTTGTTTTTGAATATCCTTCTTCCATAAATGCCATTTGAAGCCGTAAAAAGTCATCGCACGTAAATGTTTCCGATGCAGATCGATTTTTATACGAGACAAATTTTTTGAGAGCCAAATTAATTCAATTTGGCTCTCAAAAAATATTGAGGGATGTTTAAAATTTGGACATTTTTTTAACTATTAAATACTATTAAATTTTTTAAAATAATTATCAGCCTCATACATTAAAACTTTTTTTCGCAAAACTATATGGCTTGATATGTAAAAATAGCTACCAATTCAATTATGTAGTCACAATAAAATTGGTAACTGAGTGCACATGTTTTGACACGCTTATATTTTCTTAAATTATGTTGCTTAATTTATGCTATGAAATTGTTGCCATAGACCTGACACATTGATTTATCTACTTGTACTTAATGAAGCATCTGATAAAACATGTTATTTGATTCATTCTGGTAGGGCTACGGAACAGCGTTTGCTGTTGCACAAATGATTGCAGTAGAAGTGTTATACTTCTGCGTTTTCCAACGACCTTCTGCCGGCGGAATAACTCGGCTTTCGAGTTAGTCATTCCTGTCCCGACCAATTACACCGCCTAATGGAACATCCTGAAAGGCTTAAATCATCCGAAACATAGCACGGGGGCTCTTTTCTTCTATGTCGCAAATGCATTCGACAAGATCTGGCACAACGGCTTTCTTTACAATCTGTACACACAAAGTGCCAGATAGGCTCGTACACACCATCCGGGCCTTCCTGTCGAACCGATCTTTTCGATATCGACTTGAGGGCACCCTCTTCACAAGCCGCAGCCTCACGGCTGGCGTTCCATAAGGCTCCTGCCTCTCACCCTTACTCTTTACGCTCTACACGAGCGACATACCCACAGACCCCCACATCAATCTCGAGCTTTTCGCGGATGATATAGCGCTCTTTTATACAGATAAAAATCTCAATCAACTCACTACTCGTCTCCAAAGCGCCGCCGACCGCCTCGGCGATTGGTTCCGCAAATGGAGAATAGAAGTAAATCCCGAAAAGAGTGTGGCGATTCACTTCACACGAAGTACTTACCCGTCACATCTTTATAAAGGCCCTAGCCAATGCATAAAGTTGGGGCAAATATTCCTTTATGGCCAACCACTCCCCTGGGAGAAAAAGGTCAAATACTTAGGAGTCACTTTCGACTCGCGTATGTCATTTACTACGCACATTAATAACATTCGTAAGATAGCCGCGTTCGTCTCCGGCCGGCTACACAATTTAACTAACTCTAAAGGTAAAATGCCCTTAAGGCACAAATTATTATTAAATAAGACCTGCGTACGACCTATTATGTCCTACGCATGCATGACCTTCGCCCACACGCACCCTACTCGCTTGTACAAGCTGCAAATAGTACAAAATAAGGTCATCCGCCGCGCAACCGGTGCGCAGTGGTATCAACGCAACGTCGACCTGTACAGCAATTGCAGACTCCCGACGATTCACGAATATTTTAAGGATCTGACCAAACGGTTCTTCGACATAGCCGAATATCATCCCAACCCTCTTGTGATAAGCGCAGCAAATTACCAACCCGACACAAACGCGAACGTCAACAAGCGTCGCCCACGAAACGTCCTCATCGACCCGGTCGAGGAAGGGGACTTAGATACGTAGGACCCACCGTCGGTGGTCCCGCCGGATAACACTACACCCATAGCTAGTGTAACAACAAACACAATAGTTCGTCCTCGCCTCCGAGTATGGCGAGACCAAAACAACGCGTACACAAGGTACACTCGCGTTCCAGAGCGGTTCTCACCGCCCCCAGCCACCGATTAGCTAAAAACACAGTCAACGGAAATCGGGGTCTCGGTCCGCACCGCTACCTCGATGGCCCATAGATGACATGCCGTAGTTAAACGCACGCATGAGCACATGCGCGGCCCTACCCACAGCGGAGGGCCCAAACCGGTGGGCTAGACAACCCACGGGGGGTTGTCTAGCCCACCGGTTCTGCGTCAGATGAAGCTTTAATAGTCTCGGGACTGAAATCAAAAACATCAGTTAATACAAGATACTTCTGCGTTTCATCTGGTGAGTGAGATAGCCAGGCCCACTTTATTAAAAGGTGGCATTGAATCTGTAACCCTATGAGAATTGCAAATGTCCATGGGTGGCGATTATCACTTAACATCAGGTGAACCGTCACAGGTCTTGGATATAAATGTGTAATGGTTATTTTTTTAAATATTAAGTTTTTTAGTTTCTTCAGCCACCGTTTTTTACTGGATATGGAGAAATTAAAATAAAACAAAAAAAAAATTCTCATGTTAAACCTTGAAATAGCTTAGGAAATGGTTTTTCTTGGCATAAAAGTCTGTTACAAGTGAACATAAGAAAAACAAAGTATCAAAACTATAAAGTATTACAATATTTAATAAAATTATAAATGAATCAGGGGCATAGCCTTGATACTGTGTATCTTTTCACAGGTTTGAAACCCTGTGGCAGCATCAGTAAATTGTTATTTGGATTTTTTGATTATAAGGCTTACCAATTGTCACCTTTGTAACTAAATATTTTGTTAATAAAATTTAATTTTTATAGTGCTAATCTCTGCACTTTATAGTGCATCAGCGCTAATCTTTCGTAATTTTTCGTAATTTCTACAAATTTGACAAGTTGACCACGAGCACACCCAACTTTATTGTAGTCAGTCAGTGCTGTAATAAAGTATCTATTATGTTATTTTCTTTGATCCTTATAACTTCACTAGCTAACTATAGTCAGGCAAACAGAAAATTAGAGGCAGTTAATATAATATTATTAATTAACTTTTAAATAAATTGAAACCTTACAAAATGTTTGTTTCTATGTATTCAGTCTACTATTTAATTTTAACTCAACACATTAAAAAATTGTGTAAATTTGAAATTATTAACTATATTATTAGTTTTAATGTTGTCTTATTGATTAAAATGTACTAATTTAAATATAGGAAAATAAACAAATCAATAACTAATAGTTTGTTTTTAATATAACCCTTCACAAAACAACAACATGAAAACCTTTGTTTTAGACTCATACTAATTTTAGAACAATATGGTAATACTAACTTAACACTTTCCTTAAAAATAAAGATTATTTTGTCGTTTGGAAAAAATTATCAATCATTTAACAGCTAACATTTACAAACAAATTATTATTAAATTTACACTTTAAATAAGCAAAGCAAAATTATTTATTATACTCTGTTATAAGCAATCATGGATTGTACCTCTTCTGCTTCTCTTTACAACAAGTAGAGTAGTTTGGATAAAAACTTTCTCCAAGCTAAAAGTTGAAAGGTGCATCTGTTATCAATCATTCACTTGTTTAGTGATGAATGTAACAAACTAACCATATCTCTAAAGATATAAATTGAGCTACTATAAAATATAGTATATATAATATGTTTGACATCAAATTTTATCACTGTTTGGAAGAGATATTCAAATTCTATTATAAATTTTATATACAAATACAAAAGTTTGGATCATAATTCCATTAGTTAGTTAGGCATACAGCGTAACTATTAACTGAATATGCAATACTCTAGAATTTTACTCTCTTTTTAATAGGTGAATTATATTTGCTAGGTGAATTTGAACGTAGTTTTCTTTTCTTTAACTTATCAGTAACCTTCATATAAAGTTCATCTGAAACATCCTTCTGCATCTCGCTGTCTTCTGTTAGATTAGGATTTTCCAATACCATTAACCGCTCAATCTCAGGATTCATGCCTTTGAAAGATAACCTACCTTCAATTAAATCTTCGCAATAAATAAAACTAGCCTCTGATACGTAATTACCGGTGGCATGTCGCATTTCATTTGTAATTATATTAGAATACAAGCCTTCATGGCCATGGATGTTCTCCATTTCTTTATCAATTCTTTCTTTCGTCCGTTTCATAAACTTCATTTCCAAAACAGACTTTGGTAGCTGTATTTTTTTCTTTATTACACTCGACATGGTTCCACAAACAGTTTTTCAGTATGGTGAAGAACAATAGATCCGAGGCAATCCTGGATAACTTCAAGAGTCAATAATTTCTTGTAGTTAAAAGCAATTTTTTTACACTTTGCGACTTGCCTTGTAAATTCTTAACTTAAACTTGCTGCGGGTGACAGGTGACAGAAGTGACAGGAGTCTGCAGTACTGCCAACGCTAAAAATTGTTTTATGCAAAAATTTCAATTACAAAATGCCAAAAATATTAGAAAAATGCTAAAAAATATGCAAAAAATTATATCAATATGTTGAAATGTACAACATGCTTGTATTTCATATTTAGGTTGTAGTTAGATGTGTGGTTTTAGGTTTGTGTGTAGTTGAGGTAAAGGGCTGTGGTAAAGCTTGTACGTCGACAACAATCATAAAAAGTAGTACCCGAATAACTAATTAAAGTATGAAGATCTTTGTCTGTATCCTCTTGATAGATGCATTGTGTAGGTATGGATCGAAACACGTAGATGTATGAGCCTTATTTGTCCATATTTTTCGCAAGATACAATATCAATCAGTTTCATATTATTATATTTATTAAATGCAAATGAATTTATTATTGCTAAATCACTAGAAATAATGCTAAATTTAGCCATAAAGATGCTAAATTGCCAGCATTGCATAAGAGGAGTCAGGACTTAGGAGAGACAGTTTGTACATGATTATAAAGTACAACTTTTATTCGATTGATTTTTAATTATCAGGCCTGGTTTTTAGTATCGACTAAGGTAAACATTTTTTTACTATAATATTAATTTTACTATAATGTTAATTATTATGATATTCCTGAATAACGGTTACTATAAAAATACAACTTTTGAAAATGGCTTTAAACGTAAAAAAGTAACAACTAATATTGATAGTATTTGTGTAGCTAAAGCTTATAGTTACTACATATAGCACAGAAGAGTGTAATACTCATCCCAAAAATGTCACTGGTCGTTAAATTTTTTTAGTATTATTTGTAAAAACTTTAATAGCTTAACAACACAGTTACAAAGGTTTAGTTTTGAATGTGACATTTAAATACAAAGTCCTGGTTTGAGGTACTAAAGCCATACCGACAATCGTAAATTGTACATCCTACTTTTCTAAAAAAAAAGATTGGAGTAATTATATAACATTTTAAATTTGAGTTAAAATGTGCTGTTGAAGAACCGGAACCTATAGGTGGTAATTTTTTGGTAATAAAAATGTGTCCTTCTTCTTCGTGGTCTTCATTACTGAAGGTCGTGTCCGTCCTAAAAGCCTATAATCGGGAAACCTATAATCGAGATTGCGGTAGCCAACCGCTTTGGAGATATAGGTCGACAAGCAGCTAAGGTTCCGGGTTCCGGACCATGAAGTCACTCAGTCCGGATGTCAGTCGTCGGCAGCAGGACGTTCTGAATACTGTCACATCAGTACTGCGGTGCAGAAGGCAAGGGGAAACCACTGAATACATATATCATTTAGGGGATGTCAACATTGAAGTTAAACCTATTAATAATGATAAAACAGCTCCCCGTATTTAAATTTAATGGCATAACTCGGCCTTTTTCCTGGGAATACTCATCCTACACGACATAAAAAATGCCTGGATCATGCCATGGGTAAAACGTCTCTTTCGACCTCCATCTATGGTGTAAGGTTAATTATAACGGTCCAACACTATGTTTTTATGAATATTCTATTTAACGCAAGGAAACACCAGAAAAGTCATATTATCAAAACAGATTTTTCTTCACCACAATTGCACATCTGAATTCAATTGATTTTTTTTATCAATCCGAATTGAAACACTAATATTGCTAGCACTCTTTTTGTTGAAAAGCTGTCCTCAACGTTGAAAACTCATACTAAATACCTATTAATGCCTAGGCTTAAGAGGATGACACCAGGAGTCTTAAACCATAGATTACAATAGGGGCACTTCTCTGCATTCAAACAGGGACCGATTCCACTAAAAACATAGGCAAGATCCAGAATAGCATTCTATTCTTATCATACTAACGATATAGAAGCTTTTGTAATGCCCTTCTGCGAAATCTAAAAATTAAATATAATAAATATCTCATTTCAAATGTACAAAATAATAAAGAGAAATGGGAAGCAATAAAAAATAGAACCAGACCAAAAGTAGTGCATTGGGTGATGAACTTATAACCAAAACTGATAATGTGTGTTTGAAACTGTGTGTATGAAATTAATGCTATCAATAATATTTTCTTTGATGTAGGAATAAATCTAGCTAAAAATTCATCTGATACAATTCCTAATTTTAATACCTACACACAATGTTTTAAGCCGAAATGTATGCAATCATTGACGTTGTGCATTTGAACTTGGAATACACTTGAAAGAGAATGCTTAACCTCGGATAGCCAAGCTGCCTTAAATATCCAACCCCTTCTACACAAATAATGATCATTAATCATGGTGTGACATGCGTTGTGGATAAAATTCACGAGCCGTGTCTACGGACATCGCTTCAAAAGGCCGAGGCGGTTTGGTTTCATAAGGTAAGATCCCTAGAGAATAGAGTAAGTCTTTGGTTGGATAAACAGTCATTTGGATGAGGGCCTCTTCACTACACATAAATTAAAAAAAATATTGTGCTCTCTGTGTTTGTAATCACTCTTTATTGGCAGTGGTTTAGTATTGTAATATTAAACCAACTAAATACCGATATTATGTCATTGTTGATTTGGTCCTCCTTTATAGTCGTTTACTTTATAGTTTACTAGCGACCCGGCCCGGCTTCAAACGGGTTTAATGTATTATACATATAAACCTTCCTCTTGAATCACTCTATTTAGTAAAAAAAACCGCATCAAGATTCGTTGGGTAGTTTTAAAGATCTAAGTATACATGGGGACAGACAGACAGCGGGACGGCTTTGTTTTATACTATGTAGTGATGTTTGTTCACTCCACCAGGTTTGCCATTGATATAGCAATTGCCGTAATATACGGTTATTCAAATACATAACTTCAGATAATACGGCATACAGCAGCTTTTGCATTATCGTATAATAATATACGGCATTCCAATGCCGCTTTACAAGGCTACTGTTATAAGTTAAGTGCTCATTATTCGAACCAAACATTTTTTTTATGTGAGAAAGTTGCAAACGAGCTGGTGGCTCACCTGATGTTAAGTGATAACCACCTGCCCATGGACGTTTGCAACACCTGAAGGGTTGCAGATGCGTTGCCACCTCTTAGTAAAGTGGGCCCCGGCTACCTCACTCACCAGACGAAACGCAGAAGTGTTACACTTCTACTTTACGCCGGTCTTCTGTGAGGTCCTGGTACTAACCCGGACGGACCAGCCCATTCGTGCAACAGTGAACACTGTTGCATGGCCCTACCACCACGGAATAAAATTGCACAAAGTAGCTAAAAATATCGATACATTTAATAAAAATTTAAATCGATAGTTTTTCGGCATCCCTATTTTTCGGTATCCCTACTGTCACTCTCGCTAATTTAGGTTATGTTATTCCTGTCTGGGTTTTTTTTAAATGAAATGTGGAAAACAGGCTTCTTAAAATAATATTTATACAAACTCTTTGTACGGCTTATTGAAAATACAACATTAAATAAAATGCAGGTTTCCGAAATCGACAACGTCAAGATATATAACCTCAGCGCTGGAAAGTCTCTACCAGATGTATGCATTTTCATTCCTTCTGTAAATTATAATAACTAATACTTTATCTACACCGAATTTAACATGACTTCACAAAGGAATATTTTTCAAAGTTCGTCAATTCATCAATAAGTTTTTTTTAATGTTTTGTTTAACAACAAATCTTGAATGTAAACAAAGTTTTTATTTAATTGCTTAAACACACCTTTTGCTTAATGAAATAGAAAAAAAATCTTATATATATCTGATATATCTATGTAATTAAAATGTATAAACAGTTACTTGTACATAAGATCCAAAACAAGCTTTCATAGCAGTATGTATCTTAAATTCGTTAAGATTAAAAGGAAATATAAGATTTTTATTTTCATCTGTCATTAATTGTCAATGTTATGTGCAGTGGTTATCAGAAAGAAAAAAGAGGGCAATTCTTAAGAAAAATGTAGACCTACGAAGGAGGATTGAACTTATTCAAGAGTTTGACATGCCTGGGGTAAGCACTAGTATTCAAGCATCAAAAGATGGGCAGTATATAATGGCAACGGGCATTTATAAACCACGGATAAAATGTTTTGATGTGAATAATTTATCACTTAAATTTGAAAGATGCTTAGATGCTGAAGTAGTTACATTTGAAATATTAAGTGAAGATTATACAAAGGTTAGTAATGAAAAAAGAATGAAATTTTGTAAATTTAATAGATGTGTTAAAGTTGATTCTGAATCTATTTTTATTCCTCAGATTGTTTTTCTCCAATGTGACCGATATGTAGAGTTCCATGTTGGACATGGTAGGCATTACCGATTAAGAGTACCTCACTTTGGAAGAGATATGGCATACCATAAACCTTCATGTGATCTTATTGTTGTTGGGGCATCAAATGTATGTGTTTCAATTCGGTAATTTTTACTTTCATCATTGACTTATTCTTTTATTTGTTTTGTATTACAGTTCATCAGTTGTTATTAACATTTTACAGGAAGCTTACAGATTAAATTTGGAAGTGGGCCAGTTTATGGCACCATTTGTAACAAAAGCACATGAAATAAACAGTTGTACTGTGAATGAAGCACATGGTTTGGTCATATTTGGCACTGAAAGTGGCCAAATTGAAGCTTGGGACCCACGAACAAAATCAAGACAGGGACTACTAGATTGTGCCTTGCATTGTTCTGATTTAGAGAAAAAGTAAGACATAATACTTTTTTTTGTTGTCTTGTGATGTCATTAAAAGTATAAATAAATTCATCACACAGTTATTAAATTTTAAAAGTTTACATTAAGGTTTATGCTGTTATTATTCATTCCAGAAGTTTGGCTGCTATAACAAAATTAAAATTTAATGGAGCATTGCAGATGGGGGTTGGTACATCTTCTGGCCATATCCTACTTTATGATATAAGATCTAGTAAGCCACTATTGGTAAAAGATCATATGAATGAAATACCTATTAAGAATATTGAATTCCACTCCCAGATGAATTATGTTTACTCGATGGATTCATTAGTATTAAAAATTTGGGATAGTAATACTGTAAGTAATTTGTACCATGACTTATCATTGTTCTTTGTTAAAATATAATGTATAAAATGGAATTCTAGTAAATAAATGATTTAAACCTTTGTGACACATTATTAATGGAATCATAAAACAGCTAAATTCACATGCGTATCAGTATGAGACAGTGCGCGACCACAAACTCATCCCACTCCACCTAATGAAGAATCTCTGATAGGTCCAAAACTTTTCTGTACATACACCAATTTTATGTGAATTTTGCCGTTTTATCATTTTTGTGGTAGAGCCACACAATAGCATCTGCTGTTGCATGAATGGTCAGGCTTGTCGAGGGAAGTAGCCTAGAGGGCCTCATAGAAGACCGGCTATAAGTGAAAGTATTATTCTTTCGTGTTATGTCTGGTTATGGCGGTAGCCTGCACCTACTTTTTTAAAACTTGTCAACGCATCGGCAAGCCCTCAAGTGTTGTACATGTCCTGGGGTGGCGGCCTTCACTTGTGTCAGGTGAACCACCTGCTCATTTGACAACTTTCCACTTATAAAAAATAAACTTCATTTTCATGAGAAAACAATTTTATATAAATTATTGTAGTGATATGAAGAATGAGTGTATTTAATTACAGGGGAAACAATATACAAATATAGAGAGTGCCGAGGATTTTAATGATCTTTGTGTAATACCCAACACTGGTTTATGTATGATGGCAGTTGAAGATCCTAAAATGCAAATTTACTACATTCCATCATTGGGTAAGTATTGTTTTGATATGGATAAAAAAAGCTAATAATTAAATATTAATTTTATGTTAGAAACACCTTAACATTCCATTCCAATGAGAAAAAGTTATAGTTAAAAAACTAGTAACTTTATAAAATTATTTACATACTGCCATAACTTGGTGCCCAGAAGCTTTCCAATTAACTTAATAAATTAAAGTAACCAATTAACTTAATAAGTTAAAGTTAATAAGTAAAGTGAGTTCAAATCTCAGTACTGCTGTCAATGAAATCCATAATGAAACACTGTGATTTATGCCTTTGGTGTTGTAGCAAAACATCAGAAGAAAGATTTACTTAATATATCAAATATATATCAAATGCACAAATATCATGTGACAAAAGTAAAATAAAACAAAGACAAAGCTATTTGGGCATAATGAGTTAATATGCCGAAACATATTACTCATAAGACTCCATGGCGCAGTTGCAAAGGTAATGGCTTAGGCGCCAGGGGACTAGGTTTTAATGCAAACATAGGACAACTATTTGGTATATTACCCACAGATAATTATTTGGGATCTGGATGATATTATGTTTGTAAAACATCTTTACAACACAGGATACTACTATACTAGTTCCAATAAACTACAAGATAGAAGGCCTTTGTTCACATATAGTAAAATAAACGGCCTGTGGTTGTCCCTCTGCTTCCCAAACATTTCCTCTACAGATAATATTTGGGTATAGTCCATCACACTGCCCAACTCAGATTTGGCAGCCATCATGTATCTTTGAAATATTTCCATTTTATATCAAGTAAAAAAAAAGACCCAGTCTAACAGTCCCACTCTACGCGCCCTACGACGGATCGGCAGACTTCACAAATACTCGAAATATGTTTATTTTTAATATTTCGAAAATATGCAGGTTTCCTCACGATGTTTTCCTAATTGCAATAAACAATTTGTTTGGTGTAGTAGGTACCGGGATTTGAACTCAGTATAACAATAACTTGAGTATAATGTATTAAAAAACGAGAGCATGAACATGAGAGGAGGACTCCGACACTGAGCTCTTATTTTTATGTTGTTTAGAAAAATGCAGGTTTTCTCTGAATGTTTTCATTCACCGATTAGTATGTGATAAATCAGTACTTAATATACTTTAACAGTAACTGTTTACACTACATTATTAATTACAATTAACAATGTAGTCTATTAGTATTTATGTTTTTTTTTTTTCATTTAAAGGGCCTGCTCCGAAATGGTGTTCCTTCTTAGATAATTTGACAGAAGAATTGGAAAGCTCTGCAGTCCAGACAGTTTATGATGATTACAAATTTATTACAAAGCAGGAATTAGAATCGCTAGGTCTGGATCACCTTTTAGGAACAAACTTACTACGAGCCTACATGCATGGGTAAGTAATTATAATCAGTTAAGGCGCTGTATGCAGTGAATTTTTAACTATTTGGGTGGTGAAGTATGATGAAGCGGAGGAGGGGTAACGCCGCTTAGCGGCGCGCAGCGCGCGATTTTTGTCAACACGCCGCTAGACCAAGTCATTAATTTTACTTAGTGTGTGTAATGATGGGCCGTAAGATACTATCGATAGTATCATGGAAGGCTTTCGGAAATGTACACGGATGATCCCTATAATATCTTTTATAGAACATGATTGTATTTTACTTTTAAATTATAATAGGAATAATAATAAACAAACAAATATAAAGTATGAGAAAGCAATCAACAATTTTAGAAAATCTTCTTCGTGTTTATTATTATTATTTAAATTAAATGGAAACGGACTTGATTAAATATACATCTTAAAGTCAAATAAATTAATAAAGGCAAATTATTTATAATTATTTGTTATGTTTGTTTGTATGCTGGAAAGGATATAACAGTAGATGCGCCAAGCATTGCTTCAAATGCTAAATAACAATGTAGAAAGAAGGCGTTAAGATTTTCGTCGCTGTGGCTATCAGCCGTTTAGCTCAGTGGCTAGAGCGTCAGGCCGCGAATGCCGAAGACGTGGGTACGATTACCACAGCGGCTACAATCTTTTCGTACTTTTTCTACATGTTTTAATGTTCAATCTTAAGTGCAGAGATTAGCACTATAAAAAACTTTTAAATTCATTAAGATTTGTTCATTTATTATATCTATTTTTTATTTGAATTTCACGTTTAGAGGTAGGTTCGTGATTTTTTTATATTTAGAAAATATATCGAAAATATGTTTTGAAACCAATGGTCCATTAGAATGTAAGATCAAGATTAACATATATTTTTTTATGATTCTATGAAATGTATAGTTTTTTTTTTTTTTTTTTAATTTTTTTGTAAAACCTATTTTTACTGCATACAGCGCCTTAAACGAATTTTACAGGTTTTTACGTAATAGACTGATAGAAAAGAATCATAGGAAGAAAAATTTACAATATATTATTAATATTTCAGCTACTTTGTGGACGCTCGATTATACAAGAGAGCTAAAACAATAGCAGATCCATTTGCATTTGAACAATACAAAAAGCGTAAGATTCGTGAAAAGATTGAACAGGAAAGGCCAGCGCGGTTAAAATTGGACGACAACCTACCAAAGGTTAACAGGGAATTAGCTTCACGCCTGCAGAATATTGAAGGGAGAAAGAGTAAACAGTCAAATAATCTACTTAAAGATGACCGTTTTAAGGTAACCAACTCTTCATGGAAAATTTCATGTATGAAAAGAATTGATGAATATTAAATATATCGATCCATTTTATGTATGAAAGAATGTGAATGAAAGGTAACTGTGGCAGGGCCATGCAACATTGTTCGCTGTTGCACGAATGGGCAGGTCCGTCCGGGTTGGTACAACGACCTCACAGAAGACCAGCGTGAAGTACAAGTGTTACACGTGCGTTTCGTCCGATGAGTGAGGTAGCCGGGACCCACTTTATTAAAAGGTGGCAACGCATTTGCAACCCTACGGGTGTTGTACATGTCAATGGATGACGGTTATCACTTAACATCAGGTGAATCGCCAACTCGTTTGGCACTTTATCACATAAAAAAATGTTTTATGTGTTTATAATGTTTTATGTATTAATAATGTTTTCGTTCCAGGAATTGTTTGAAAATCCCGATTTTGAAGTTGATAAGGAAGCTAATGAATACCGTTTACTCAACCCAGTGTTAGCCAGACTTGATAAAAAGGGTACAAAAACTATCCAAAGTCACGAGACCAATGTGGCTAAGGCAAGTTATTTGCTTTTAGTTTTTGTTAATTTATGTAATGAATTAACTTGACATACAATAAATATTTAATTTCTTATTATACAGATTGAAGAGCCTATTGAAGACAAAGATTCAGACATGGAATTATATGAATCCAGTGAAGAAAGCTCTGATGATGAAAAGGTTTGGGCGAAAGAGGTTAAAAAACAACACAGAATGATCAGAAATCACAAGTCCAATGATGATGATAATGAGGAACCGCTAAACGAAAAGTTTTATGAATTTAATAATGCACCGAAACTTACTAATATTAGAAGTATAACACAAGTAAGCAAGAGTAGTTTAGGCGAACGTCTAACAAAAGAAGGTTTTACAACAATGGTTAGTGGAGTGGGAGGAAATAAGGAGATGAAATTTACAATGAGAGGAAAAAAGAATGTATCTAATAATCAAAAATCAATGAAGAAACACTATGAAGAAAGAAAGCACCTTGTAAGAAGAACAGGGTTTTTATCTAAAAAGAAATTGACAAGGAAGTGATATTATGTGCTATTAAATAAAATATTTTATAATTTTAAGTAAAATGTTTCATTTTTGTTCATGAATTTTTAAACATTTACTTTCTTTGTGGATTACAATTACTTGATTATTACGTATTTTTGATAGTGATTAGAGTACATATCACGTACCAACGTTTTATTGAATGGTGGCATAAAAATTGGCAATAAAAATTGGTTTCAGTCCAAGAAAACTCCAAGTGTATCGGAAAAAATCATTGGTATAAGAAAAACAGGTATATCCGTGTTATTAGACTAGTGCTAGTATTAGAAAACCTGGGGGTACCAATATAGTATATAAATATTGCTGTATATTTAATTACCTCATAGCGCTTATTGTTAATAATAAATGGCGAACAAGAATCAAAACAAAAATAACTGAACTGTATTGATTATGCATTAAATTTCACAGTGTTACGGACGACAAAAAGCGCATCATGAAGTTTTTATCAGTACTTACAAGGTTATCAAAGTTCAGTGTATGTTACAACAATGAACCACTGGTTAGTGCATTTTCTTATATATTCCCACGGAAACGAATTATTTTAATGTGGTTATACCTATTTGTTTTTACAAAATATAATTTCGTTATTCAAATAAAATTGTCAATTCTTACACTGGCTTTCTATTACATTACCTACATTATTATTTTTTTTCTTTATAAACATTGTTCAAAATAACATTACAGCAGAACAATTAGCCAATATAATTATTCTGTGTATATCAAATAACTGCCCCGTGCAAAGACGGTTATTTACCTCTGACACTTGTTACTCCGGCAACTTTAACTATAAACATGCAATTAAATCATGCGCTCAATGCAGTTCATTGTTATTTATTTAAAGGTTTGGTCGCAACTCTAGAATCTGAACAAGTATGTACCTACAAAATATTGAGGGTATTTCTTAATTCTATGTGTTATACGTTGGGCAAGTGATTTCATTCTTTGATTGAGCCCCAAATAATGCAAAACGACAATGGTTCTTACGGCAGTAGTAAGTGTTTGTAATTTTTTGTTAAATTTGATTACGTCTCATTTAATTTTAATATACCGCCAATATTTAAATAGAAACCTTAGGTGAACTAATAACTAGTTATCTTTTGTATAGTATGCTTAATGGTAATTAAAGTGAAGATATGGGCAATAAAATGGATAATGTGAATTTTCTAAACGATTGTGTAGCGAGTGATTTACTGGACGGCCATGTACTGGGTAACGACAAGCTGGTGGGTGCGCCAGCCATGGAGAGATCTAGGAGGTCTAGTTTAGGTGCAAATAGTGTTGATGTGAGTAAAATAATCATTTATTAGGAAATTCAGAATTATTGATCCATACAAATAAAAATACATAATCCTTATACTTATGACAATTAGTTTTATCAATTTTGAATATAATGAAGTAATTTATGTAATATTTCAATGGTGTTAAGATTTTTTAAAAATTGTATTAGGTTTTATTTTTATTTTACACAAATACTATTATTCAGAATGATTAACTATTCAAATTAATTTTCTTTTCATATAGATAGGTGAAATAACAGAGTCGCCCGACACAGAATACATGAGTACATCAGCAATTTTACATTATTGTAAATCAAAGGTGAGTGTATAAGTAACAGTTACCTTTTCTGAAATAGATGGTAATGTATTTTAGATAGATTTAATCTTGTAAATATTAGATCAATAAAGATTGTAAACATGTATTTCAGAAAAGGTAACTGTTACTTTTTCTGAAATAATAACTTGCGATAAGTTTAATAAGGGTAATAAGTAAAATTTCATATATTATTTCAGATATTAGTCCCGTATTTAAAGCTTTTAACTATTATGGGCTTAAGGCCTGTGGTTGATTCATCGAACTCATCAAAATATGCAATTTGTTTTTCACATTTCCATACCGCACAAGTAGCGGTGTTTATGTTTTTAGGATATATATTGCAGTACATGGCTTGCTTCAGGTAAATATTATCCAAGGTTTCCTATACATAGCTTAATCCTTAGTTTATTTTGTTATGAATTAAAAAAAAATGTAATAATTTTTGTTTTAGGCGAGATAGAGGATTTTGTTATAAGTTAGTGCCACTTGCTCTTACATCGTCATTGGAGTACGATACTTACCAGCAAATTTGTTATGGAAATATTACTTTGACGTATATCGGGCCTAGTATTCTTCACTTTACGGGGTTTTTATACGCACTTTATTTATTTAGAGTATCAGACAATGAACAGTTACAAAATCTTATGGAAAGAGTAAGTTCTAAAATACTGATTTAATTAGTTCGACTGATATAAAAAATAAATTAAACTCTATGTACCTAATATAATGTTAGTTCTTTAGGACGTGATTACAAAATGTTAATGATATTTTCAATCTTTACAGGTGTTCCTTTTGTCTTCTTATGCTCCACAAGGAATGGCCACAGCTAATCCTAAACGCTTGTTACGGATGTTATGGATCTTCATAATTTTAAGTGTTGTCTGGATGTGTGTTTCTTTATGCTCTGTAAATTTAATGTTAGCCAGAGGAACAATAATGTTCCGATGGATGGAAACAAGGTATATAATTTTTCTCGTCATTAGTAATACGTCAGTACTAATTAATATTTCTTTATATCATTATAAGACATCATTGTCTTGTTCTCAGCTCCAATGACGCAAAACTCGCTCTGAAAATACTTCTTATTGTATGTACGCTGATACATGACATGGTTCAGGCTACAGTAATAACCAGCTACTGTCTGCAGGCACAATTACTACAAGCCCATCTTATGTTTCTCAAAGAGCGTTTACTTAACCGTACTATTACCCCTTTGAATTGGATGAGGGTAAGTATAAATTGTTATTAAGTTTAAAGTTACACTTCGACGCCAAGATACGTTAAAATTGATGATTTGAAAATTATTTTTATTTAACACAAAGCTATCCGAAAAAATATTATCTCTATGTATAAAATATTTTTTGTATTTCATTAATCATTTAGTATAACTAAAGTTCGTATATTGTCGCACACAAGAGTTATCGATGGTCACATCATATACAATACAACTGATATTTGGGTATAGGATGTGATAATTTGAGTAGTCATTTAAACGAGGGCAGTAAGTCGCCAGGAAACATTTATCTTTTTTGATATTTGTTCTTAATGTCTCTCTTCTCTGTCAATATGTGTAACCTACCACGATCTTGTTAGTCAATATAATACAGTTTATCAATCTTTTTGCAAATAAATTAACACTTTATAATACAACAAACAACCTAACAATTGTCGCAAAAGATGTCGGCTGTTAATGTTACAACGAATAATTTCGATAAATTGAAAGACTAAGAGGTTTTTAGATTTATTTCCAAAAATTAGAAATAGAACAGCCAAACAGATCATATTTGTATATGTCATATTTTTTTTGTAATAGGAAATTGCAGAATTCCGGAAGTTACTTAAGTATTTGAATGACGATCTGGCGCCCGCCGTTTGTCTTTTCACGTTAGTGAATATATCATGGGCGGCGTCCGGTCTCATGTGGTTGTTTGACCTTGACAAGGTGGACACGGAGACTGAGCCAATTGCCGGAATTAGCGTTCTTAACCAATTGCTTTGGTTGTCCGCGGTTGTGGTTCCATTTGTTCAGGTTTGTACTTTTAATTGTTTTACCTATCCTTCATTTGAAATATCCGACACCGTAAAAATAATTAAAATCTGAACTTATTTACTTAAATTCTAATTAGGTTATATTTCCATCATACTCTAATGCCTAGTCTTTTTCTACATTGGTCAATTTTTCTCGTCAAATGTGTAAACCTTTATTTGGCTTTTAATTCAACTATCTATTAGTCTTTTAATTCAGCTTTTTGTGGCTAACCGAATCATTTTCCTGTAATTTAGTTGTTTGATTGACACCCCAATTATTATAGCGAAAAACGATTACCCCCTACAATTCTTTGTAGATAACTTCTCTACGAAAAACCCTCTCACGGCGGGCGTTCCTCAAGGCTCCTGCCTCTCCCCCTTGCTTTTTACGCTCTACACGAGCGACATACCAAAAGACCCGCACGTCAATCTCGTGCTTTTCGCGGATGTTACGGCGCTCTTTTATTCAGATAAATTCCACAAATGGAGAATAGAAATAAATCACAAATTATTATTATATAAGGCCTGCGTAGTAACTATTATATCCTACGCATGCATAACCTTCGCCCAAACAAACCCTACTCGCTTGTACAAGTTGTAAATAGTACAAAATTATTTCATCCGCCGCGCAACCGGTGCGCAGTGGTATCAACGCAAAGTCGACCTGCACAATGACAGCAGACTCCCGACGATTCGCGAGCATTTTAAAGATCTCATCAAACGGTTCTTTGAAAGAACCGAACATCATCCCAACCGCAGCAAATTACCAAACCGACACTAACGTCGGGCGTCAAACAAAAAAAAAGCGCAAAACAACAAGCGCCGCCTGCGCAACGTCCTCATCGACCCACCGTCGGGGGTCCTGCCAAATAACACTACACACCGTCCCCAGCCACTGACCAACCAGGCACAGTCAACGGCCATCGGGGTCACGGTCCGCACCGAGCCTTAATGGCCCGTAGGCGAATGCCATAATTAACGTACGAATGAAGTACATGCTCGGCCCTACCCACTGAGGAGGGCCTCAAACCCGTGGGTTCTGGTTATACAAAAACAAAAAAATGCAAATACGAGATAGATATGATACTAGCGCACCGAATATGAGGCACTCAAATTACGCCAATTGGTGTAATTGGATTGCAGTTCCATCTCCCTTTTAGGATTCCGCACACAAAAGTTAAAATGAGACCCTTTTACTAAGACTCCGCTGTCTATCTGTCTGTCTGTTTGTCACCAGGCTGTATCTCATGAACCGTGATAGATCGTTGAAATTTTCACAGACGATGTAAGTATTTCTGTTGCCGCTATAACAACAAATACTAAAAACAGAATAAAAAAGTATTTAAGTGGGGCTCCCATATAACAGACATGATTTTTTGCTGTTTTTAAAGATACGAAGTATAACGGAATATAGTATATAATATTATTATGTTTTAATAGGTACGGAACCCGCAAACGCGCAATATGGACATGCCTCATTTATATTATTAAACATAAGTGTACGTAGATACATAAACGCACGCAAAGCAGGCATGAGCACATGCGCAGCCCTACGTTACTTCAAGGGTCGTATTGTACGTAACATTTAACGAATGTCCGAAGGTCGAAAGAAGACGCGAAAATCAATACTGAGCCAATGTATTCGTTTACGTTTACAGTAGTTTAATCAAACTATATATATAATTATGTGCATGAAAACACAAACAAAAATAAAAATATCTCAGTTGGGCTATTTAAAGTGCAGTTTGCAAATCGTTTATGATTTTGCCGAGACTTGAATATTATTTCATCAAAATTGGTTCTGCGGTTTAGTCGTGAAGGCGTAAAAGACAGACAGAGTACATAGTATAAAACAAAGTCTTCTCACTGTCTGTCCATATGTTTGCTTAGATCTTTAAAACTACGCAACGGATTTTGATGCGGTTATAAATTATAGCCTATATGTTTGATGTATAAGGTATATTATTGTAGTTTCATTAAAATACATTCAGTAGTTATTGCGTGGAAGAGTAACAAACATACATACATAAAAACTTTCCCCTTTATAATACTAGTAAGGCAAGGATGTAAAAGGATTATATCTAGATAACCTAAATCTAATATACCCATTGCCAATATTTACGCAATTAACGTATACATATACGGCTTTTGAACCTGTGTAAAATCGATATTCCCATAGTTCTGATAGTGCTTTTGGACATAGTTTTAAGGTTATCACTTGGAACGGCCCTTGTATATTGGGAGTATTAAAATGTCGTTTGCTCGCTGCTTATCTGCCTTAATTTTTCAGGCTGCACGGCTTTCAAAGGAATGCCGGAGAACGCAATCAGTAGGGCACGACCTGTGCGTTCGACCGTTCCTGCACCAGGACACATCGCAAGAGGACATTAGCTCTGTACTCATGTATGCCGCTACGCTCAAACTTCGCGCCAAATTGTTCCATTACCCTATCGCTGGCCGATATGTCTGTCTCGTTCTGACAATCGCTGTTATTGTCCTCTTCGCCCTAGGCATGTGTCACTTTTTACAGTAATTTTTATTATTGCGAATGTTTAATTCAATTTAAATATTCATGTGATTAATTATAGAATTAATTATTAATGAATAAAACAAATATTGATTGCAAAAATCGTTTATTTCGTTTTCTCTACAACATCTACTGGTTGGCACAAAGATGTGGCACCACTAACATTTCATTTTCATTACATTCAATACATATATCGTAAATTTGAAAGTATCAGTATAAGATTTCTTTATTTAGAAGTTATAGAAACTTCAGCAAGAATACTGTCTGTACACTTGCAAAACGTCATGTATTTTCTTCATTATAACCTTGGGAGGAGTTAATATGCTTTCCAATTCTATACTAACACATAATAATATAATACATTAACAATATTATAGTTTAGTTAATATCATGACATATTGTCTATGCAATAAATTGATCATTCATCAATTTAAAAAATATAATTTTATTAATATAATATAATAATATAATATTATTTAAATTGATGAACGATTTGATTTATTTTCGAATACAATTAAAACATTTTCACAAACATATCAAACTGCTGCAATATTTTGATGCAGATTGCGTAATTCATTAGTAATAAATATATCCTTGCTCTTTTATGATTTATAACTTTTATAAATGTATGAATATAATTAAAAGACATATGTGACAACATATTTTTTTATCTATGAAGAACATACTACACTCGATTGTACAAGCCAGACCAGGAGTGTAAGTGTAAACATCTATAATTATTATCATGAACTCGCACGGACCTTCGAAGACTGAGATGGAATTCCTCGTAACGAGTAATGCACTCAGTCTTCTCGCAATATATAATTAATTTTTCAAGAGTTTCTGAAGGAGTCAGGTGTATGTTAAATATCCAGGCTGTATTATAGCCAAGACAAAAAGGTACAAATACAGACAAGTTGAAAAAAATCAATATGCTTATAGCTACAATAGTTTCTTTAAGCTTTACATCAGCAAAAAAAGGAACAAGAATTGCGCGTTTTGAAGCATATATCGTAACATACATCGTCATTTTCTGCACCAGATATGTTCAAGGAAGATCAGCCAACGATTTACATCTTAAGAATCGATAGGTCGCAGGAAACTAAAAGTCGTGCCGTTCATTCTTAATTGAAATTAACAAGTTTTTTGCTCTGACTACGGCCAGTTATTTAAAATTTCTATTAGCGCGCTAGTTAGTCGGGCTCCACCAATATAATGTAAAACTGTGAACTACAAAACTGCGTAATAACGATATATGATAAGATGATACAGCGAAACCTACATAAGCGAACTTTTTCAACTTTTATCGTAGAAATAACTATTTTTATATTTTGCATCGTTCAGTCGGTACAGTCGCGCAACAAATGGGCCAATCCAATCCATATAAGTGATGTAAGGATGAAGTTCCTAAAACACAATCGCGCTGTAAGTTTATAGCGGAACTTTATTTGATTTGTGTGCAACATGGGATAGTTGTATCGGTCAGAAGTCGGTACAGTCGCGCAACAAATGGGCCAATCCAATCCATATAAATGATGTAAGGATTATATTCCTAAAGAACAATCGTGCTGTAAGTTTATGGCGGAACTTTATTTGAATTGGGTGCAACATGGCATAGTTGTCTCGGTCAGCGGTCGGTACAGTCGCTCAGGAAATGAGCCTAGTCGGCGTGCGGCGGGCCGGTGAGGTGCGCGCGCCACCAGTCGTGCAGGTGGTGCAGCGCGGGGCCCCCTCCGCCCCCGCCCCCGTATCCGCCCCCGCCTCCGCCTCCGCCTCCGCCCCCGCTGCCGGCCGCCACGCTGCCCGCGCCCGAAGGCGTGTTGTGCGCCCGGCTGTTCGTCTTCATCACCGCTGCGCCCACGCAAAAGGAATATTACACATTCGTCGGAACATGCCAAACGCAAAATATATATCGGATTAACGAATTAAAGAAAAAACTAGAAGCTACGTCGGCTCTCGCTGATTAAGAACATTAACACGATGGTCCTTATGATTGAAATGCTTTTTTTTGCATTTAATAATGACTTTTTTATAAATCATTTTGATTTTCCTCGGATTATTTGTTTGATGATTTTTTTTGTGTACATCATTTAGCTGTTTCGATGACGATTGAGATATGTTAATACTGTAGAGGTTATGTCATAACCTTTTTAAATATAAGTAGCTCTCAGTTTTTTTTTATATGAACTTATGATTCAGAAGTACTATGCAATGAACAAAAGTAAATGCTGTGAAATACTTATATAGAGGATTTAATAAAAATATTTCTTTAGATTATTTGATTCATACGAAAGGCAACTTACGTGGCGATTTCTTATTCATAGTGGGATGGGGGTCGCTCAACGTTGGCTGCAGATACTTCTTAACGGGACTTTCGGGTCTAAAAATATATAGGACGTTTGAATCAAAAATATAAATCCGATTCATTAAAATATACAGTTTCACTTACCTGGGCAATGTTACCGATGGCAAGCCTGGTCTCTTTAACTGTGCTTTAGTAGATGATCGCTTCGGTTGAGAATCAAATGACGAGGTCATATCTAAAAATAACGAAAAAATAACAAATGTAGCCGTTGTATAAGAAAAGGACCCACTCCAGAAAGAATAACAGTAATAATATAAATTTATGTACTTTATATATTAAATACATTTGTCAAGGGTTCCATAGTTATAGTGGCATCTAAATTAAGTAATAGATTCTTAAATTATATTAAAGGAATAAAAGTAATAGTAAAGTAGCTTACTTGACATTATTGGTTGTGAAGTAGACTCCGTCATTTCTGTGCGGCCAGCATTAGCGACGACTTGCTAATAATGAAATATAGTATAAAACAGTAGTACGTATACAGAGAAAGTATACAAGTTAGACAAAGAAATATTAATATATAAAATTCGAAAATTTTCAAAAACTATCCACCTGAGCTTCGGTCTCCATTTTTTCTTTCTCCGTTTTCTCATTGGGCATATCGATAATCTGCTCGTTGGTTTTTCTCAATCCGGCAATTAAACTGGTCTGTTGTTTCTGAAAGTATTAAAGAAACATTTTCGTATATGTGACTTATTTTTACAGATCAAAAGGTAAAACGAGACCCTATAAACTAAGAATCCGCTATTTGTCTGCCTGCCTGTGTGTTTGTCTATCTGTCTGTCCGTGTGTCACCACGCTGTATCTGAACCGTGATAGACATTAAAACATGTAGAAAAAGTACGAAAAGATTGTGACAAACAGTTGAAATTTTCACGGATGTTGTATTTCTGTCGCCCCTATAACAACAATTACTAAAACAATTAATAAAAAAAATTACGAATTGAAGAACTTACGCTGCTATTAGCGCGAATTTTTTTGAGGCAACCCTCAAGCCAAGTGCGGATAGTCTGTTTGGCGACTTCCTCCTCGATCAGAAACTCGAACTCTTCCCTAGCGAGCAGCTCCTCCATTTGTAAAGACTTGCGGATGTCGACGGTACGGTACGACAACATGCTGAAGTATGATAAAAAAATAAATAAATTAGAAAATTAGCTCTTCGTTCTATTTTAAGTATAAAATAAACAATAAGATTATATTTTTAAATTAAATTGTGTAATTATAAATATTTAGAAACAATGCCAGCAATGTCTGAAACAACAAAACTTCATCCGTACTCTATTTTAATAAAGGATTATATATAGTCTTTCGTTACATATAGGATTAGCACTAGGCGCCATTGCTAAAAGTGCAATAGGAAGAAATAAGATATATGTCAAGATTTTCGTGTCGTGAGGTCATCGGCCACTTAGCTGAGTTGGTAAAGCGTCTGGGCGCTAAACCAGAATAATTGTAATTAAGCCGAAATATGAATTAAACTTTTGCATACTTGATGACGTCATGAAAGGTGACATCTTCGCCGTTGTGCAGCCTTTCTAGTTCGTAGCACATGTACTTGAACAGCAAGCGCTCCTTATGCGTGTCGCATTCCAGACGCCCCTTCAGCAGCCGCAGGATGAATTTGACCTTGGTCATAATTTTCAGTTAAAAAATCAATTTAAAAAAAAGTTAAATCAAGTTGATTCTTAGTTGTATGCACGGATGGGTCTTGCGTTTCCGGATTTGTTACGAGCCTAAATCACTGGATGAAGATTCATGTCCGATATAAGAAGAAACTGTCAAAGATATAGATGGCATTACCTTCCTCACAGGAATGACCCCCTTCTGGTGCACGTCTACAATGTTCCAGGTGTTTTGGAAGTTCCTAATGTCCGCATACGACAGAAGAGCATCTTCTTCGTTTGAGTAGAACAACGAAAAGTTTTCCATTATTATAGCTGCAAGAAGAAAGAATGAGAAAATTAATTTTAGTATCTTTTGTTAAATTAAATATGAAACTCTTTGGCATTCAAATTTAATTGAGTTGGCTTTAACTCCTGGGAGTTTATGAGGTATTAACCAGTCAAAGGTAAGCTAGGGAGAGCCGCTTATTTTTTACGCGCTACTTTTGAATTCAATATACTCGAGCAACCTGAGTTCAATCCCCGGTGCCGGCACCAATGAAATTGTTAAATTATGTGCTGAGACTTATCATGTGAAGCAGTGAAGAAAAACATCGTGTACAAAAATATTTCGAAGACATATTATAAAGTCCACCAAGCCGCAGTGAAGTCGCGTGGACTGCCCTAATATGCTCTATACAGAGGCATTTGCCCAGCATTGGGGCTTAAAATAGAGGTTGTTGCTTCAATTTTTTAACATTTCATACCCAAAGAGTAAAACGGGACCCTATAATTAGTTATAGTCTTAGGACGGAGTCTTAGGACTCCGCTGTCTGTCTGTCTGTAGGTCCGTCCGTCCGTCCGTCAGTCTATCACCAGGCCAGGATTTTCACAGATGAGATGTTTCTGTTGTCGCTATAACAACAAATATTAAAAAACGGTAATAACAAATATAAATAGACATGATTTTTTTTAGGTTTTTATATAGATAATGGTAAGGAACTCTTCGTGGTTCATGGTTTTATTTCACTTATACGGACCGACGAGCAAGTTGAGCACGATGTAGGTGATGATGACGTAGAAGGTGCAGAAGTAGGCGAGCGAGGCGGTGAAGTTGCCGCAGTCCGTCTCCCAGTAGTTATCGGCCGGCGTGCAGTAGGGCGGCGCCACCATGCAGTCGTGCATGATCTTGTTCCAGTCCTCGCCCGTCACGATGCGGAACAGCATCGCGACGCTGTGGATCGGCGAGTTGAAGTTGGCGCGTCTGGAATACGACCACGCTCTGCACTAAGCGACGACGCGATGACAATAATACTTATTTGGACTGAAATTGCTTTATGAATTGAAAAATATATGAGTGATATACAGATTTTTGGTATCTTTTTTTTATACATTAAAGAGTAAGAAGATGTTAAGTGGTAACCGCCGCCCATGAACATTTCCAACACCCGTAGGGTTACGGTAAACCTTTCAATAAAGTGGGCCCCGGCTACCTCACTCACCAGACGAAACGCAGACGTAGAACACTTCCACTTGCCGCCGTTCTTCTGTGAGGTCTGAGGTCGTGGTACTTCCCCGGACGGACCTGCTACGTGGCCCTAACGCATTTATCTTATTCAAATTATTCCCTAACACTAATTTGATAATTCAATTTGTCGATCGCTTATTTCTTACTGTTCAACAGTGTTAATGTGCATGAGTGAACTCCGGGCCCGGCACTCGAACTCAACACAAAAACCCCTGAAAAGCCTTCATGCCGCAACGGCAGAGTATTCATATAAAAGGTATGGAGACAGTAAAAAAAGTAGTAAAGTACATCCCGTAAAACAAGGTTATAAGAACTTTCTACTCTACCTTCCGAACCGGTGGTAGAGTTTTTTGACTATCAATAAGTAAGTGAATACTTCTATATTGAATAAAGATATTTGACTTTGACTATATAAACCTATGTGAATTGATAAAATAATTGTTCTTTGCACCGAAATAATTACTATCGTTGTGAGGTAACATTTGATTAATTATATTATTCGGAATAAATAAATTTTTTATCGTTGACTTTACAATAATAACAAAAAAGAGGGAAATTTCATAACGAACCATAAGCAACCGTACCTCCCAATTCCTTCTCCGTATTTGACGTTTCCGAAAACGATGGTGCCGGCCAACGCGTAGAAGAACACGAGCAGGAACATGCCGAAAATGATGAAGAAACTCTTGCACACGCTCACGCCCACCGTCAGCATGAGCATCTTCAGCGTAGTGTGCTTACCGGTGATCGTGAAGAACCGCAGTATGACCACCATAAAACCCACGAAGTAAGAGAGGTCATTCTGCAATCGAATAAAAGTATGAACGAACAAAATTTATTCTTAATCACAGCGCGGCCCAAAATACGAAGGGCGTTCAATGAATTCTAGGTATCGGGGCGATATAATAATTAGGTAATTAAATTATCTCTTAGTTAATGACCCTCATCCAGAGTATAAACATAAAATTTCAATGAAGTGTCACGAACACCCACCAAAGAAGTTAAAAGTCACCCATCCGCCCGAAAACTTGGCCACAGTGTTATGAGATTCTAAGGGGATCTTACTGATTGATTACACAAGAAAGATCAAAGTATTACTGCCGCATTTTGCGCAAACACCCTACGTAATTTAAAGGAGGCAATAAAAAAAAAGACGTGGGAAATTGACCTCAGGTGGCTTGCTTTTTCACGACAACGGACCGATTCACAAAGGGACCAGGGCTGTACGGGATTGCGGATACGAAGAATCCACCCGAAAGCTCGGACCTAGCCCCTAGTGACTACTTTATGTTCCCCAACCTCAAGCAAGATCTTCGAGGGCATTTCTCCGTCAATGAAGAATTGAAGGCGGCAAGGGATAAACATTTTTCAGACAAAGAAGAAAAATATATTTTAGAGGGTCATTTAATTTCCTGCTTGTTCATTCATGCCTACCGAAAACACATTGAACGCCCCTCGTATACCCTATACTTTTGTGTCTGCCACAGCGTGAGCAAATCATACTTTATATTTTTGGCAATGTATTATAATAAGGCTTTATGCGGACTAAATGACGCACGAAATAATTTGCACAGAAATAACATGCACGGCTACGTGAAGGAGACGGCAATATCGAGTGTAATAAGTTCCTCAGGGAACAGCGTTTGACATTATACGTCGTAATCCTTGTATAATAAAAGTTAATTAGGCATTTAAGGGACATTTTGCTTGACGAATTATTGTAGATTGGGCTCGATAAGAACCTGTTTTTAATGTTGAGATCGATCGAACGACACTAAGGCGTCTAAAGTGACACAGGGGTATTCGACCTCATTTTTTTTGCTATCTGTTGATCGATAACAACACTAATGCGATTTCGCACTCGAATGTACGCGCGCGATGCGAGCGTGGCCAAAACGCTGAGCGCGGTCGGCGTCACCTTGAGGATGAAGTGCATGAAGATCCATATGCAACCGGCGACGGTGACCAGCAGGTCGTAGCGGTTGCGCCTGCTCTGCCAGTAGCCGCGCGGCGTGAACGCTATCGTCTTCAGCACCACCTCCACTACGAACACCAGCGTGAGCAGCGCCGACGTCAGCGCCAGCCGCTCCGTGTTCGACGAGTGGCTCGACCACTATCGGCCAGACATCTCGCTTGTCTTATAACTTATAACTAGTGTAGTAGGTACACTATACAATTATGGTTTAACGAGCCTATTTAAGGGATTATCGAACGTTTTAATTTGATTTTTAAATTCCCGACGTTTCGTAACCTTCCCAGCGTTCGTGGTCACGGAACACACTGAGTTGTTTTACGACCTAAAGTTAGAGTTAACCCCGGGCTACATTCAATTAGCCCCGTCACCATCAACGCTGGAAAGGGTAAGAAACGTTGAAAATTTAAAAATTAAAATAAAGCGCTATTAAATCCGTAAAAAAATTGAAATCAATACTTTACAATCATTTTCATTTTTACAGCGAACCTGTACTCATAATGATTTTTAAAATGTCATTATTTGTAATATAAACTGTAGAAACATTTTTTTTGCCGCCACCAGGATCGAACCTACGTCTCCTAGGCACCCAGGCGCTATAGCCTAACTTAGCTAAGCGGTTGCGATCTATACGGCGTGAAACCCGTACATAAGACATTTATTAGTATGCTAGGTCGAGTAGGCCCATAGCGCACTTTAAAAAAAATTGCATTGCAAAGTGTGAGAAATCACACGATAAACTAGTCAAATGAAAAACAAATCACAAAACCACAGACAAAAGCTCTCTTCTTACCGTAACAGCCAGAAGGGCGCTGTTAATCAGAACTACAATAGCGATGACCCGCTTGAACGATAGATTTTGCGTGACGTCGTAGGCGAAGGCGCGTACTTTCCTGCCATCGGGCCGAGGTGGCAAGTGGAGGGGCTGAGCGATTTTCAGCCTCTTTTTCAAGTCGCACCTAATAATAAGACATTGTTTTACGTTCCCTCCCTTCTTTCCTTCACTGATGATAAATCATTACGCCCGAAGATCTATCACGGCTCTGTTATGATAGTTGTGAACAATGATGTTATTTGTTTATATAATAAGTTAACATAGTTTTTTATATAATAGATACTAATTCAAAGCTGGCTTGTAAAGTCACCTTCACTTTAAATAAATGTATTATTGCAAAAGGAGTTTCAGAAGGAGTACATAACTCCTGAAAGCCGATGAGTTTGAGAGTAGATAAATAGGCAAAAGCAAAACAGTTCTTCTTCTCCCCTTTTCGTCTATTGTCTTACTTTTCATTACTGAGTTAGTAACATAACATAAAAAAAATAAAGTTACCATCGGCGCTGGTCGACGGTCAAGAGGGCGGTGCCTTTGTTCTCGGAGTAATTGGCGATCACCACACCCACAAACAAGGTCAATCCGATCATGCAGCCCAAGAATATGTAAACATGAATGTATATCGCGTGCACCTGAAATGCGAAGGCAGATACGAGTTCACTTTGAGTTTTAAAGCTAAATTCTTACTTATAAAATTTTAATTTTACATTAAATGACATGTAAATCAAGTAGAGTTACTTCTTCTTTATAATGTCGTGTACATTATTGAGAAAAGTTATGTTTTATTTTATGGCTCATTCTTAATCGAGAAATTCATTGGCATCTCGCACAAATTAACTGGTCTATATGCTTCTCTACGTTAGAATTGTTTACTTACATAAAATGTGTGTACAACACTAGATCCTATCATAAAATAGGAATAAAACTGTTATACGTAAGTAAATAATAGAAGTGCCTATAAGTCCTCTCATTTCTAAACACTTAAAATATAGTATACTCACTGGCCCCAATGCTTTAATCAGTACATCCCTTACGTCCAACCAGCCTTTGAACGAGAGTACCTCAAAAAGCGTCAGCAGAGCGTCCCCTATGTTGTCGAAGTTGAAGCGCTTGGGGTTAGCCCTGTACACAGATAGTAATAACAAGCATATTATCAATAAAGTTCTTTTTCTCATTTTCTCTAAAGGGCGTTTGGAAAAAAAATGAGGGTAACATTTTTACGATGCGCGCACACATCGACCCCCCAAAAAGCTACACGTTGAAGCGAAGTTGGGCATCGCCGTAACATTTAGCCATAAAATAGGTACGGTAGCAAATGGAGGTTGTATGTAACAGTCAGTGTGTAACTATGCGTACCATACTCTAGGCACCAGCATGGACGGGAAGGTCTCGTTGGCCCCCGGCCTGATCTTCATTTTGGTCACGAAAACGCGTCTCATGAACACGCCGACGCAGTCCTCCCGACGGGTGATCGTCGGATCATTGCACCGGGCTAGCCTTTGGTGAAGGTAAAAACGGTTTCTATTAATAAAATGCTGAATTTTACCGTATTATCGAATTGTTATAAAGAACTTCATATCTTATGAAATGGTGAGTTTTTTTTTGTAATATCAGAACGCATGAAACACTACATAAAATCCTTAAACTGATGACCGACTCAGATCTGCCCCATGAAATAAGCTGGTAAAATAGATTTAATATATTATCATATGTTAATTATTATTTTCGTTCAAATATATTAATATATTTGAACTTCGAATTGCCTTATTTGAATTTCCGATAGAAAAACATATTATAAATCGAAATATTTAAAAAAAAATCGAAGAGTTTATAAATCATTTAATATTCTTAGCAAATGATCACGTTGAGATAATATATAAAATCTTACCTCCCGCCATATAGTTGAACGCCATAGCTTGCGAATACGAACATCAACAGTATGAGGAGTGTCGATACCTGCAATGTTTTGTTATCGTCAGCATCATCATCATTTCGACCTATTTAAGTCGACTTCTGAGCCACAATTCACATTATTATATTGTTGTTGTTCGGATCAAACCCGCCCACACAAATATATGATATAGTAATTATCAATATATCCAATAAATGATATAGTTTTCATTTATACCCTGCTAATTTATAACCGCTTGTCAGCGCTAAGGTAACTTTCTCACCTCCATGTTGGTTGCCATCGGTTATTTCTTTATCCAAAGATTTTCGCAAGGCATAGGCATCAGAGTAAGCAACACCACCGATTCTTCTCTTTAACTGATGAAAGCAACCATAATCACACGGACGTAAGTCAGGGGAATACGGTGGTTGAATCCAACGCTCAATCTTATGTTGATTCTTAAATATTGCGCAATAAAAATTCAAAACCGGGCGGGTTTGATCCGAACAACCTAATATATCTTTATCCAACGACTCGTGAGAGTGCAGTTGAGACAGACCTCAACACTGTCTAATCTGTATGAGCAATCAGCTCATGGCATTTGTTCAAAAGTGCAGTAACTTCTTTCATATCGTATACTTTTATCGAAACAAAATACAGTAACGTTATAGATAACGTTACTGCATTTTTTATATATGTAGGCTTACATTTTTATCTACATATTTTAGGTTTAATCTTAAGATTTATTGCAGAGATCAGCATTAAATTGGGCGCGTTAGCCGGAATATTTGAATCCTGTCGGGATCGAATTTTATTTCTAAATTCTATAGAAAAATTAAAACACATTTGTACTGCCACATTATATATTATTATCATGCTAAATACAAATTAACATAAAATTAAATAAAAATAAAGAAGGCAGTAAAAATAAAAACTAAATAATAAAATATAATCATAGTTTTTTCACAATAAAACAATAACAAAATTTTCTTTAATATTTATTTACTGACACATTCTCGTGTAGCTTCCACCTCAAGAGTCTTCTAAAGTGAGCTCCTGAACGACATAAGCAACATAGTCCTATTTATTAAAATAAACAAATCTGTTATAATTTTTTTTATTTAATCTAGTAAATTTATCTGATTTTTTAGATTCGTACTTACCATTAAGCATCTTAGAATTTTTCTCTTCAGAAGTTTACGCAGTGCCCTGATCATTTTGGACGATCGTTACGCCGAATTACCTGAAAAAAAACGATCCAAATAATAATATCGGTTACTTTAAACAAAAACAATCAGAATCAAAATCATTTAAGCATTCATAAATTAATGTAGGTCAAGTCGCATATATACTTACTTTCGTTTTAAAATATACTTCTATAAATATCTCTTAAGTGAATAAATGACTCGACCATAGTCGTGTGGTCATGGAGCGCACATTAAATAATCGAAAATGAATCGTTTGAAACGTTAACGGACGAGAAAAAAATAATTCAATGTTCTTTTGCGAATACTCAACGTGTTGGGCAATACGATCGGCTTTTGTTATAATAGTTGGAATTAGGAGGAAGATACTAAAGATATGATTACCAAAAGTATTTCTTTAAATCCTCGGCACAGCTCGTAGACGACCTTGCGCATATGTGGCACAAGGGTAAATATTCGTAGGGGACGCACGCAGCGGAGTATCATGAGCATTTGCGCCGCAGAGCCGGGTGGAACACGCACCGGCATCCAACATAGGAACGTCAGTGATACCTGTTCGTGGAATAAGACAACAAATCATGCGTAACGCGTTATAGATAGCGAAATGTAAAGTTTTGTATCCACCTAAAATTAAAAAAGAAGATAGATATATCAGTCATTAACCATTCCTATGGATGACAGACGCTAGTGTTGACACCCAAATATTGTCATATTATAGTTCACACGAGTGGATGTTTCCAACTCCCAATTTTATTGGTTTTAAATTCACTAGACGACTTAACATATTTTTAAATGTCTGACACTTGCGAAATAAACTATTAAAATTTTAAATAAAATTATTATCGATGACAGCATTGGGATTTGAACTCGGTTACAAATAGGTATGAGCACTGAGCTAACCGTAACTCGAGTCACCACAGATTTAGTAATGTTTTTGAATAAAGAAAGCCTTTCGTCGTTAGTCCGGAAATATGGAAAAATCTATTACGAAATTTCAGATTTTAAATGAGAACAAGATTTAGTTAAACCTAGATCTCCAAAGGTGACCTTATGAACAAAAAATGGAATGTACATTATCTTTGAGAACAGAGAAATAAAAGTAGTAATATAACTAATCGAACTATCTTAATCGACTTGAAATAATTTATGTTTAATAAATTAAATCACTATAGTAATAAAAGTTTTACTCTTATTAATTATTATTTTTGCAACGTCAATATAGAGACATTATATAGATTTCTACGCAACTGGTGTCGATTATTTACAGCGCATAAAACATAAGGCGCTTGCGCGGCGGCCTACACGTGTAGGCGCCTTTGCCAAGGTCAATGAAAGCATATACAAGGTCAAAACAATGTTCTATATAAATATATAATATTAATGATTTTTTTAAGAATTGTGTTTCGTTGAATAAACAAGATTGATTAGAAATCTCTACAAACCGATTCTCTGGTTCTCAACAAAGTACACGCAAAGATTATAGCGAAAAGTACAAGTACATGTTATCGAAATCAACACTCGTATAACATAATATTTAACAGGAAATGCAATTACATTGGGTAATTGTTAAACAATAAATCACACCCACATTCAGCCAAGGAAATCCCAACATTCGGTTAGCTTTTCTTTTGCCAATTTTTTTTTAGTTTAGTATTTGAAATATACGATCAAAACTTTAGTAATTTTGTAGTCACAAATTTCTATGTAAAATGGAAAAATTTATTGACCTTTGCAAATGTGACCTTAGATACAAAATTCTCGATTTTAACAATTGTAATTTAAAAAAAATTACATAATAGCATGGATACTATTTCATATACTTACATGTGAGAAATTCAATACATTCAACAGATCTTTTGTTCCTTCATATTTAAAAAATGTTATAGAGTTAAACTTCTCTTCTCACCAATGAATCTATCAGACTAAATGCTTCTGTATGTACACAGATGTTTTAAGCTTAAGACGCAGTAAGCTTAAAGCGCAGGCGCCAAGCTTTCACATTGAGTAGGCAACAAGTGTTCCCTACGTCTTTTATTGACAAAACAAATAATATATGAATTAGCACAGTAAATACTGCAAAAGTCACGTTTGTCACTTTATAGACGCAAAAAATAAATAATAAAGACAGTTAATCAACACGATGAGATTTCAGATTATCACTACTCTGTGTATTGAATGTACACTTCTTCGCTCTTCATTTGCTTGTAAACCTGAAAGGTCACTAGAAATCCTTAGTAATAGATTAATGAATAAGAATATATAAAGAGGAATCTGTTGCAATATTAAATTTAGCTTGCGTTAAATATGTTTTTGATATCAAATATGTTGCCTATAGTCGACGTTATTCTGACGATAATAAACAAAACTCGGTACGTTACGTCCAATTTTTCGGGAGTTATAGTGACCACCTCCTAAAATACGGAAAATTACAGTAAATTTTTATTTTACACATTTTTTTAAAATCTAATATATAAAATTCTCGTGTCTTTGTAATTGAACTCCTCCGAAACGGCTCGAACGTGAAATTTTGTGTGCATATCGGCCAGGGTGGAGGATCGGACGACATCTATTTTTCATCCCCCTAAATGTTAAGGGCGGTCCACCCTAAAAAGTTTTTTCTACCCTACAAATTCGCTAGAAATAATTTATATAGCAGAACAACGTTAAGTTAGCACAATAATTTATTGAAATGTATTATATATTTTTTTATGGAATATGAGATACATTATTTACACTCTTTTCTTGTTATACATATAGATGTCATATGATATCATAGGATCTACTCATATAATCGTATAAGTGCCAATTGGTTGTGGTAGAGACAGTTTAAAACCAAAAAATTGCTTGACTTTCACGTTTTCGCGTTATGAGTACGAACTTTACCTTTTTAACCATAAAGGGATAGAAAGATTGCTACTGCTATTAAGTTTTGTTAGAGAACCCGTATAATGTAAAAATAAAATAAATATAATATAAAAACCCATCCCCCAGAGGGTGTTCTGCCAAATATCTTTCCGATATTTGTTCCAGGACATACGGGTACGCGACCCCGGGTCCTCGAGCCACCACTTTCACACCCTCACCTAGTCCGTGAAAGTTGTGTCCCTTATCCTGCCTACCATATCCTTCTGTTCTTTCCCTATCCCCCGCCCCCCCAAATCTACTTCCTATCCTGGTTTTTCCCCCAAAGTGGGGTTTTGGAGGTCAGACGGCAATCGCTCCATGTAAAACCAATTACAGCTGTTTCAAATGGTTACGAAAGAGAAAAGACTGGGTATGGCTAGGGCGTCGCCGCTAAACGACGCGCAGGCACATCGCCCTAAACCTGCGATAAGTGGGATAGGGCTACCGTGTCAAGTACGGGCACGGCTAAAGACGTTAGTACCCAGAAGGAAACTCCGCTTTGCCTCATGGAATATTGGCTCTCTAACCGGACGATGCAGGGAACTTGCAGATGTACTTATGCGACGTCGGATCCAGTGCGCATTCCTTCAAGAAACTCGCTGGAAGGGTAATAAGTCCATCGGACAGGGTTACCGGCTTGTATACACTGGGTCTAATTCGGGAAAAAACGGTGTGGCGATAGTACTCTCTCAAGAGGTTCGAAATGGTCTCCTTGAGGGTATTACCACCAGTAAGTGCCTATGCCCCCCAGGTGGGCTGTACCGAGACTGAAAAGGAGGCCTTCTGGGAGCAGTTTGAAGAGGTATTACGCGCTGTACCGATTACCGAACCGATAGTCGTTGGGGGGGATCTAAACGGTCATGTAGGTAAGGCAGCTGAGACGTATGAACGTGTCCACGGTGGTTTTGGTTATGGTCGTCGCAATGCAGAGGGAGATAACATTCTCAGAACCTGTATTGCGTGTGATCTGGCCGTCGTGAATACGTTCTTCCAAAAGAAAGACCAGCACCTTATTACGTATATGAGTGGGTCCCACTCAAGTCAAATTGACTATCTGCTGACCAGAAGATGTAATATTGGCAAGGTGACAAACTGTAAAGTCATTCCTGGCGAAAGCCTGACGGCCCAACATCGTCTCCTTGTCATGGACTTTTTCTTTACCTCGAAAAAGAAAGTACCCGAGAAACGCAAACCAAGAATTAAGTGGTGGTTGCTGAATGGACCGATGCAGATCGACTTCCTGGCAGAGGTTGAACGTCATAAGCTCTTGACTAATGCTGAAACTGCCCAGGAGGCTTGGGATCGAGCCCAGACGACAATTATCGCGGGGGGCGGCGAATTCGCGGCGTTTTAAGGGAGGTCGCGTCATCGACAAGGAGACGTGGTGGTGGAATGATAAGGTTCAGGGGGCAATACGGAAAAAGAAGGCAGCGTTTAGGGAGTGGCAACAAACCAACTCTCCTGAAGACAAAGTGCAGTACATAGCAGCCAAACGTGCCAGCAAAAGAGCTGTGGCCAGAGCCCGCAGTGAAAGCTTATCGCCAATGTACGATAAGCTAGAAACTACGGAGGGGCAAAAGCTCATATACAAACTGGCACGTGCCCGGGATAAAGCGACGCAAGATATCACCAAATGTCTTTGCGTCAGGGATTCCCAGGGCATGCTGCTATGCAACCATGCCTCTGTGAAGGATAGATGGAGAAGCTACTTCCAGGAGCTACTAAACAATCAACACCCGCACAGCCTTCCATCCAAACCGCCCCCTAACTTCGGACTTATTGCCCCAATATCACCTGACGAAGCTCGGGATTGTCTTCGCCGCATGAAAAACCCGGAAAGCGGTGGGGCCTGACGACATACCGATCGAGGCGTGGAAATCGTTGGGCTCTCTAGGTGTGGATGTGCTTACTGATCTCTTCAACCGTATCTTGAACACTGGAAAGATGCCGAATCAGTGGCGTTTCAGTTTTATAACCCCTATTTACAAAGGAAAGGGCAGTGTTCAGGATTGCGGTAGTTATAGGGGGATCAAAATCATGTGCCACACCATGATCTTCGAACGCATCATCGATCTCAGGCTTCGCCGAGAGTATACTGTCTCTGGATGTCAATATGGGTTTCAACCGGGTTCAGGCACCGTGGATGCCATTTTTGCCCTCAGAACTTTGATGGGGGCATACAGGGAGAAAAGGAGAGCTCTGCATTTAGCATTTCTTGATTTACAGAAGGCCTTTGACTGTGTGCCTCGTCAATGTATCTGGTGGGCATTGCGATTCAAAGGCGTTCCTGAGGCCTATATTGATATTATCAGAGACATGTACCACGATTCCGCGTCCATGGTTAGGACCGCTGTTGGCGACACTAAACCCTTCCCGATCACTGTAGGGGTACACCAGGGCTCGGTTCTTAGTCCGTTCTTGTTTAACGTAGTGCTCGATGCGATATCGGCCCACATACAGGACCAGCCGCCATGGTTGATGATGTATGCCGATGATATAGCGCTCGTTGACGAGAGCCGGCAGGAACTGGAGCAAAAAGTAAATCTCTGGAAGGGTACGCTTGAGAACGGTGGTCTACAACTCAATGTGGCGAAGACCGAGTACATGGCTTGTGGGAGTTCGGACTCTTGCACGATCCAAATAGGTTCTGAACCAGCCGTTAAGTCGGAATCGTTCAGGTACTTTGGATCCGTTCTGCACGAGTCCGGAAGCATTGACCATGACGTCGAAGCCCGGATACGCGCTGCTTGGGCTAAGTGGCGAGAGGTTACAGGTGTGGTCTGCGACCGCAGAATACCGCCCAAGCTCAAGGGCCAGGTGTACAAGTGCATCATCCGACCGGTACTTCTGTATGGTAGCGAGTGCTGGCCAGCTCTATCTCGGCACACTCAAGAGCTTCACGTCACGGAGATGAAGATGCTTAGGTGGATGTGTGGCGTCACGCGGGCTGACCGCATACGTAGCACATTCATTCGAGGCAGTTTCGGGGTTCGTGACGTAGCGGATAAACTCCAAGAGCGGCGCCTGAGATGGTATGGCCATGTCGCACGCCGGTCGGAAAACTATGTCGGAAGGATATGCCTTCATATACCTGTCCCAGGAACTAGACCCCCTGGACGCCCAAGGAAGCGATGGCTGGACGTCGTGGAAAAGGACATGAGAGCCAATGGACTGACCCCTGCGGATGTCGAAGACCGGGCAAAGTGGAGAAGTTTAAGTAGGAAGGCAGACCCTGGCAATAGCCGGGATTAATGCCAGGTAGAAGAAGAAGATAAAAACGCACTAAGTCGGGCTACAAAATGGGTACACAAAATCTTCGTTTCCATTCAATTTACTTGACAGAGAGATCCCGAAAACGTGCACAAATTATTTAAACCAATTATAAATAAATATTTAAAACATGTTGCGCGGGATCCATAACGGTTAAGCAGGAGGAGTGTTCCGTATCCACCGGGGGTTCCGCTCAACAACATTATAAATATAGCGACGACGTACAGTTAAATGCAACACATAGTCTACATTGCGCTACATCCTCGCTTAGAATCACTGTGAAACCAATTTAAACCGCGTACACAAGGTACAATCGCGTTCATCGTTTATTTCTAAACTGACGAATAACAAGTGACGACCCGTAACAAAAATACCTTAATTATCCAACCGTCAAGGAAAAATTTTTTAATTTCAAATTTATTAATTGTAATATAACTATAATATGACATAGAGCCCTGATAGTGCTTGCTTTTAATTTGATATACTCGAGCAACCTGGGTTCAACTCCCGGTGCCAGCACCAATGAAATTGTTAATTTTAAGTAATGACTAATCACGAGCTCAGCGGTGAAGAAATCTCCACACTCTCGCAGAAGTAACAAAATATAAAGTTGTCCGCCAATCAGCAATGGGGTCACGTAATGGACTATAGCTTTACTATATTACCCTTTATATAGAGAAGCCTATGCCCAGTGGTATATCAAATTTATTTGGTCCAATTTTTTGGCACTGTTGACGGATTAAAATCTAATCGAAACGAATACAAATAAGACAAATTTAATGATAAATAATAACAATAGTAGGGTTGACATATAATAATGTGCGCGGGCATTTTTAATCCAGTTGTGTTTTGTTTCATTTATTTTCTCCATGCGCTTATGTACACATACGTGTAGTCTATCAAGGAACGTCAATTAGAAAATCAATGAATTAAATACAAATAAAACTCCACTGAAAATAATTTAATTTATTTAACAAGCTTAACTCCTAGTGGCCTACCACTCATTGGCCTTTAGCTTGCCAAGACCTCTGTGAGTGTCCGGTAATTATTCTAATAATCGGTATTATATTAATAATCTCAAAACTAAAACCGAAGTATCGGGCTTAGACAGCTTTAACGATGTTAATACTTATTTCCACAACTTTAAACACACTTTGATAGCAAATAGTAGAATAACGTAAAATAAAGTTTTTTATTATAAAGATTCAACAGCCACGCAAATAAAGATAATTTAATACAATTAAATAATATTCAGGGTAAAATAAGAACGACGTGATTGTAAAATAAAAAAATATAAATATTTTATCGAAAAATAATCGTGGTATTTTCTTTATTCTTTCTACATGGGATCTGGCTTTTTCACGAGTACTGCTTTCCATGAAGATTAAACAGACTACGGACTAAAAGCAAAAACATCAGTCAAAGGAAAGTAGTTAATAAACCCTATAATAATATTAGTCATCTTTCCTGATGATCAGGACATTCGCGGCGACTAATTTAACAAATTATTGTATCTTCATTGGTTCCTTCAAGACATCTAATTAACGGGAAAACTTGAAATCGGTCAAATTACTTAAAGATAAAATTACAACAAAGTTATGGGTACATTGACAGATACACATACATACATACAAGGTAAGCCAATAAAAGTATGTTAATATCAGTTCATAATTAGCATTTTATTTGCTTGTAACCTAGTAAAATATCGCTATTGTAATGTAATTTTATCATTTCAGAGTTTTGGTTTTGCAACAAAACTATGCACTATTTGCCGGTCTATATGTCAAACGGATATGATGACATATACATCGGTTAAAATATTAAGTACTTACCATATGCAGTTAAATAGTAAATTTAAGAAGTTTAAAATTAAAGCTGTGGAATTGAAAAAACACTTTAGAAGATAGGAATCTGTTTATTTCCATCGTTAATAGCATTACCAATGTGAAATAAACAGGTTAAGTTCAGGTAAGTTGAGCATGTTTAAGAAAAACTAAACTTACCACATAAATGAAAACATCCAACACAGCAGCTGCGTCTTTAAGATAAGCTTTTGGTGTAAAGAACAACCCATCAGCTAATATTTTTAACGCAAGTTCCAAACTCATAAATACGACGAAGCCATACTCCGCAATCTAAAAAACGGTAAAGTAGAATTTTATAAGAGAAAAAAAATATTTTAATTAAAAAAAATAATAAAACAAGTGAAGTTAATATGTAAATAATACCTGTAGCACAAAATTTTCCATTACTCTGTACGTGGGGGTTTCAAACATCATAGACAAACAAGAGAGAGTTGTCACCATGATCATTACCCAGTCCAGGTAAGTCACCAGTCCCAAGAAGTTACTGTCAACAAACGTGCATATATTTCTATAATATCATTAAGACATTAAGACGTTAGTCATTCTGAATAAAATTTACAAGTAAACGTCCATAACATTTTAATTATTACATGGATTAGTATCAGCGGTGATCCGCGGCATGGTTGCTAAGGCTTTGTGTTGTGGGGGAAGGGTTCGATTCCCACATGAGACAAACACTTGTACGAGCCGCAGATAATTTTTCCGGATTTCGATGATTGTCCCCAAGGCGGGTTGATATCAACCAGCAACGGCATGTCGTAAAAAAACTTAGTCCATAGTATAACAACATGATTGTGGTGGGGAAGATTTCACTGTTACTCGAATATCGAGGTCCGTCCGGGGAAGTACCACGGTTTGGTTTGCCTTTTGTTGTTTTTTGAAGAACAGTATAGTATTATTTTTCTTACTAATAAAAATATAGTACTTTTAGGAAATTTAGGGAAAAATATAGTAGTACACGCTTATGACAGCATGGCACCATTGATAGTCGGACTTCCCCATCCAGTTCTATACTTTTATAACCTTTTTCTTTCATTTGACCCTCTTTATGGAAAGGTAGCGACGCACTTGTACGGTCGTGCAAGTTCGTAAAATGTCATGGTCGGCGGATATCACTTAAAATCAGGTGAATCGGCAGCTCGTTTGCCAACAACTAACATAAAAAATGTAGTTACGATTCCACCCAGATGAGATAAGGTCAGGAAAAGAACCCAAACCATGTTACTAAGACGAGAGAGTAAAACGTCGCCGGAATACCGCCGCCGTGATTGGTCTGCAGGTAAGTCAACAATCTAGTGGTTGGTCGTCGCCCGAATACCGTCCTCGTGATTGGTCAGAAAATAAAGAAACTACACGCTTACTGGAAGCTCTTGTAGTGCACCTTCCGCTCGTTGCCGGTGACGGGATCCCGCAGGCGGGCGTCGTAGCGCGCGTCCACGATGGCGCGGCACAGCTTGCGGAAGCGGGACTCGCGCGGGACCAGCAGCAGCGGCGTGTCGAACAGCGGGTGATTTTCACGCAGGTCCTCCTCCCGCTGGTTCCTGCGCGTTGCTCACGGTTTCAGACAAGAATAAACTTTTTTGTTTGCATGAGGGACTATGCACACCTGCCCTCGTGGGGGCAAGAGCGATTGATGTGGGACCCGCACCGACTAAGTCCACCACGATGTTCCACGTAGGCACATATCAATTACCTTTGTTCTAGTGCTGCCGACTTCGAAAATTTTCGACTGTTAGTTACTTTGCGCAGTGAACGTACGTCGGCCAACCGTCTAAACTTGGGGTCAGAAGAGGTGGATACGTGGCGAGTGTTGCTACCTCCGCGTCTCGGCTTGCACAAGTATTTTGTTAATGAAAATGTTACACTAAAAATTATTTTGCACAGTGAGAGGCACGCTTCGGCCACCCGCCTACAGTTGGGGTCAGAAGAGGTGAGGGTTGCTACCTGCGCAATTCGGCTAACCGTCTACAGTTAGCGGAAAAGTTGCGAGGGTTGGCAGTGCTACCTGCGCATCTCGGCTTGCTGCCTCTTGGCTTGCAGCAGCCGAATGTCGAGGTAGGGAGGGCGCGCGCGCGAGGAGGGCACCACGCGCGACGCCGCGCCGATGTCGCCGTTCTCCAGCAGGTGCTCGTACGTCTGCTTCAGCTTCAGCGAGCCGCTGCGCACCGAGCGCCGGATCGAGCGCGAGCCGAATCTGCGGCCGAAACGTTTCGGAGATCGTTCTGCTAGTTTTTTTTTATGTAAAAGTTCTTTAGTCGCGACTCAGGGGTAACTGAATGAAAACTTGGCGCCGAAACGCATTGCGGCGATGACGCGTTTATACAGCATCCGATTTTAAATATTTACGCTGTGTGTGTGTGTGTGTGTGTGTGTGTGAGTGCGTGCAAGCGTGAGTGGGCGTGCGTGCGTGCGTGCGTGCGTGCGTGCGTGCGTGCGTGCGTGCGTGCGTGCGTGCGTGCGTGCGTGCGTGCGTGTGTGTGTGTGTGTGTGTGTGTCTGAACTAAATATTTAAATGAAAAAAAGATATTAGTATTGTATTATTACTTAATACATAATTAAATAAAATTATTATTAATTTAATTATTTTTTAAATAAAAAGTTTTACTTTGGATTGATATTTCATTTACTTTTTGAAATTATTATACTTATCTTACTATAAAAAAATAAGGATTAATGGCTATTCGCATTTTTCATACAACACTAGCGTATCGTCAAGTCAGTCATTTTTATTTTAAATGATTTCATGGATACACATACTTCTTCTGATCCACCCTCAGCTGTTTGGCGCTGGATATCGTCCCTTGCGACTTGAGCCCCGACTTGCCGCCTGTTGCCAACATAGCGGAGTCACCGAGCACCAAGCGTCGGTGGTTGTTGGAATCGCTGTGGATAAGAAGCACAACATTAAATTGCGAATAAAAATATAAAATAATCGGTTTTAATAAATAAATATTTAAAGCAAAAACATTACGTATAAAGAAAACAACGTAACCAAAAGGAAAAAAAAATAAAACAAATAAAAAAAATACCTTTAGTAAAATCAACGTATTTGTTTATTGATCTGAAAGTAAAAAAAAAAAAAAATTATATGTGTGGAACTAAGGCTCTAAGAAAAATAAGTCTATTTCATTAAAAGAATTACTGAAATCGTCCTGTGAATTAGTCTTCCACATTGGCAAATTGTTCAAATATTTGAAACGTCGACCGGCAAAGAAGAATTAAGTAATTTAGCGTCATATAAAAATCAACTAATAGGCTATCTCACAACTGGCAGTTAATGAGGTTTTCGTTAATCATTTACAACAGACTCACTTGATGATTGAAGCGACCACGTGCCGCCGCAGGGCTGAGCTGGGACGCTGGGACGGGGGCGCCACCACGAGGGTTTTGACGAGACACCGTTTCCTGTACGGGAAGGCGATCTTGTCCACCCCTATGTACTCGATTGCCCGCCGCGAGAGGTCGGCCGCTCGCGCCCCCCCAGGCCCCGCCCCCGTCACCCCGGCCTCCTCTTCGCCCTCCACTTCGCATACGAACTGCCGCATAAAGGACTCCCGTACCTGACGAGAAACAACACGGACCGATAACAAATTAACGTTGATCAAACACCAATCGAATCGAAACTCCGACGGCCAATTCATAGTCCATGCCGCGATTAGGGGAATATTCTATAAACAATAAATACTTAAATAATGTATGTTTAGTATAAATTTTAGATTAGTGTTATATTGTTAAAAAATTACACACGGGCATCTAGCTGTTGATTTTAACTTACTCAACATAGTTACATTGCGATAATATATTCTCCATGTTATTCAGTAATAATGTAGATTATCAGTAGCGAATAACTTTCTAAATCTTTTGTATAATATTATTATAAATAACTAAAACTGAGTTCAATGGAATTTAGAAGCTATTTAACAATACCTTAGGCAAATTGAAGTCGCCGGGAACTTTGTGCAACTTCGTCATCTGGGGACTGTCAGGGAATTTTTCAAATATTCGTAAACGAAACGGTAAACTCTCTTTAATCTCTGCGCTTTGCTGACGATACCGGAGTTGCTTCAATTTCTTTATGTCCTCATCTAATTCCAGATTGTCAAGAATCACAGCGACGAAAAGTGACAGCACTATCTAAAAGACAGATTGCAACCTGATTAATTGCTTAATAAAAATTAAGAAATATATAAAGATCAAATAATATTCTAATTTTCCCTATATGTTTTCTATGAGGCATTAACATATCGACGGAAACTTATGTGCTGCTGTATCACAGCAAAGTTCTTAAAAGTTAAGTAACCGCCTGTATATGTCCCACGGCTGGAAAAAGGCCTCCAGGCAGAATTCATATGTTCCAATTTTTTTTTGTTTATTCTATAAACAAGGAAATCCTCGGAAGAAGGTGGAGCTGGATTGGATCTCTAAATGGGCCCTGACCTGGTAACCAGCAGGAAGCCGTAGACGTGGAAGGCCAAGAACTACACGGCTGCTACAGTTGGAAAGACCAAAAACCTGTAGCTCAGGACCGAGACGACTGGAAGAATCTGAGTCCTATGTCCTTGCTAAGGTATTGAGTAAACGATAATGGTGATTTTTTATTATTATTTCGCAAGTGTAGAAGTTTCCTCACGCTGTTTTCCTTCACCGCTGACCATGGGATAAATCAGCACTTAAAATTGCATTAAACAATTTCTTTGACACTAGACATTTTTTGTTCGAACCAAGATGCTCGAGTAAATTAAATTAAAAGCTGAACAAAAACTACAAGTCTGGACACAAAAGTATCACGGCTCTTACTTATTTTAAAATTTCTTTATGGTTCAAGGAAACCTTACCAAAGTCACAAACAAATGGTACAAAATAAAGTAGATAGCGACCAGCGGCGTTAGTGTTTGGCTCGTTCGTACCATTGTCTCGTCCATAACTTCCACCCATGCCTCTTGTGTCAAAATTTGGAACATGGACATAAATGCCTGTAAGATAAAATTGAGGTTATTTTTTAATCTTGTTGTATTATAAGGTACATAATCATTAAAAAAGAATCTTATAATTCAAATCATTTGAATTTTTTCACATTCATTGTTTTTCGTAAAAAAAATAGTATTATGAAAAAAGAAATTGATTCTTACTTCGGGAAATGTTTCAAACTTTGTGAATTCACAAAGAAAACAGAACAGCTGCATTGAAATGGAGGAGCTTATTATCAACAAACACATGGTAAAAATAATAAGGCTGCCCAATTTCTTGCCTGGTCCAAAAATCTTGTAAACGAATCCTTCCAACAGAGGTGACGCCTTTATTAACCTCACAATTCGAAGGACCTGAAACGTGATATAAATGGTTAATATTTTGTTATGATCTTTTACGATTTCATTTTATTCTGGTGGGTTATGAGTTTACATTATTAAATTTTGACTGTAGTAGGGCCACGCTGTTGCACGAATGGACAGGGCCGTCTGGGGAAGTACCACGACCTAACAGAAGACCCGCGTGAAGTGAAAATGACATAATTCTGCGTTTCGTTTGTTAAGTACTTTATTAAAAGGTTGCAACGCATTGAAACCATACGGGTGCAAATGTCCATGGGCAGCGGATATCACTTAATATCTGGTGAACCACCAGCACCCTTGCTATATTCTAACATATAAAAAAGAGATACAGTACAATCCCGATTATCCGAATCAAATAAAACCCGCTGTATTCCGTATAATCGAAAGTCCGGATGTCCGATTTCAAAGTCAAATAAAACATTAATTAAATTTTAATAACTTTTTTTACTATAGAAACGGTTTTAAATACGATATAAAAAAATCGAGTAACCCATGTAATTTAAAATTCTAGTTGGAAATTATTTGAGATTAATCTTTAACGTAATGAATCACATAATATTTTCATTGCGGCACTCATAACTGTATGGGCTCCGATTCGTCCTATCTTCCAAACCATTTAAAAGCGAGAGCATCTAGAGCTGCAAAAGCTTCTGCGTGAGATGATTCTTGACATATATCACCAGTTTCCGCATCTTCCCAGGGTTGGATTTGGGTGCGGTAAAAAAGATAGTACAAAAAATTTAAAAGGATAGTATTTGACAAAAAAAATATAGTACACTGTTATTTTTATAATTAATGCAAGAAAAATGAATAATTTTACTCAAAAACTCGCAGAAAATTTTTATCACTTTGAATTTGGATTGAAAGGGCCGTACCATAAAAATAATAAATTAATCGTGTTATTAGACAATTATGAACTCTATTAATTACTTAATTGAGTACAATTTGCAAAGTTATTGTTTGAGAAAGCTCGGAAAAATGTAGTATTATAATACCGTTAATTGTTCATCGATGACAACTATTTATAATCTATGGTAATAATAGATAATGATATAAGTGGTAAAACAGCTTTTGCTCGATAGAATTACAACGTAATTACAACCCGAAGAACTTCTTTTAATGTTAGATTGTCAGTGAATGGTATAATATTGGTCATTTAGATAAAGTAATGAAATTATAGTACGTTTTCGTACTATCCTTAGATATGGATAGTATATAGTACGCAGCATGAAATTATAGTACAAATACTATAATTATAGTACAAAATCCTACCACTGTCTTCCTCACCTTCCTCTTCTTTATCTTTACTATTCAAATCGTTAATGAAACTTCATCAGTTAAAATTTGGATTCCAATGCTAAGAATTTTCATTGCTTATTTCTTTGAAATCGTCGTGTTAATTGATGAATTTAATGGAGTCTTTGGTACGTCGTAACACATCTCGTTTCACCGTCAAATCTTTTCTAAGTCGGTAATTAGAGTCGGGAACAATGAATTGGATATCCAGATAATCGATGTTCGGATAATCGAGATTCTACTGTATTTCTTTTCCACCAAATTCTCATCTATATATAGCTCAATAATGTAATTATTGTAATTCTTAAATTATTACTATGTCAGTCGATAAACCGGAAAAAGTACACACGAAAATATCGCAGAGATAAAAGCACAATGAATCCCACAAGAAAATAACCTCTCATATATAAATATGCATATAATAAAAATAATTTTGGTCCGCATTAGAGAAAGAGCAAAAATAAATTCATTTGATCGAAAGTCATAATTATATCAGTCCTGTTGTGTTAAATGTGAGTTCTGCGAGTTTCGTATAATAGGGCTAAGGTATCCCCTGCCTGTCGTAAAAGGCGATTAAAATGAGAACTCAGGGTACACTAGTAATCAGGCTATGAGCCTTATGAGCTATATGAGTCGTCCACTTAAGTGGGCCGGGTATGGGCAGCATCATGTAAGTGTTTTCGTGCAGCCTTAAAATAGTAAGGGTTTTTTAGAGACCTTTAGGTTATAGAGAGTAAGCAATGACCCTGTTTGTCAGAATAAAAGACAGTAAACAATGTACAAGTACATAGTAAAGTTTAGAAAATTTACAACATGGTCACTATATTGTATTATTTATTGTATAAGTAGTTATCACGGTACCATGGTACAAACCGGAACTTTATACATTTCTGAAGCATGTCATCATTGTAATATTAACGTAAATAAATACAACGTTTATAGTAGTATTCAATAGCTATTGATAACTTTTTTTTATAAAAAAGTACAAAAGTAATTACTAGGATACAAAAAATTATACCTGGAAATATGTAAAGCCCGACATGTATAGTTGCGGAATAATATGAATGGTAGTTCCGACAGCCAAAAGTAATTCAAATTTGTGAACAGAATGTTTGAAATATCCCTTCCAACCCAAACACCAGATTTTTATTAATGCCTCCAAATCCAAAAAAATTGTGAATGCAATCTGTAACAGTAAAAATATACATGCAGTACATTGTATAGATGACATAAAAGAGATGCACCAAATGTTCGGCCGAATATTCGTATTCGTTTGACCCATATTCGACGCATCTCTGATATTTTGTAGCTAGCCATTTATGTTGCGGCGAAGAAAACGTATACCTCGATATAGTAATATTTTTCGTAGAAGAATTCCCTAGGGTTGTCATCGTGTTTGAAATTCATAGTAGCGGTTATAATTCCATTCGCTAATACGACACCCATTACGAGCAGACGAAAGTATGCCGACCGTAACATTTTGTGAAATATTTCTGGAGCACTGCCTGTTAAATAATTTAGTATAGTTAATATAATTCTGAGAAATAAATATTCAATTTGAGAATTAAAAAAAATCATAGTTTTAAAATTTTACCTGAATGTTTATTCTCATCAATAGTCACCAACTTCCAGCCATTATCGTCACCAGTGAAAAATTGTGTTGTACTGCCTTTTGTTATTGGATTCCTTACACCCCACATTTGTTGAAATTGTACTCTTATTTCGTTAAATGTTTCAGTTATAACAGCAATGAAAACATTTTTGACTAACCAAGCCAGGAAAAAAATCATAGTACTGAAAAGTAAACATGTTCCAACATCAGGCAGGCCATCATTTTTATTTACACATTAAAGTAACACACTTATTTTTGTATATTTATGAGGGCAAAAAGTTCGCGTAATGGCAATAAAGGGCACGATCTCTCAAATAATTTGTTTAAACCATCGAAAAGATTGATTTTGTCGAGGGCTTCAAAATCGGTAAATAAACTTTTTTCCTTCTTGTTCTTTATAATAATCAGACCTAAGGCCGGGTGGTTCAAGATTCCGAAGGCACACCTACGCTCCTTCGCTCTCGTGAACTGGCGCATTATCTTACAAAAGCAACACACCTCAAGTGGAATTTCTCTTTATTTTTTTCTTGATGGCATTTTTTATTTTTTCGACTAAACTGGCGCAGTATTTTGCGGTGACCTTGAGGCCCTTTCCCTTGTAATCGATTAACAAAATACAATCCGAATCCCTAATAATCGTGGACATGATATTTCCGGCCGATTGCGACACTTTGAATTTAGCGACCTTTTTTTACGCCTCTGCATTGACTCCAGCTTTGACTCATAGTGATAAACCCACGTTTTGTCCTCAGTAAAATTTCGGTTTATCTTCGGTTTTCGCTTCAGAGTTTCAAAAACTCCTGCGACCACTAGAATTGCTGCTGCTTTTGCAGCGGTGTGAGCATTCTCGGCGCCCATTTTGCGCTGACCATGCGGTTTTGACATGCCTAGATGATCATAGTAGTACTAAGTGATACTCGAACCATTTCTGTTAACTGCTTCTGCTTCAAATAGGCATCTTCAAGAACAGATTTTTCCCCTTTTCCGACAATGTCCGAGCCACTTTCGGCTTCAATCGACCGTCTTGGACGGTCTTCAATTAACTGTCTGCCTTGCTTGAATAGGCCATGCCATTAGTAAATCATTGTTTTCCCGGGGCAAGAATCCCCGTAAATATATGAAATCTCTTCAGTGAGGAACTTCATTTCAGAACATTATTTTCCCGATTGACTTGTTGTTTGAGTGACCAGATAGACAAAACTTGGTATTTATAGTGAAATTGAGTCATCAAGTATTCCTAGGTCTATGGAACAGTCCCCGTATCCCTCTAACCCTTTCATTCCTCGAACTTTTTGAATGCCCCTCGTATATTATATGGTACACATTATCACTGTTTGTTTTATTTTAATATAAATAGTGATATAAAAATGAATACTGTATGTGAACTTAGAACAGCCAACACTTGTCATACTCAAAACTTCCACAAATGAAAGAGAACTTTCTTGTAAATGTTGTTTTCTAACAAACAATAATTGAACATTAATTTTTTTAATAATCATTATATTCATTAAAATATGTAGAAAAATTTACAACATTTTATTTATCGACTAATATTCCACGATTACAAAACATTACAAGTTCCTTTTACCGTAATAGAGTAAACAGAGATACCTTCCATAACTCCATTCATGTAACATTAATGACACATGGTGCAAAATTTATGAATTGACCTCAAGATTATAAAAGCTCACCTGAAATAAAGTGCAGATCTCCATGCAGGCAGAGAATCAATTGCTCTGTACATAATAAAAACCCAGCCTTCTTGGGAAGAAGCTTGATAAACAGTGAATAAACTTGTAGCTGCAAAGAAAAATACACTTGCAAACCATTCTGATAAAAAAATCTGTACCAAAATAGACAAATGTTTATACAAACCAAACTCCTCAAATCCATTAAAACCCATTATGTACTTTGATAAATTTAGCTTCATGCATTTCATTCCTGCGGGGCACTGATAACCCGAGTTAGGTTCAGGAGAACAAAAAGTATCAGGTATCGCCAGAGAATTTATAGTTATTTCACTAAAATGTAAAGAATAATTATGAATTTTGAACCTTTGCGAATTTCTGTAAACTTATTCAAATATTTTTTTGTTCAGATTATCATATTCTCTAATTGTATCCTCATCAATATACATATCAATACAGTGTGGTAGGACCACGCAACAGTGTTTACTGTTGCACGAATGGGCAGGTCCATCCAAATTAGTACCACAACCTCACAGAAGACCGGCGTAAAGTAGAAATGTAACAACTTCTGCTGTTTCACCTGGTGAGTGAGGTAGCTGGAGCCCACTTTATTAAAAGGTGACAACACATCTGCAACCCTACAGGTGTTGCAAATTTCCATGGGCAGCGGTTATCACTTAACATCAGGTGAACCACCAGCTCGTTTGCCACTTCATCACATAAAAAAATATCTATATAAAAATAAAAAAAGAACCTTATTTAAATTTATACTAATATTAAAATAATGCTCTTACAATGCAGTATTATCAAATCAACCAATCAAAAATTTAATGCTAGTTTTAAAAATAAATTTTAATGTTTAATAAAAAAAAGTACTTACTTTGGGTCAGTATTATTTCTTACACAGTGGTGTGTAAGTTCTCCAAAAAACTGAACTCCTAATAAACTATAAAGGGACATGAAGAACAAAAAAAATAAAGTTACATTATAGATTTGTTGACTTGAACGCCTGAAAACAAATTTAGACAATTTAGTACATAACCTATTGTTATTTAAAAAAGAATAATTGCATATAGAACATAATAAAAATACTTACTTAAAAATTTGGTTAATTCTTGATTTTGGCATTGAGAATTTTAAAAATACTCTGAGAAACCGAATCATTATCAACGGCCTTGGAGCTCTTAGAATGCTGAGGTAACTATATCTTGGTACAATTCCCGTCAACTCAAACATCTGCAACAGCACTGACACCCAGAGGAAAAACACCATGGAGGCATCAAATTGGCACCAATGATCCTTTAAGTATGCAACATCACCCTATAAAACAATACCTTTAAAAAATGCAAACAAGCATTCTAGTGGAGTACACAAAAAAATAATATATACCCTTAATATTCCTCTTATATGCATTTTTGCTATCATTTCTGCAGTGAAAAGAAGAGTAACACAACAATCTACCACAAATGTAGTAATCTGCAGATACGGATATTTTTCGAAAGATTTTGGTGTATTTAGAGAAACAGACATTAAACTTAAAAGTGCACAAAATCTTAAAATTCGTCTGACCCATAGCTGAAAAAATAGAACATATTTATGAAATTAATTGAAAAAAAAAAAATGCTTATATTATATAAAGGCAGCAATAAAATTATTACAATACTTGTACCTTATTTACCCACTCTATATCAGCACTTTCATTAAGGGATTCTTCAGGACCATAATCAGCCAGAATTGGTTCACCTTTCAGGCTTTGTTTACGTCCCAACATTTTGATATTGTTGAAAATAATTTTTACAAATTTCAGTTTCCTATTAAAATAAGGCCAAATAAGGCCTTTAAAAGATTACATTTTATTCTGTAAAAATGTAAGTGTTTAATGAAATTTCGATTGTTAATTGCAATTACACATGAAGAAGACATTTGATTACAAAGAACACCATAAATTAGGTATACGTCGTGAAGATCATTTATTAAACAAAAACATTAATTATTGACATATGAAAATAAGAGCTTCTGCATGAAGTGCTGTATTGATTCTTTTATTGCTTCTGATCAGTGTTACCCACTCTCGAAAATTTTTGCCCCTAAAACTCGAGTAAAAAACCCCTAAAACTAAGTAATAAAATAATATTAATTTATTATAAATAATAAATAGTGCCAAGATATTTGCCTTAATTTCCAATTGAATGGTATAAATATAGTAAAGAATATTGCAACAAAAATATTGTTATTATAGTGGTTAAACAAAAGTTGTAGGAAAATTAATAAAAAAAAACCATCTTATTTTTATGTACAATTAATATAATTATTAATTGTAAGTAATAAATAACATTTTGTTATATTTTTTGTTATTCATACATCATTTAATACATCAAATATTAGTTCATTGTCTTCAGGTATAGCAGTTACTATTAGCAGTAGTACCAGTAATAGCAGTAATAGCACATACTAGTATTGAATAAAGTTAACATTTTGGCAGATGGATTAAAATTTATACAAGATCCACCATTTGGTTGCAGTGTAAATCGAACAATCATCATTTATTTCAATTATCAATATTTTGTAACATCTCAATTGATAATCTATTTTGCAATTTACTTTTGACACTATTATAAATTGAAAATGCGCGTTCGACACTTGTGTTTGAAATTGGAATATAAGTTATATAAGTTTTTTCAAAAAATACATTTTTAACAAGTTTAACTAATTACCTATTTGACTCATAGTTCTCTCAAATTTTCCGTACATCTGACTTTTTGAAAAAAAAATATTTCTTTAAAACATTTGTTAACTTGATGGTATGAAACGGGGCTTTTTGTTGTATCTATTTTTTATTTTTGATTCCTTTTATGATTTCATGCATCATTAGGCGTTTTGACATGGTTTACAAAACATATTAATAACTATCACATGAGTGGGATCTAACCATTTATTTTCTTTGAAAAGTAAGCCAACGCAAAGTGGAAATTTGTCGATCCTTGATTATTCTCTATCTTATTTTAATAACTTTTGGCTCTGTTCAACACCAAATTCTTAGTAATGAAAAACCATACTAGATGTCGCTAAGTTGATTGGTCAAAATAAATAATTATGATGATTAGATTGCGTTACTCCAGGATATTTATTTTTCTTAATAAAAAAAATAAGAAATAATAGGAAAATACATACCAAGTAAAATAAATCTCTAAAATAGCCCTAAAAAATGACGCCCCTAAAAAAATCCCAAGTAAGCACTTACTTACCCCCTAATTTGGGGGGAAAACCCCTAGGTTGGCAACCGTTTCTGAAGACCTGACAGCACTAATTAGGGTTGGACTTGGATTTTGGTGCGGCAAAAAAGTGTTTAAGAAAAAAATATAGTACACTATTATTTTCATAGTTAATGCACAAAAAATAAATTATTTTACTCAAAAACTCGCAGACAATTGCTATTACTTTGAATTTTGAATAAGAATGGAACGGCCGTACTATAAAAATAATAAATTAATCGTACTATTAGACAATTGTGAACTCTATTTATTACATTATTGAGTGCAAAGTGACTGTTTGAGAAAGCGGAGTATTGAAAAAGTCCAATTATTGTCAAAAGGTCCAAAGTATTGAAAGAAGTTAAAGATTTACAACGTGATTACAACACAAAGAACTTCTTTTAATGTTGGATTGGCAGTGAATGGTTTAATATCAGTCATTTTGGTAATGTTGTATTGGCAGTGAATGGTATAATATTGGTTATTTAGGTAAAGTAATGAAATTGTAGTACGTTTTCGTACTATTCTTAGTTATGGAAAGTATACAGTACGAAGCATGACAATATAGTACAAATACTATAAGTATTGCATTCCCATATATTACTTTACTCTTTGAAGTATAGTACAAAATTTTACCCTGGCACTGCTTAAACTCTGCTTGCCTGGTGTTGCTATACTTTTTTTAAATATATCACACATTACCCAAAACTAATAAAATTGAAAGAACAAAAATGGGTTGGTTCAAATTTTTTACAAGACTTTTTTTAAATCTTCTGCATCATCAAAATCCCAACGATCACTAAGCAATTATTTTTTACCCATGAAGAACACTTTAATTTGATATTAAAACCACTATCATTAGTGGTTTACGCTTGAGGGGGCAGGATATTTTTTATTGGTTTTTTTATTTATTCGTAGACAGTTGCAATCACTCGTATCATTTACGTTATATTTTTATTTTTAGTACTCAGTAAAATTTAACTTATTTGGTAAAAATAACTCTGCCCAGTACTATCCTGATAAATCAAAATTCGGCTGTACCTCGCGTAGATTAAAAGTATGAAAAAGTATTTAAATTTGCCATTTTTAGAGGTAGTTGGTTAAGGCTAGTGATCACACATTATTAAAATGTCAATGTCAATTGGTTTATTATTATTATTAAATGTAAGACTGTAACTAAGCAACGACTGTTTGTGTTTATATCTTATATACTCTACTCATGGTGGAAATAGTGTGTAATAGTATCGTTTAATGGAGTAGTTTATATCTTATCTTCAAAATATACAACATTTTTCGATTAATATAAATACTAAGAAAAGCAATAAATAAAAAAAATATATAAGTGTTCGCACGTACCTACATAGTAGTAGTTTAAACACAAGATGTTTATTTACATGAGCAAGAAGGTGCGTTTATGTTATAAAAATATACCATATTTAATTATAAGTATCAACTTTACCAAGTTGCTGTTTATATGGGTTTATGTTATGGAGTCCCCACATTCACATGGAAATTCAGTTAGATTTGTGGACAACATATCGCGAATACTAAATGATAGCATTATTTATTTGCTTCAAAATATTGGATACCTTTGAACGAAGTTTTTTAAGAAATTAAATACAAAAATATATGAATATTTATTATTGTACCATGATAATTTTGCCAGACAATTCTTTACAGATAGCTATACCAAAACAGTCCAATGTGACTTGTATATCATGGAATCATGCATCAGGTTATATAGCTGTTGGAGGTGAAGATGGAATGTTGAAAGTGTTAAAATTGGAGTCGGGTAAACATAAGAAGTACTATGTGGATAACAATATTCGAACTGAAGGCTCAAAATTGAATTAACAATAATTGTTCTTTTTATTACCTCAGGTGGAGGAGGAAATCTTTCCATGAACCTAACGTTAGAGGGCCACACTGGTCATTTAAAAGTTGCTATATGGAATGAGGTTTTTCAGAAACTCACAACTAGTGATGAACATGGTGTTATTATTGTTTGGATGTTGTATAAAGTATGAGCTAGTTCCATTTCTGTATTAATTTATTTTATGATTTACTAAAATTGGAATGGGCATGACTCAATGACACGGTTGCTAAGCTGTCAGCTACGGTTGTGGGGTCGATTCCCCTTAGTGTTTGTGTGTGATGATATGGACAAGTATCTCTTTCAGGGGTCTTGGTATGAAGAGATGATTAATAACAGAAATAAGTCTACAGTATCAAGTATGGCCTGGGGGTCTGATGGTCAAAAAATCTGTATTGCATATGAAGATGGTAAGAGTTAAATCTTTCTCTGTTCAATTCAAGTATTTTATTCCACACACAACCTAAATGCACATATCTGAGACAATATGTTACAATTGCTTGTATCATGGAACTGCACCAAATAGGTTATTAAAGTTTGATACTTACTTAAAAGAACCTTACTATAGTAATAGCACTGTACTGACTAGTTGGACATCCTATTAAATAAAATAGTCATTTATCATAAATGCAATATAGCACAAAAGAAAAAGTGTTTATTAAAACAAAATACAGTTTTTTTTTGATAGTGGATTATAAACATTAATTTCAGGTGCAGTGATTGTTGGATCTGTGGATGGATCCCGTGTTTGGGGTAAAGATATTAAAGGACCTGGTTTGAGTGCAGTCCAGTGGTCACCAGATAATACCCTCTTACTTTTTGCACTTTCTAATGGAGACTTGCATTTGTATGATGACCAAGGCAACTTCATTGTATGTTAACCTATAATCTTCTAAATAATAATTTAGAAAAAGAAGACACCAATTTTATTGAAAATTAAAAAGTAAAGTAGCAGTCTAAATATGTCCCACTGCTGCCTCTGTACTCCTTGCGCATTGATAGACTTCATTATATCTTCGAAATATTTTTTCGTTATTATTGATGACTTGATGGCGTAGTAGTTAAGCTATTGGCTTCAGCGCCGGGGCGTGGGGTTCGATTCCCAAACTTTACGAGTATATGTGTGACCCATAAATAATTGTTCCGGATCTGGGAGTTTATTCCCAAGGAGGGTTGACGTCAAGCAGTTGACGGGTCGTAAAAATTTCTAGCCAAAACCACTTATTCACATGTTGTGCCGACCACACCTAGGCGGCATAAAGGCAGGAGGATCATGATTGCCGACGAGAAGGCGAGAGCATATGAGGCCTATAGACGCGCTACGAAAGCACTCCATTACGCAATTGAGGATGCTAAGTCTCGGTCCTGGAGCGAACTCCCCAAAGGTCTAGACAGGGACCCATAGGGGCGCCTATACAAGATTGGGAAAGCTCCGGCCATGGGTTCCCCCGCTGACGGAGACCCTAGACTCCACTTTCGTGGAAAGGGTAGTTAATACTCTCTTTCCTGTGATCCAGGAAAGACCCGTTTCCCCCTTATTTTTATCAGACCCAATCGACTGTTTAAATGAGTTTGAGGTAACTGACGAGGAGATGGACCGAGCTATTAGGCGCCTCAAAAGCCGAAATACCGCACCTAGTCCTGATGGAATCCATGGTCGGGTCTGGGTGTTAGCTTTCGCCGCCGGACTGGGGGGAAGACTGAACAGTTGTTCAACAGTTGCCTCAGAGTCGGAGTCTTTCCTTCGGGTTGGAAGGAGGCTAGATTGGTGCTCTTCAAGAAGGATGGTAGGGCTGCCGATTCCCCCTCTGCGTACCGACCCATATGCTTGCTGGATGAGGCGGGCTCTCTTGTACTTGCCGATGGGGACAGCTTTGAGAGCACCAGTCGGCTCGCCGAGCTTGGTGTGGCTAGCGTCGTGGAAAAAATCCATGAGCTGGGTCTTCTCTGGTTTATGGAAACAGAGGGCCTCAGAATTTTGAGGCCCTCTGCTTCCATAAACTCCCCAGAGGTAGGGACCCACCCAGTTATTCGGTTCGCGTTGGTGATGTGCAGATCCAGGTGAAAGAAGAGATGAATTATCTCGGTATTACTCTGGATAGCCGCTAGAACTTCGAAGGGCACTTTAACCGCCTGGCCCCTCGGATTGAGTAGGTGGTGGGTGCTATGCACAAAGTGCTGCCAAATCTTGGAGGCCCCAGTGAAGGAGTCCGCTGCCTTTATGCGGGGGTTGTGCGATCGATGGCTCTCTATGGTGCGCCCGTATGGTCTCATCGATTAACGGGAGTCCGACGCTGTAGAGCCAAGATTTATAGTCTGCAACGAAGGATAGTCATCAGAATCGCACGAGGATATCGTACTATATCCTTTGAGGCGGCCACTGTCCTAGCTCGGTTTCCTCCACTGGACATTTTGGCGGAGTTGGATGCGCTAGTCTATACTGGCCTCCGTTCTTCACGGGAGGCTGCCGAGTCCCTTTGGTGAGTACCTGAACAGAATTGGACGTGAACCGACGACGCAATGCCACCACTGTGGAGGGGAACGGGACTCCGCGCAACATACACTCCCTGAGTGTCCTGCATCCGAGCGACGAATCCTGATCCAGAAGATAGGGGAGGATCTTTCTATCAGTATCGATCTTCAGCAGTAGCTGCTGAAGTAGATGAAGAGAAGCAGCTGCGCTGGTGGAGAATTCTGCTTGGCGGGCACTGGTCTCCTTCTGTGAAGCTGTTATGCTCCAGAAGGAGATCGCCGAGCGGGGCCGATCCCGCTCGGAGACGGCGGCGCCAGGCCGGCAGGGGCAGACGTGCTGCCCCATTAGCCCTCTAGTCCCGGGCTCTAGAATAGGACTAAGGTATCTCCTGCCTGTCGTAAAAGGCGACTAAAAGGGGACTGGAATTGGCAGCAGCACGAAGTGGCCTCGAGCTGCTGCAAGATGGCGAGGGAATCGGGGAAGTACCGAGGGACACCGGTGCGTTCCATGGGAGATCCCGGAGTCCCTCCAAACGTACAGACGGTGGCCAACGAGGGGGTTTTAGTGGGTAAGAACCCTACATAACCCTGTCACAGAATGACAGGGTATCTTACGAAGATTTCTCCCCGATACCAAAAAAAAAAGGAGGATCATGATTATGGTTATTTCAAAAACACGCAGGTTTTAATCCTCTATAACCATAGTCCTCACTGAAATTTCTCCGAACTCAGCTTGCATGTTTTTTATTTAATAGATTTAAAATTTTAGATGCCAGTTGCCAATAATTCAAATGCTGGATCAATGGAAATAATTTCAATGGACTGGTATGTAGGTAGAGCGCCAGCCATTAGACCTGTCTTGGTGATTTCTTATGAAAGTGGACAGCTGCTTTTAATGAAAAATTGTACAGAAGAAGGTATGATATTTTTTAATATTGTTGGGCTGTGCAAAATTGTGCAAAAAAAAATATAGTCAAAAGTCAAAAGGCAAAAAAATATAGATATTACAAATAAAAATAAAACGTGTATATCAACCAATATAGAAATAATAGTTGACCCGTGGGAAATTGTCGTATATGTATTATTTTATCAATGAAAGGTCATTCTTCAAAATATTTTGAAGAATAACGTTTTTGTTTAAATGAAAGATAACAAAGTATACAGTACTTTGCTATCTTTCATTTAAACAAATTGTCAGTATATAGCATTTACAGAGATTCATTATAAGACATTTTTTATTATTTATATTTATTGTTATTTATTTTCGTCATTAGCAACAAATAAAAGCTTTGAATAATTAAATTTTAAAATAAGAATTGTGGAAATTATGGCGTACCGACAAAAACACATTGAGAAATAATATGGAAATTATCTGACTCTGGAACATTTTTGATTCTTTCATCACGTTGCTTTTTTCTCTCATCTCATTATGAGAGAGTTTGTTATTAAAGGTGAAGAATATTGGATTTACTAATACGAACAAGAAACGGAGGTTCCATGGTTAGGCTGGCTTAAAACAAACATTCCAAAGAGAAGCTATCTAGAAAGTTAAAGCAGTACGGATTTAAATCGCAATTTTTTGAGTGTTGTTTACAAAACCCATGTAGCCTAAATGCCGAAACACATAATTAAAAGTGCTTGCCGGAAGTGTTAACTCCTGAGGACAAGATATTATCTGATTAATTTCATGCTGGTAATTTGCTGTAAACTCAGCAAATTACTAGCCCGATACTCAGATTACTTTAGACTTATGAAATTTAAAAAAAAAAGAATGAATAATCGAATCCATATGCCACTTTTTTTATGTCTTCGCAAAACTAGAATGCTCGTCATAAATTACTATTTTCTTATTTGTTTTTAGAAAGTGTTGTTGTGGAAACTAATATGTCTATTCTGGATTGTCACTGGAATCATAATGGAACTGTATTGGCAGTAGCTGGCTGTACAAGGGATAAAGCTAATGTAGTTCAGTTTTTCAGCGCTTATGGGGAGGTAAAGTTTTGATTTGTTTTCACAAAGTGTTCATAATATAAAATTTTAGTTTGTGATGATAAAAAAACCTTTGCAAGCTTAAGCTCAATAAGGCCAGCTTTGTAATTGTTTATGAAAATTTATTCATGAAAAGTACTCTCACAATTAAATACTCTCACTCTTAAGTTTATAACCTTCCCCATTATATTGTAGTCAGAGGTTAATTTTAAATTGTAAATACATCAAGAGGTTTCAATGCAAAACTATGGTCATGATTTTAGCACATACGGACACTTCGAGTGCCGGGTGGGTCTATGAGGGCGCTATCGTGGGAGCGATGCTCTCTGCGGCTTTCCGTCGCCATCGATTCCTTCATCTACTTTGCTAACGTGAAACCTGATCACAAATACGCATACTATGGGAATACACTTGCTTTTGTTTCCAATACAGACACTGTAAAATTTTGGGATACCGAAACGCATCAGGTTTGTCTTAAACATAATGTTTTCACTTATTTCACTATACAGGGACATTTTTTGAGAAGTGCCCAAATTTACACAGGAGGTTCAGACTCGGTACTATAAATTGTTTATTAATAAAAAACAAAATTTTTTTTCCAAAAAAATGCCATTCTATTCCCTAAAAAACAGAACGTGTTGACAATGCGGTAGTCATTCATAAATACCTAAATTTTGCTGTGCACGAATTTGTGTGCGTGTTAGTTATGAATGATCGCGCGTAAAATAAATAAGTTGCGTATAAATCACGCACTTTTTGAGATAAGTTCATATGAATGTAATTAATTACTTAAGAGTGATTTTAAATGTTTTGTATGACATTATTTATAGTCATTTTATATATTTATAGTCTAGAATTTAATAAAAAAAATGGATACACTTAGAAAAGCCAACCTGTATATAATTTATTCTTACTAGTAACGAACTCTATAGGTAATAAATAACCTTTATGTGTATTTCAGTCCTGGATAAATCACATTCCCGGTGTAATTGACATGTCAGGGGTAGAAGAATATTGTATAATAGCTACTTTAACACAATTAATTGTTTCAAATCAACAAGGAATTCAATGTGACGGTTAGGCAGTTTGTTTTAAAAGTACGAAATGTAACACGGCTTCTATAATTGGAAATTAATTATTTTACTTTTATGCCTGTTCTAGCAAAGACCATAATTATGCCTGTAACAAGTGTGACAATAAACAGTAAAGCAACTGTCGTCGCCGCTTCAAAGGAGTCATTTTTAGTATGGAAATTCTCAACTCCTTCAAGACCTGGTGAGTCATTTAGTCTAATTGTAGTTTAACATCAGGTGCAATATTTTAACAAAACAACTTTTCCAGGATCATCGGAGCAGTTCTACCACGCGGATGGAACATCTCTTGCAAATGGAGAAAGCGCCATTCAAGATGACACTATCTGTTGTATAACATGTTCCGACAGCCATCTTTTGGTCGGCAGAGATTCGGGCGCAATACTCCTATTCTCGCTTGTAAATTTAAAAAAGATAACATCCATTAATATGAACACGAAACCTTATAAAATGGGTCTTAACTCAAATTCTAGGTGATTATATTATATTTGATATACGGGCATAAATGTACAATATACTCTTCATATGTTTCTTTTGGCAACTGTAATTTTGACTCCGTAGCGCAGTTGCTAAGCGTTCGGCAAGTTTCGCAAAGCTTCGGCGTCGGGGGTCATGGGTTCGATCCCCACACGGGACAACTATTTGTGTGACCCACCGATAGTTGTTTCGCATCTGGTGTTTGTCCGCGTGAAATTTATGTTCGTAAAACATCCTTATAACACAGGATAATGTTATCCTAAAGTAAGGACAGTGTTTAAAAAAAAAGAAATAATTATGACATGATCCTTTACTTGGTTTCCTTATTGCGAAAATGCCTCGTTCATACTGATAAAACGATCCATAATCTTATCTTTATTTACATTTAATTACGTTTTGGCTTTCAGTCCGTAGTCTATCAAAGTTTCATCGAACTCAGAGATTCCACGAGATTCTTCTTCGAGTCTTCCGGAGTTGAGCCCACACGTTTTAACCATTAATCTTAATGGCTGATTGGCACGTCGATGTATTTTATCTATTTTATTTCGCATTTTAAGCAATACTTGGGTCCGTCTGTTACTAAGTCCTTTACAGCACAAGAGCAATTTCAAATACTATTTTACAACGATGATTCGAGATGAGAAATATCGCTTTTGTTATTGAAATTGAAGGTAGAAGGAAGGGGGGTTCTATACTTTTTTTCTATTTCTCTTTTCTGGAAACTTTCCATTCGTTTTTCTTCAAATTATAAGTTATTAATTTTATTAAGTGCAAAGATAATAAAACTTAATATAATATTGAAATTACTTTAGCAAATTCTTCGTGATCGATCAGCCAGGATCTCTGTATATCCTGGACACAGATATGGCGAATAATGTGAGCGTGGGACAAGTCCTGCGCAAAGACGTGTGGAGTGCACTGTGGGCTTCTGATAACTGCCAAATGCTTGCTGTGGCCGAGAAGGCCCGCTTATACATTATGCGGGACAACGAGCCTGAGGAGCCCTTGACAATGCAAGGATATCTGTGCAGATTTAAGGTTCGACGTTCCTCTAGCCAGTGTAACAAAACCTCAAAGCTGAATCTTGCGATTGCGACATAAATGGCAACATTGTCATATACCACGCATTTGATAAGACCACTCTTTTCTTTCCATTTTATCACAGGCATTAGAAATAACAACTGCTCTCTTGGATAACATAACCGACAACTGCACGCCCCAGCATATCGTTCGTGTGGAGGTAAAGTCACTAAGAGATACGCGGCAGCTCATAGAAAAAGTTGGTTTGAAAGAAGCCGAGAGTTTTATAAAGGATAATCCGCACCCGCAACTTTGGTACATTTCTGTATTTTATAATAATGCTCTGTTTTTTTTTTTTTTTTCATTTTACATACTATGAAAGCATACGATTTGATATACTAGTACGTGATAGCTGTAATTTATTTGTATGGATAAATTATAAGAAAGTATGCTCTTAAATAAGCAATGTAAATAAATATGAAACAAACACTCAAATCTGTCTCTTACAGTAGGCAGGGAAATAATTCCCTAAAGTTGGCAATAGGATTTCGGCCTTCCACTTTTTTTTACCGCTGCGGAAATCGGACCCTCGTCTTCCGTATCCGCAGCCAGGGGCTTTAACCCTTAAGATAAACGGTCGATTGCCACTCCGACTCACTTCTATGTAAAATTGCTTTTCTCCATTTTAAGTACTGCTTGGCGCATCTATTATTACGTCCTTTACCATTTACCATTAACATACAAACAATTTCAAATATCGTTTTAAAGCGATAATTCTAACGAGAGATCTCTGATGAGAGATGAATCGGCTTATTTTTCGTAATTAATTGTTCTTAATTTCATCTTTAGAATTTATATTTACTTATATAAAAATACATATTTAGATATTTACACGATATTTATGTAGATGTATATGATACATGATATTCACATAGTTGTTATGATTCCAGGCTTCTCTTGGCTGAGGCGGCGCTCAAAACTTTCGAATCGGAATCCGCTTTAGAAACGGCGGAGGCGGCGTTCGTTAGACGAAACGACTACGCCGGCATCAGATTCGTGAACCGCTTGAGGGCTCTGCATTCTAATGCACTTAAGAAGGCCGAGATACACGCTTACTTCAAGGACTTTGATGCAGCGGAAAATATTTATCACGAAGAAGATAGGCGGTGGGTAAAGAATTAAACGCAATAAGTTATTGGTATTAAAACTATTTGTACTAAAATAGAAAAAAAAAATGGTATTTTTAAAAGCTTAAAATGTACGTCATAAATGTCAGTGTGTCCGATCGTTAGACGTTTGGTTTGAAGTTAAACGACACACCGACCAAGATATAGAATGATTTCTTGCACAGTGACCTTTTAGTCCTTTTGTCATACAGTGTTGAAACATATATAATCTCCCTATAAGTGATCCGAGCCGTAAACCTAGATTCACCGATGATCTGTGAAGCTGTGATTTACAAACCGAAACCACAGAAAGCAACTAGCTAAAAATATACATTACAGTTTTTTTATGATTGTTGAAACTTAAAATGTGAATTATTAGATGCTGTGGATTCGAACCTGAGTTTTTATCACTTTTTCAAGGTTTTCTGTAACCAAATGTCGATATTTGTTATTGGTTTATAATACTGTAGACAACAAAATAAATTATTGAATTATTGTAAATATTTAAAAAGAATAACAATCTTCGTGCGGAATAATTTAGATACATAATCTTTTTCCAAAACTATAACAGTTCCTATATTTCCATATATTCAATGTTATAAATTACAGAGACTTAGCAATTGCATTACGAAGGCGCTTGGGACATTGGTTCCGTGTCGTAGAATTGCTGAAGATGTCAGTGAGCACAACGGACGCTGAGATAAAAAATGCATATATCAATATCGGAGATTACTACATCGATCGACAAAACTGGTTAAAATTAATCATAACTTTTTAATGCTATTTTTAAGACTACGTATATAACGTTTTTTTTATTTATTTATCTAATTTCTTATATCAATGCTAAAGTAAAGGTAAAGTAACAGCCTACAAATATCCCCCTGCTGGGCAAAGGCCGCCTCTATACAGAGGGTATCAGGGCATAATCCATCACGCGGCCCCACTGCGGATTGGCGGATTTCACATATCTTCGAAATATTTAGTTTTTGTTATTATTTAGAAAATATGCAGGTTTCTTCACGATGTTTTCCTTCACTGCTAAGCACGTGATAAGTCAGCACTTACAATTAATAATTTCATTGGTGCCGGCACCGGGGATCGAACTCAGGTTGCTTGAGTATAATTATAGCATTTCTAAGGTTATTTATTTTGAACTCGATCCCGCAGTTGCTGAGCTAATGCCTTTGGCGCCGGGGGGAGGTGGGTGCAACTCCACTCGGGTCAAGTATTTTACCGCGTTATCCACTGTTTATTTGTTTGGATCTGATTGTTTGTTTCCAAGTAAGCTTGTTGTCACGCAAGCGGCCGGTCATAAAAAATGAGCCAAAACTTTGATTGATAAGGGCGGAAAACTAATTCTTTTGTAAAGTGTACGCGAACTGTCCTGAATTGTTATCAAAATTGTTTTCAAAAGCATAACAACATCACATATTTGCAGACGAAATTGTTTATCGCTATCTCTATGCAGGGCTGGTGCCATCGAGTACTATGCTATGTCAAATAATAAAGAAGGCTTGAAAAAGTGTTACATGGCTTTGGAGGACAATGAATCGTTAGCGAAATTGTTTACAGGATCGCAGAAGGATACGAAGGTTTCAGGCTGAATTTTAAATTCTGTTATATTACTACGAAATTACGAAAATTTATCAATAATTCTTTTTTTATAGGATGGATCGATGAAACAGCTTATGATAGATAATATTAGTGATGTCAATCAAACATTGACGATTGAGAGTGTAACACAGCTGAAAGAAAGCGGTAGAATGTTGCAAGCCGCGACAATGGCTTACCAGGTATGAAATATCAAAAATGTGCGTTAAAAAACATACTGGCATATACGTATGCGGGAAACATTATTAGCTTTGTCATTTTTATATTTTTGTGATTTTAATTACGGCATCCAAAAAATGTTGTTAATAAGTTGTATTTAATTTCTTTAAAGCTAGCAAATAGCGAGGCATCAAAAAAGTCTTCTCCGTGGCGCATAAAAAGGCTTTATATACTCGCTGGCCACCTCTACAGTCAAAACTCTGTAGGTAATGTATATTTTTATCAATACCTTGTTATCTTATTTTGTCAGATAAACATTTTTATCTATGGCGTTCTTGGCTTATATTTCATTGTTATCTTTTCTAGCATTGGCAATATAACACGATTTAGTTTTTCTAACTGTTTTGCGGGGAGGGGAATAGCTTGGTTATATTTCTACGGTTATTACGAGTATATTCTTCTTTTTCTTTTTCTTCTTTTTTTTTTTTAAAAAACATTGCCCTTACTTTAGGATGACATTATCCTGTATTGTAAGTACGTTTTACAAACATAAATTTCACGCGGACAAACACCCAGATACGTAAAAACTATCTGTGGGTCACAAACAGTTTTCCCGTGTGGGAATCGAACCCACGACCCCCGACGCCGAAGCCAATACCTTGGAAACTGCGCCACGGAGTCATCAAAATATTAGAGAGAATAGTCGCAAAAACATACACTTCGACTCCGAACAGCAAATTGTGGGTCACAAATATTTGGCCCGGGTTTGAAATTGAAACGGACACTGCGCTCGAAGGCAATTAGGTGATGTTCAAACCATTACGTCATCTATGTCTTGTTATCTTCAGAATAGCAATGAATCTTCTCTTGTTTTGTTTTTTTACTATGATCATAGGTTATGGTTTAATTCTTTCTCCAAAGTGAGTAGAATGTATAACTACCTCACTGATAGGACATTACTGATGGAGTGAAATCTCTGTTTATAGTGCATTACCTATAGCACAGCGCGTTGTGCACCTTCCACTTCCCTCATTTTGTTTCCATGATAGATTGGGCCAGTGCTGTATTAATTTCCTAAATTATAACTGTCTACGGCAGTTCTGATCGATCAAATTCTTCCTAGGCACCGCATGTCTTAAGGACTTGAATCCTAACATCAGTTTGCTCAGTCTGTTAGTGATTTGATCAAGATGCGGTTGCCAAGAAAACCTTTGATCAACCATCCATCAATCTTACGTGCAGTGATTAGCACTATAAAAAATTTAAATTACTTAGTGTCAAAGGGTTTTTTGAGATCCCAGGTCCAAACATTTATTCCCTTTATCAACTTGTTTAGTCACAAGTTGACAGAGAGCTCTTACTGTATCTACAGTGGAATTGCCTTGTCTAAAGCCAAATTTTGTAGAAAATAGTATTTTATAATTATTTAGGTAATTTAATACTCTAGAGTTAATGTGTTTTTGCAATATATTCGAAATGGAGCTGGAAGTATCGAAATTAGCCTATAGTTACTGAAGTGGCATTTATCTCCACTCTTATTCAATGGTGTAACGATCGATTTTTTTTAAGAGCTGTTGTGGATGAAATTACCATTATTACCTATTATTTACTAAGACAGAACTAAATACAATGATATTTTAAAACCGCAAATATCTTACAATTTTACCCATATATGGATATTTCTTATTCAAGATATTGTGGTCGATATTGATATTTTAATATCGCTAAATCGATATTCTTTTTACGTTCGACATCCTTATCGGGAAACAGGCTACGTTACAAAACGTTTATGACACGAGTCGTTGTTCCGTCTGCTTGAAATATATTAATATAATCCCTGCCTATATGACCGACAATTATTAGAGAATACGCTCTCTCCCTCATGAGACGTAAATCGCCAATTTAGCTAGTTATCTCTTTTATCAGAATCTGACTTTGTGCAAGTCCACCGCTAGAATAAAGTAAACAGTTTTTATCATCATATGTACTTGCAATTCTACAAAAAATCCCAACAATGCTATTATGACATACGCAATAAATTGTAACGCGACGTCTGTCGTCAAATGGCTATAAGCAAACGTTCTGTCCGCTAAATGGCCGGTTCGATCACGCGTGTAGAGGGAGCGAAGGGGCGCGAGGCGGCGCGCTGTTTCCGTCTGGGCGGCGCACAGCACTGGCTGTGCGTGGCGATTAGGCGTGCGCGTGCGCGTCCGATGCGCGCCGACGCCGCCCACGCCGCGGCCGCCCGCCTCGCAGCCTCCGTTGACGACCTCCATCCCGCTCAGCACGTGCAGGTAATTCTATACCTGAAAACGAGACCTCAATACTTCGCACGGTAACTTGCTCTCCCAAGGCAATGGCAGGTTTTTCCTAAATGACGGTTCCAATAGAGAGGTAAAGGATAGGGCTACGAACAGGGAAGGATGGAGGGTGTTACACAGCCGATCTACTGGGATGCTGCACCGACAAGAGCCTAGCTCTTAAATTAAAGAAGAAGATAGTCACTAGTAATTTAGCTCCCGGACGCCTGCAAAGAGACGGCAGTCAGCACTATTCATTAGCCGAACAAACCGCCCAACCAAGCCATCAAATAATTCCCGATCAGTCTTCTCAATTGCTTGAAAAGCTGCACGAGCGTATTGTCCTTAACAGGTTGAAGGAAAAGGAATAAAGTTGTTGGAGTAAACATAGTCCATGTTTATTTCAGCAACTGTACTCCTCCCGGCTTTCGACCGAACGGGTCTTTTGCTTGACGGAGCATGCACTCAAAGGCCTTAGCCAACACAAGTACTTAAGCTTTTCCTTGATGTTGCAAAGGCATTAGACAAGGTGTGACCCAACGACTTTCTGTATAAGCTGTTTGAACCCAAAGGGCCTGACCGGCGCATGCACACCATCCGATAGTTCCTATCGTATCTTTCTTTTCGATACCGAGTAGAGGTACGAGTTGGGGCACACTATGGGGCTCCAAATAATATACGCGGCGCTATATCGCTCGTTGGATAAGCCGCATCATTGAACACAATATTGCGATAAAACAGTGGGTTGACTTTTTTATCGCAATATTGTCAGCCGACCACTGTTTATTATCAGCCGAACACTGTACAACGTATTTAAGGATGCGTCTCATCGCCCCCAGTCACCGATTAATGCAGCCATCGGCTATCTGGTCACGGTCCGTACCGAACGTCGACGGCGTAGGTGACATACCTCTCGTTTAAAATAATGCACGCATGAGCACATTTGCGCATCTACGCAACGCGGAGGATTCACTAAATTTGGGCTATCACGAGAGCTCTGCGTTCGATATTGCTTTAATAGACAAGTACATTTTAGAGTCATTTACATGATCATATAAAGATAAATATAGTGGTTTACCTGTGTCTGCTGTTAGTAATATCTAATATTTTGACGCTATTTTCACAAACAAATATGTCAAGAAAAGCTATAAAGCTATGTTTTATAACCGTAGAAAGTAACACATCATACATAATAACATGTCTATATAATAATATTTATTACCTAATTTTTGTTCGGTGCACCTCTCTCTCATTCATTACTTTTATTTGTAGGTTTGGTGTGTCATCGCCGCTATAGCGTTACAAGTGCGTGCTTTCGAGTTGTGCTCAAAAGCTTTTATAAAATTAGAGTCATTGGAGGTAAGAGATCACAAACTATTTCATAATTATCTTCAAGAATAAACGAATATTATTATGTCTGTATCATGAAGGATTTTATAGTTAGTGGAAGGGCTATTTTAAAAAAATAAACTACTCAACTGTTGTCTTCTATACAATGGTAAAAAAGTAATACGATATACAATGTCTGTACTGGATAGAGGGGTAGGCAATTCACACTGTGGTCGGACCAGGTCACAGCTTGCGCAGGTAAACGAATAGACAGCTTCTGCTGGAGTAGGCCTCACAAAAGATCAGCGTGGAGTATAAGTATTTTTACTTTGTATATCGCCTGATAAGGTAACTTATTTTTGAATATGTAAATGGGCGGTGCTAATAACTTATTATTAGGTGAGCCGCCAGCTCGATTGCCAACTTTTCACATAAATAATAATGAGGACGTAGACTGCGCTCACACATCTCACAAAAATTTAAGTAGCCTGTGATGTGCAATTGTGATGCCATTGCTGTACATAATGTTTGAGCATATAATGAGCTTGATATAAATAAATTATATAAATATTTCACAGCCTGACACATTCGAAGTTCTTGCAATTGAAATATTTAACCGATGTAAGCCAAAGGACGCTAAAGGAAACAAAATCGACTGCCCAAACTGTCAAGTGAGCATATTCGATTGGTAAGTTAAATGTGCATATAATAATAGCAAATAAATAAATATAAAAGTTAGTAATAATTTGTAACACAAAAGACCAATAGTATAACGGCCCTCTCCACTTGGTAAGATGTCGTGAGACTTTGTTTGACCCCCTCTCCCCCTCCCCCAATCTCACGTGAGATTTTTAAAAATGCATATTTTTCTTGTAAATAAGTTAATCTGTACTTCATTACGTTAGAATCATTTAAAAAAAACTATTTGCTTATTACTTTTTTTATTTAAGGCTAGTTAAGACTAGTATTTAAGATATGTAATAACGTAGCATAGAATCACAGTGAAAAAATCGACTAATAAAATACTTAAATAGAAACTACTAAAATTTTTAATAGAATATTCACTCTAATTCAGTCCACGGAGACGCATTTTTTTTTGGGCTGGATGAGCCACTGTTGGCCTTAGGGGCCTTTACAGTTCCCGGGGGAGCCTCGGCTCGGGCCGTCACGCTATTATTATTACCGGTTTGGGAGGCCGCAAATCTCTTAGGGCGCTTTGGCGGGCGCTCCATGGAGTGATCAGGCTCAAGGGTCCCCTAGAGGGGACCTCGGCTTGGGCTGTCACTCAGCACGCGTTTAGCATTCCGATTCGAGGGTGCCCAAGAGGGCCGGACCTCGGCTCGATCGGTAGCTATTATCTGACTGGGGCGAGTGTGATAAATATCTTGTGATAAATGAAAAGTAGATACCGCATGTACTCAGCATCTCTTCCTAGATCACCACGTTCACATGGGCAATTGAGATCATAGGGTATGCTGATGAAGGCGTGCAAAGGTTGAATCGGTAGGCTATGACGAATCAAGAAGGGAGCAAATAACTTTCCGTCATGCTCGTCAGGCTCCGGGATTGTCGGATGCCCATCAACCTGAGTGATAGGGTATAGAGGTGACAGAAAACGGGTTACGAAGAATCATATGTAGGGCACTCCGGCGTGGGCTGCAGCAGTCCCGGTCATCGCATTTCACTACCTAAAATAATAATTAAAAACAATTCTTCATTTTTTACTTTTTTTTTTTAAAAAATATTCTGTCAGTGTATAATTAAACCGCGATAAATATTATAATGCATGATTTACTCATATTTTAGTGGAGAAACATTTTTTACTTAATTTAATCCATCTTATCTTGTAATTTTACACTGTTTCTTCTGGAAAAAAAATTACGTGATATTTCTCGAGACCACCCTCTTTCCCACGTGAAATTGGGTGAGGTTTGGCTTGACCCCCTCCCCGCTAAACGCCTCACGTAATTAATGGATGCCCCCTAAGTCTAATACGGGGACGAGAAACACGAATGCACCTCGAGATTTTTTACACTTATGCAGACACACATCACTTGCCGCATTCTTTTTACTTATGCTTTAATTACCCTATCCTTTCTACATGTGTGACTGTGAGAAAATTATCATGAACGAAACGTGTGAATGAGGGCTGTCAGTCTGGAATGGAAATAGGAACACTTTAGGCCTATGATTTGTAAGGGTATAACCTATCTTTAGTATAAAATATCATTGTATAAGAACAAAAAATCTATTCTCACTACCAAAGTGGCTTATATGTATATACGCCGATAATATCAATCGTAATAATTGATATTACGGCGTTTTTAAAAACGAGCATGTTGAAAGTTGTTGATCTATTACTTAAATTCTTTAGAATTTATACACATAAATTTGTACTTGCTTATTATCTGTTATTTCTTTATTTTAATGATTTTCATTGAAATCAAGGTTCTTACCTTAGAATACTTTTAACCGGAATCAGGAACACAAGCTGTCCCTCGTGCGGCGAGCAGTTTCCAGGTTGTGCGGTATCCGGGCGGGCGCTATTCGCGGCGCATACGATGTGGACGTGTATCACGTGCGACGCACGCGCCCAGCAACACGAGCTAGTATTGCGACACTCGTGCCCCATGTGTCACTCTCAGCTCAATTGACCGACGTAACGACGCTTCGAATACTTGCATCCCACTGTTTCACACCACTCGCATCGTTATCTCTATTATTATTTATAAATATGTATTTTCAAATTAAATGCCCATGGTTCACAATGCTCATCAAATGTGTGCCCCTTTCATATCATGACATCTGACTTTCTCCACAGTTAGAATGTGGATATAGGACGTACGTCGAATATGGTCAGTTTATTTGTCAAACGAAGACAGCATTATTATTGAACTTATTTAGCTTATGTTTTAGAGAATTTACAACTCCCCACGCTTCATAGTAGAGGCTCTTCCATAGTAAAGCAAGAAACTTGTAATCTTTAACTGTGGTAGGGCCACGCAGCAGCCTCCGCTGTTGCACGAATGGGTAGGCTCGTTCCGGCGACCACCTCACAGAAGACCAACAGAAGTATAACAAATACTTTCGTGTTTCGTCTGGTGAGTGAGATAGCCGGAGCCCAATCTTCAAAAGGTTGCCAACGCATCTGTTATCCTCGGGTGTAACAGATTTATGGAAATCGATAAATATGGGTGGTGGTATTCACTTAACATCAGGTGAACCGCCTGCTTGCTTGGCAACTTTTCACATAAAAAATCATTTAGGCCAAATATCCGCAATAATATCAATGATGTTTTAATAGTTTTGATGACTTCCTGGCGCAGTTGCTAAGGTATTTGCTTCGGCGTCGGAGGTCGTGGGTTCGATTCCCACACGAGACAACTATTTGTGCGACCCACAGATAGTTGTTTCGGATTTGGGTGTTTGTCCACATGAAATTTATGCTAGTAAAATGTCTTTACAACACACGATAATGTTATCCTAAAATAAAGGCAATGTTTAAAAAAAAAGATACCGCATGTCCATATTGCGCGGCGTTTAAAAATTGTTCCGGTCTAAGTTATATGACATATTTATTAGAATAAGAGAGATGATAATATAGGTATGATACGAAAAGGGATAGCAGCATTACAATTCTTTGTAATCTAATTACACCAGTTGGTGTAATTTCAGTGCCTGAATTTCGGTGTGCTAGTATCATATCTACCTCTTAATTGTAAATAATATCATTCCTATCCATGTGTTTATGAATAAATATTTTTCTTGTAACGTTTTTTTAGATCTTTTTATTGTTACTAGTACACTACTATTATGCATAGGTAGTGTGTGTAATGTTTTTTATCTATTTAATGTATTTTTATGCATAATTAAAAAAAATATTTGCATTGTGCACTCTTTCTCTATATAAACTCTTATGTGTGGGTAATTTCATACTCCTCCGTCCGCGCAATTAACGTAGAAAGGGGTACAAAATTACGTATTAATATGTAGATAAAAATAGATTTTATTATCAAGAAACATAACTAGGTAAAATTATTCATTGAATATATAACTATTTGTAATAGATTCTTAGTAGTCAGAGAGAAGTCTGCTGCTTGACAGAATGTTAAATATGTGAATAGGAATATTGGAAATTCCTCCTTGCGCCAGCCTGAAACAGCTACCAGCAGTAGCGTAGTGAGGTGACAAAGGCAACGGTGCAAAGAAAAAAAAGCGGCCCCAACTCCCTCTTTTTGCATAGCTTGAACTTATATTGACCGACTGAATTTCAAACTTACAGATAGGGACAATAAAAGAACATAGTGGCATGAATTTATTAAGGCTAGAATCCCTATGTGTTTAATGAAGGAAAATTGGAATATGTATACAACGATGAACATGACAATATGAAATGTTTATTATTTTTAATATATTTATATAGTATAAGACATTAATTTGTAGAGAAAAGAAATCCGGAAGACGTTGGTTCGATTTCCGCAACGGTAAGAAACTTTTCGTCCTATTTTCTACAAATATTAATCGTCTTAAGTGCAAAGATTAGCACTATAAAAATTTAAATTTTATACAGATGACATCTATAAAACAAAATTCTTTAACTGTGCAAATTCGTCTGTAACTACATTCAAATCCAAGATTGCTCCTGCTTTGTTTTCTATTGCAATTAATGTTAAATGTTGATGGCAATCTTGGCCTATGTTGTTTCTAAAATGATTCGTCATATCTTCAATTTACCAGCAGCCGTGATAGCTCAGTGTCCGGGCGGTTGCCTTTAATCTTATCCTTTAAACAAGCAATTCTTGTGTGTATGTATATATATAATCGGAATCTCGGAAACGGCTCCAGCGATTTTCGTGAAATTTAGTATGTGCGTAGATTCGGGGGCGAAAAATCGATCTAGCTAGGTTTCGTTATGAGTATTTGTCCAAAATTGCCGAGCAAAGCTCTGTCCTCCAGGTACTTCAATTTACTCGAGCAACCTGACTTCGATCCCCGGTGCCAGCCCCAATAAAATTGTTAATTTTAAGTGCTGACTTATTACGTGCTCGGCGGTGAAGGAAAATATCGTGAGGAAAACTGCATATTTTCGAAATAATAACAAAAATAAATATTTTGAAAATGTGAAGTCCGTCAATCCGCAGTGGGATCGCGTGGTAGTATATGTCCTGAAACCCTCTTTAAGGGGAGGCCTTTGCCCAGCTGTGGGACATTTATAAGCTGTTACTTTATTCAATTTACTGAGAGATCTTTCTGCTGACGCGGAAGTATCCGAAATTGTCTGAAATATTTCTACAATTGTTGTTGCTTTATACATTTCCGTATGGTCACATTGAAGTACAAAAAAATCGATTATGAAATCATACATTATAAATTTAGCGAACAAGTTCATTCCATACTTTTTGACATCTCTAAAACTTGACGCAAGACGTGATTGTATTTAGGAATGAGCTGTACAATTAAAAATTTCCGTGGTTTCTTTCCAGACTCAAATTCTCTCAATGTCCTTTGCAAGAGTAATGATGATGTCGAATAATCTAGAACGAACGAAGAACATGTCAAATGATGCTTCGATGTGAAATTTATCTTCAAGGTCCTTATATACCTTGCAATCATTAGTGTCGTCCGTCCCAAAGAGTTTTACATTACAATGAATATCATATATATAGATGAGACTACATGTAAAAAAGGGCAAATGAAAACTTAACTAAAAAAGTTGATGGGTGGAATTGATCTCACGGCCATCAGCACATGAGCATATCGCCGATTCAATGTGCTACTAACGTACTGAATTAATAATGTTAAAAAATAGCAAATGCTTATCGAAGACGCTTGGCGACACGCAATAATCATTAAAAAAAATTATGATTATTGGCAACTGGCAAGTGACGTTAGAAGTGTGTTCATATAATGTCGCGGTTGTAATACCCTCTGTATAATTTACTTCCAGTCCAGAAGGTGTAAATGTTAATTACCGTACCTATTTAATACATCTTTGGGATAAACACTGTGTGCCAGATTTGAATAAGAAATTATATATCGTTTTTTATTGGATTAAAATATCAATGTCTTTTTCAAAATCATTAATTAACCTTTTGGTTGGTGAGTGAGATTACCAGAACCCTCATTTTTAAAGGTTGGCAATGCCTTAGTGAGTTGTAGATAGGGTTGGCAACTGTATTTGAGAAAAAAAAGTAAGTATCATATTTTTCAAGTAGAGAAAAAATAAAGTAATATACAAAATTTTATTTATCCCTCTATTTGAAGATATATTTTTGTATGCTTCTAGCACACACAGTTTTTCACTGTGCTTAAATTTTTGGAGGTATTTTTTTACATTTCCAATTTGAATAAAAATTTAACTTAATTAAAATGAAAATCTGGGAAATCACATAGTAGCACACACACTGATTCCACGAAGACTAGGTTTAAAATACACCAAATGACAAATTATCATAAGAAACAAAAAAAAAATGATAAAATGTTTTGTTTAATATACTTAATATAATCAATTAAAAACACTTAATTTGAAAGTGTTCAGTTTCAACTTAGAGGTATTGCTAAAAGTTCAGTGATTATGCATATATACAATGAGTTTAATATAATAGAGAATATTCACACAATTTCTTTTTATGCCAAAGCATATTTACCAAAAATAAAATAGGATACGTTATTATGAAGTATGGTTGGCAACCCGAGTTGTAGATGTCTTTGTATGGTGGTTGATAATCACTTAATGCTTGTCTACTTTCCACAAAGTAATTAAATATATGTAGGAATACTACAATGTTTGTCAAACATGTTAAATGAAAGACTAGAAGAATCAAAATAAAATTACTAACCTTTAATTAACAATATTTCACAAAATGTAGCTCTTTTAGTTTCTGTTAATAATTATCCTTGACTAGATAATTCATCTAAGTAAATAAAAACTGCTGCATAAACTCTTTATTATTTAGTGCTAAATATCAAACATTGATTTTAAATATTTCACGGAAATTTTATTTGTACCATATAAATATGCTTTTATTGAAAATGACAATAGAAAAAAAGATGTGGATAGAACCTATATACTGCTATATAACATGTAATAAAATATCAAGGCTCGACTTCTTACAATGAAAAGAAAATTAAAATCAGTATCCAACATCCAAATGTCATCCAACAATCATTACATTCTAATAGGTATACCATGTTAATATTACTGGACATAATTATTGTTTTGCATATCCATTTTTGAAAACTGTAGAGTGTTGTCAATTATTTGGAATAATTCTGGTGGCTGTGGAATTCTTCCAGTTTCTAATTTTGACCAAAGTGGAATGTTATTAAGAGATATTTCAAATGCCCCAGAGGAGACTAGTTGACCCTCAATCATATTTGCCAGAAAGAACATCATCATACAAGCATATAATTTATTTTCCAAGCACCAACTCCACCAGCTAGGTTGTGGTTTATTTAACCAAGCAAATATGTTGACACCACTAAGAACACACATGATTAATATCATCTTCCCAAAACCCTGTAAATAAAAAAAAATTAAGTAGTGTAGTAAAATGTCTGCAAAAATACATCATAAATTGATATTTTGTTGCTTGTATGATATGAATTTTTAATAAATTGTTTTGAGTTTTTTGGTTTGGGTGTATATGTTTAAAAATATATAAAATAAGAATTTGATATATAATGTTTACTTACAATCAACCTAGACAGGTACATATTCAGCCCAGGAGGATCATAGTTTGCTCCAATTACAGAAATTTCAGGATATTTTTGATGTATAATACCTGCATAATCTTCAAACACTTTTCTGTATCCACAGGAATAACTAAAATTAAAATTCCAGCAGATCTTGTTAAAGTAGCATGAAATTTTTGGAAAAATTACTATGGATAACTAATACAGTAGCGAGGCAAAAATCTTCCTTTTTATCACCTACGACACTAGAGATAAAAATATGGAGAAGTCATGTTCAAGTCATAACTTTTTAAGAGTCATATACGTACCAATAATAAATGTTCATAATGTGGCCCATGCCTTGCCCAATTTTAGTAATACTTTCGGCATCATTTTCATGTGCTCGTACGTAGTTATCGGCCGTTATAATAAGACATAAACAGACAAAGGTGAAGGTATAGCAACAATTCGTAATAAGGGACATTATTACATATAACAAGATCAAGTTAATTATTATTCGAAACTACTTCAGATTCACAACAAACAGAATATGAAACAAAAATAATGTTAAGGCTGCAGTTGTAATAATTTAATTAGAATCTGTCGGTATTCCCTGTCACCGAATGACTCGAATGAGGCAACTAGAGATGGTGCGTTTTACGTTACCAGGTATTGATACCCGGTATTTCCTTACAAGTATACCAGGCATCGACCCGAAATACTTGCAAGATTTGAAAGTAAAAATACTTTCAAATCTTAGATACGATTATTAATACTTCCATTAGAGTATACGACCCTTCAAAGTAGGTTTTACTTTAATAAAGTAAGATTATTAATTTCAGTCGGTAAAGTAAAATGACATTTCCAGTGATGCAGGTTTTTAGTCCCAAATAAATAGTGATGTGGTAGAATCGACTTTTTACAATTAAAAGTTAGTCAACATTACATTTTTTTATTCAATAAAAATGTTTGAAATTGCTTTTATATTGTGGCGACTCATTTGCTACTGTGTAGCACCGCTCTTATCTTTTACACCCTTACTCTCATCGGTCTAGCATTACCCTATTATTGACAAATTGCTTTAGCAACGAGTGACAATAAAAAGATGATGGTTTTCTCAACACGGCTTGTTCTTTGTACTGCATCTTAATTATTCCCTCCTGCCGGCTCCCAAAATATAAATAAAAAATATGTAATTTACTGTAATTAAACTGAAGACATACACGGTAAGTAATTAAATATTACATAAAATACTGCTATATTATTTGTTTTTGGTTATTGGAAGCACTATAGTCATCACTTGTCACACTATGGACGCCATTTTGTTTGTGATTTGTCAGTATGTATGTCTGATCTACCAAATATGTGAAATAGTACCATGCGAGCAGTTTTAAAACATTTAAAATTTAAAGTCGCAAACGACGCAGCTGCTTGACAGACCGTCAAGACTTAATTCTGTGGCGTAGACGGTACTTGACGACAATCAAAGAATATCGGAGACAAGGAAAAATAATTTATTATCAAGATGACACCTGGATTAATGAAGATAATTGAATATTTTTATTTACAACTGTATTTAGTGAATAGTTTTTCAGTTTCAAAATGTATTTGTGTCAGTATTAAATTATTTATATGAATTTTGTATATTAACAGGTCATGTATAAGAGTTCTAACGTTTTTACCGTTTTTACCATGATTCTAATAATTTAACTATTACTGAACTTGAATATAACAACTAATATAACGACAAGTAGCACTAGTGGTTGTACATGCAACTGGTAAAGTTTGGGTGGATACACCAATAGAATCTTCCAAACAAGCGTTTTCTAAATTTCTAAAGGTTTGACTACAGGCCTAAAGGGCTCAACCGGCAAAGGTCGACGCCTAATAATTTCACAAATAGGCAGTGATGAAGATTTTGTAGGAGCCGGTTTAGTTATTTTTGAATCAAAGAAAAATAGTATGGACTATCATGAAGAAAGTGTTTTGAGGAATGGCTTTAAAGCATTTTGCCAAATTTAAAGCCGAATGCGGTGCTGGTATTAGATAACGCACCGTACCATTTAAGAAAAGTCGAGCGTATCCCCACTTCAAACTGGCGGAAGGCTGATAATATTATTCAGTGGTTGAATGAAAAACAAATTCAATATCAACCTACAATGATAATAGAAATAGTAAAATTACAAAAATCTAATTACGAATGTTATGCCGTGGAAGAGTTGGTCGCTGAATACGGTGTCACAATCCTGCGCCTACCCCCTTATCACTGTGAGCTCAACCCAAAAGAGTTAGTTTGGGCTGAAGAAAGGGGTACATCGCCAGGAACAATAAAACTTTAAAATAAAAGACGTAAAAAATTATTTGAAGAAGGCCTGAAGGAAGTGACGCCTGAAAATTGGAGACAGTGCATCAACCATGCCATAAAAGTCGAAGACAAAATGTGTCAACTCGACCACATCATAGATGAATATTTGGATTCATTCGTTATAAATGTAACCGATTCTGAATATACCGATTCAGAATCAAAATCAAAATCAAAAATATATTTATTCAAATAGACGCTTGCGCGCTCTTATGAATCGTCAAATTTTACATCAAAAATTATGTATATAGGTTCGTAAGGTACCACCGGTTCGGAAAGCAGTTTCTGTTGAAAAGAGACCGGCAAGAAACTCAACGGTTGCTCTTTTTCAAAAAGACCATCAACAGTATTAACTCCACATATCGGCGTCGTCGAGATATTCCGCAATGGTAAAATATGCTTTAACCATAAGTTGACTTTTAATTTTATATTTAATTTGGTCAAGCGGCAGACTTAATATCGACTGTGGGATTTTATTATACATGCGCACACTTTGTCCCATAAACGATCTATTTACTTTTTGTAGACGAAACAATGGCGTAGTAAGTTTGTCCTTATTTCTAGTGTTTATTTTATATCTGTCACTATTCTTTAGGTAATAATTAAGATTATGACGTTTATACAAAATATTACAATAAATGTATTGAGAAGCAACAGTGAGTATATTAACCTCTTTGAAAAGATCTCTGGGTGAATTCCGGGCTCCGATATTGTAGATTGCTCGGACAGCTCTTTTTTGAAAAATAAATAAAGAATTTATATCTGATGCACTACCCCACAACAAAATGCCGTACGACAACATGCTGTGAAAATAACTAAAGTAAACAAGTCTGGCAGTGTCGATGTCTGTTAGCTGCCTAACCCTTCTGGTCGCAAAAACAGCGGAGCTCAGCCTATTCGTAAGAGATGATATATGGGGACTCCACTGGAGCTTTGAATCTACTGTAATTCCCAGAAATATAGTAGACTCAACTGGATTAACGTTAATTAATAGTAAACTAAAACTTTTTCTTCTTATATTGGGAAGGGTAAAAAGAATACATATAGTTTTTTTGGCATTTAATACCATATTAATAATAGTAAACCAATGAAGGATATGCGAAAGTGTACTATTCACGTCGTCATAATTTAATACGTTTCGGTCAACCTTAAAAATAAGCGATGTATCGTCAGCAAACAGTACAACATCACACAAACCACTGGTATAAAAGGGGAGATCATTAATATATACTAAAAATAATAATGGGCCCAAGATTGATCCTTGTGGATTACCCATTTTCATCGGGGACCCAGCGGAATTAACATCATTTATAGATACTATTTGAATTCTATTACTAAGGTAAGAGGCAATGACATTGAGGGCGATGCCACGAATGCCATAATATTCTAGCTTTTGAAGGAGTTTTGTGGTCTACGCAGTCGAAGGCTTTTGAAAGGTCACAAAAGACGCTTATTGCATCTTGTGACCTTTCCCAGGCATTGTAAATATGTTTGACAAGTGCGACGCCCGCATCTGTTGTCGATCTGCCTTTAGTGAATCCATATTGCTCATCGTGAAAGATTTTGTTCACATTAAAATGGATTAAAAGTTGATTTAAAATTAGCTATTCAAAAACTTTCAAAATGGCAATATGGAAATAGATCTATAGTTGCCTGGATCATTTTTATCACCACTTTTGTAAACAGGTATTATCTTACTAAATTTCATAAGATCTGGAAATATTTCAGAATCTATGCAGTTGTTAAAAATATAAGTCAAATGTGGAGCAATATATGGCATTATTGTGCTCATTAATTTTATGGACATGCTCCATAAATCCCCTGTATTTTTCAGATTAATAGAATTCAAAACTATTATGATATCATAAGTATACTTTAAATGTGTGTAGACAATAGGTACATTATTTCTTAATACATTGATTGCGTTTGCGATAGATGATTTTAATGTACATGTGACGATAACAGCAATTTCTGAAAAATAGCTTTCGAAACTACTCGCAATTTCGTTATCTGATGTTATGGGAGTATTACCTATGACTAGTTTTATAGTTTCCCTGAATATCTTGTTTTTTTTCCAGATATACGGGTAATGATGTCCCATGTGACTTTAGTTCTATTGTTTGAATTTATTATGCTATTTCTTATATAAATAGATTAAGCTTGACTTAAATAAATTTAAGAGTCGTTTACTAAGTAGTGTTACTTGTAATAAATCTACATTAAAATCCCCACAAACTATTAATGATTTACTACTTGAACATAGCTTTTTAAGAACATCATCCATTACAAACTCAAAGTCTCAAACTGTTCGAAATCACCTGAGGGGGGCCGATATACGCATACTTTTGTTTAAACATCGTTTCAAAGTCAAAGTATATTTATTCAATATAGGCCTAACTTAAGCTCTTATTGAACGTCAACAAAAAATCTACCACCGGTTCACTAAACTAGACCTACACAAAGAAGAACCGGCAAGAAACTCTGCGGTCTTGTTCTTTTTGTTATATTTTTTTTTTGATGCAATTATACACACTTATTTAGGTATAAAATCAGCAGCAGCCAGGGGTCTTGCAAGTGCAGAGCAAGAGTCATTTCCCAACATCCTTGTCCTAAATATATTCTTGGATATTATATTTATAGCTCTTGCCATTAAGGTAGCTTTTACAAATTGTTTAAAATTGTTTATATTTAGTTGTTTGTGGATGTCACCTATTTTATTATAAAAGTTGATGCATCTTCCCAGAAACGACTTTCTGTTTTAGCCAATCTAAACCTCGGTACTTCCAGAGTGTCACCACGGCCCCGACGCGATGTGCATTGTTTTTTCGTAAATAGGTGGATATTCTTACGTACATACATGATGTTCTCAAGTATGTAAAGCGACGGGAGCATCAAAACGTTTATTTGCTTAAATATATGCCGTAGTGACTCACGTGGACCCAAGCCATAGACGGCCCGTATAGCCTGCTTTTGTAATACAAATATCGTGTCTAAAC